GCGGCGATGGCCTTCTCGACGAAGCTGGCGCCCGAGATGGACAGGCCGTCGCTGTACGTGTACGGGGGCATGTGCCCCAACTCGTCGGCGGAGACGGTGGACTCGTGGCAGTGGGCGGCCAACTACACCAAGTCGATGCTCAAGATCGCCCCGGACGGCGACAAGGAGGTGGCGAGCAACACGGCGCTCAGTGGAGGACCGAAGGCGCCCATGGCCGGGTTCACGAAGACGCAGCTGCCGCACAGCCTGGCGAACGTGTCGGGCACCATCACGCAGCAGGCCAGGTGGGTGCTCCTCGGGGGCCACACGGCGTCGGCCTTTATCAACATGAGCAACGCCGTGCTCTGGGGCCTCCCCGACGAGTCGTGGACGTACATCAACATCCAGGCGCCAAAGGTCGAGGGCCCCACGGAGCTCTCGGCCATCTACGAGCGTGCCAGCACCGAGGTCACGCCGCGGAGCGGGCACACGGCCGTGCTCAACGAGGACGGCAAGTCCATCACCGTTCTTGGGGGCTGGGTTGGCGACGTGAACACCGCTGCGGATCCGCAGCTCGCCGTGCTGGAGATGAGCCAGGCGTACAGCGGGTGGAGGTGGAAGATCCCGACCCAGCAGCCGGACTTTGGCGCCGTGTACGGGCACGGTGCTGCGGTGCTCCCGGGCAACGTCATGGTCGTCTACGGCGGACGGGGGATCGGGTCCTCGTCATCGAGTAAGAAGGCGAAGAGGCAGGCGGCCGGCTTATCCTCGCCGAGATATCTGAACTTGACGGATATGTCCTGGGCTACGAGTTATACGAACCCAGAAGCGAGCAGCGGCACTGGGGGTCCGGATGCGCCTAACGGGAGCACAGACTCTTCGACGCCGATGAGATTAGGACTGGGGCTTGGTCTGGGACTTGGTCTGGGTTTGATACTGATAATCTCCATGATTATATTCTGTATCTGGAAGTCCAAAAACCGCAAGTCTCGCGATGCGGCTGTTGCTGCTCTGGTGCAGGATTCGAAGAACTTTATACACGACGGTGATGATGAGATGGCGGAGCGAGACGACTTCTTCGCGACGTGGGGACGCGGTGGATGGTTCGCATCTGGTGCCTTGGACCAGCCCTACCGCCCGCCCGGACAGCAGGATCGATCTCTCGGCTACGAGAGCCTGCGAGGATCCCAGGGAAGCGGCTCACCGCAGGACTACGGCGCCGGATACATGATGGGCGTTCCCTCCATCGTGCGGAAGCCCGTGCCCCGACAGTCGAGGGGGCTGTACAACCAGTTCATCAACGGGCCCGGAGGTATCCATCCCATCCTGGAAGACGACGAGGACGAGCATCTGCATCACGTACACGTTGCCAAGGCGGCCGACGATATCCCCCATACACCCACGTCGGACGTACCATCCGACCCCTTTATAACCCCGATCAACCCAGTTCCCGCGCCTCTCTTCAGCAGACCCAACAGCGGTGCGATAAGCCCGGAGAGCGTACGGCGATATGATTCAGAAGTCCAGGACTGGGTATCCGAGGTCGACGCCGCGGAGGGCCTGCTTGATAGAATCAACAGCACCCGCGGCAAGGTCTCGCCCACGCGCCGGGCATCCTACCGCTCGACCGGACCCCGCGACGACGAATCCGGCCTGTCAGAGGTATCTAACCGCAGCGCGGCGCGGCGCACCAACGTGGCCAACGCCATGGCCGGCATCCCGGCCCTGGAGAACAAGCCGGGCAGCTCGTCGAGCAGCAGCTACAACACGGCCAAGTCGTCGTTCAACGCACTACAGCAGGAGGGACCGAGCCTGCTACTAGGAGGCACGACTGGAGGGCTAGGACCGACCGACGAGGAGCTGGACGCGAGGGCGATGGCCGAGGACGTGCAGATGCCCGGTTCCCCCTCCAAGTCGAAGCCGCGGCGGGGGTGGCTGGGCTCGCTGCGCCGGGTCTTCTCGACGTCGGGCCGCAGCGTGACGCCCTCGTCGACGGAGTCGCGCGAGTACGCGCAGAGCCCGCACTCGTGGGACCAGCACAGCAGCGGGGACATGGAGCCCCCCTCGCGGCTGGTCGGGCTCAACGGCGAGCTCCTGAGGCGGAAGCAGGGGCGGCGCGACTGGGAGCACGACAGCGGGGAGGAGGACCAGTGGGACATTGAGCGGGCGGTGGAGCAGCGGCTCGTGCAGGTCATGTTCACGGTGCCCAAGGAGCGGCTGCGGGTGGTGAACGGGGACGAGGAGAACCCCGTCGACGAGGAGATGGCGCAGACGGCGGAGCTGGTCGACCCGGAGGGCGAGGGGGATAGTCTGCGGCGGGCGATGACTGCCGAGTCGGATCTGGGTGGTGTAGGTGCTAGTGCTGCGTCTGCGTCTGCTCTGCGGGATAACAGCAGTAGTATCCGGCGGAGCTACGACGGCGGCGTGAGGATGGACAACGCGAGCAGCAGTCACCGCCGGAGCTATATGACGGAGGACGGCGGCGTGAGGATGGATAATGCCAGCAGCAAGCGGCGCAGCTACGCTACCGAGGATGGCGGTGTCAAGTTCGACAATGCCAGCAGCAAACGGCGCAGCTACGCCACGGAGGACGGCGGCGTAAAGATGGACAGTGCGAGCCGCAAGAGCTACCACACCGAGGACGGCGGCGTAGGCATCGACATGGGCCTGAACGCGGAGAAGGAGGCGGACGAGCAGGAGGTGTCGTTGCTGAGTCCCAGCGACGCCGAGGTGGAGGATAGACAGGAGGTGTCACTGTTGAGCCCGTCACTGCTGAGTCCATCGCTGCTGAGCCCCGTCGAGGTGGACGACAGGCGGAGGAGCCACTCGACCATGGGGCCTGGGAGTCCGATACTGGCGACGGCCGAGGAGGTGAGGATGGAGAAGCCGCCGCAGCACAGGATCCTCCACCACAGCCCGGACATCATCCCCGAGGGCACGCCGGAGACGCCGGAGAAGCCAAGATCCAGAGTGCTCCGCATGGTGGAGAGCATCGAGAGCGCGAACAGCGTAGCCAACAGCCCGCGGTCGAGTCCGAGCCCCAGTCGGCAGAAGCGGGAGTAGTATCTGGGCGGGTGTATGTAAAAAGAACAATGCGTGTATGAAGGTGCCTGGCTCGGGTGGATATATGAGATACCTTTCTTCAGTGGCGACTGGATAATGTTCTGCTTTTTTCTTGTTTATTTACTTTGGGAAAGGGGGAGCAATAGGGAGTTTTACCTGGGAAAGGACCAGATCTGGTTATATGGACATGTTTGCTTTATCCGTGGAGAGGGAGAGGGGGCGAGTACTGGATCGTATATGGCCAGGGAAGTTGGATACAATATGTATAGATATATCTTATATAGCTATTTATTGTGAAAGTCTGATTGACAACATGAATTGTTGATTTCAACGTGATAATATTTCTATCCAAAAATATACTTATAGTTACAGGGGCGTTTGCCTATGTACTTGTGTGAATAAATACAACTGAAGGAATATGATACAATGGGCTCATGATGGTCTTCTCTCGTTTGTATCGATAAATTATCGAGAGAAGAGAGATCCCAATTTTCCGATTATTTCGTCAAGTGCTCATTCCACCTCAGCACGGCATCAATCAACTTCTTCCCGGGGAAGTCGATGATGACAACACCCGTCCTGGCAGAAACATCCCTATGGGCGGAAAAATCTCTAAGCCACTGCCCCGTCAGGTCGTTCATGCCCACGACCGCCTTGTTCTTCGGCCCTGCGGCCGCCTCGATGGGGAGCACGCCCACCGAGGCCGAGATGTGCGCCAGGTACAGGAGGGTGTTGTTGAGCGGTGCCCGGGTGGCGGCCTCGAGGGCGTTGCGGATGGCGTTCCACTTATCCACGAGGTGGTGGATGTCGGGGATGATCCATAGATCTTCCAGGGCCATCTGGGGGCCCTCCCATATGAGACCGTAGGGGCTCTTCTCCTGGTCTTTGGAGACGAAGTTCTGCAGGAGGAAGATGCGCGAGCGGAGGGCGCCGAGGTTCGGGAGGGGTTCGGTCTGGTTGTAGTGATACAAGTGCTTGGATGCACCGGGCGAGGTGATGGGGGAGGACTCGTGGTGCTTGATCAGAGCGTCCTCGAAGGAGATTGTGTTGTGGTCTCCGATGGGCACGCCTTCTTCCTTAAGCCGCATTATAATAGTCTCGCCGGGATTCTCGTCGAGGAAATCAAACATGGCGACAAGGACATCTGTGTAACCGAAGCCCGTGAAGCCGCTGGAGTGATATATCTTGAGCTCGTCGTCCTGCAGCCTCGCGCGGATGTCAAAGTATCGTAGGCCAGCGTTCAGCTGGGTAGTCAGGTTCCAGATCTGGCACTGGAGATGTTCGTTCTCGGGCATGCCGTATGTCATCGTATCGTGGGTGCCGGGGATACTGAGCGAGGTGAGGTTGACCTCGTCGGGGATCGCAGTCATCCATCGCGGGTGGTGCGCGTGGTAGGCGTCGAAGCTGTACGCGGATGTGTATCCTTTATAACATCGCTGGGAGCCGACCATGCACGGCGACATGGAGATGAGGACGTAGAACAGCACCATGGCGAAGATGCTCGATATGGCGAGCAAGATGGGCATGCGACGGAGCCGAAACGACCCCCGGCGCCAGGGAGGCTTCGGGAGGGAGTCCGTCAACTTAGGCATGGCGAGGGCTTGCAGGCTGCTCGAATGGGAGGATCAATCAATCTCTAATAAAGATGATGATGAGCTTGGGGGTGGGAGACGCTGGCCGGAGGGCCCGGGTCGACTACGGAGCGATGATGTAGAGTAGAAGCGAGCTCTGGGCAAATGGTGGGGGAAGAAGTAGCCATTAATCATGGCAATCGACCATCACATGTGAAACAGGCAAAACTATCAATCGACCAATCAGACTATCCGCGAATTTCTATTCATCAAATCAAAAAACACGCGGAATACCAGATTTAAAACCATGGCCTCGTCGGCGGTTAATCAACGAAGCTGTTGATGCGCATATCGTTATCGTCCCTTGCCTATGATGTAATCGGCACCCAAGCTTCTACGGCTAATTTGAGCTACCCTACACCTGTACTTACACCCTAGTACACCAGTTGTTCGCATTCTATCTGTGATATACTCTCAGCTTTAAAATAGGTACAAGGTATCGAATTAGATTTAAGAATACATTCGTGTACAGATAAGTCAAAAATAGTAGTGGCTTAGTCAAAATAATGATGTTGATAAGAACGTCCTCTCAGCTTGTCGAAGTTAGGCCAGCATCGCTCCGAAGAATTTCATGACTATCCTCCACCTCTACCGCTTCAGTCTCTGTATCTGGAGTATCAGGCAAAAACACCACCCATTGGAGCAACTCGCGTTCTTTATCCATCGTACCCCTGAAAACACGACGCATTGGACCCCAAAATGACCTAGGTTGAGTCGGAGACGGCTCATTCTGCGCCAAGATCTGGGCCATATCCAGAAAACGTTCACTCTCTTCTAGGTCCGGCACACCAGGCTCAACCTCATTCCCTGCTCTCAAAAACGGCCACCAGCCCCAGCGCCGTATATGTCGTTGCGGGGCTGCCCGCATGCCGTTCGTGTTCCTGAGGATGTCAATCTCTGCAGTTGCTGACTTGTCTGGAAGGCGCTCTACTCCCCATAGGATCAGGAGAATGGCTAATGCAGTAAACACGATGATGAGCCCCTCGGTGACGATGAAGATGACCCCCGTCCAGTGCTGGATGCTGAGCTTCTGCATGGACCGGCCGCTCACGGCCGAGGTGACCATGCTGTCCGGCAGTGCCAAGCTGGTGTCGGTATTCCCTCCAACGTTGACAGTGTAGTTTGCAAACTGGACCGCCGTCACCATGAACTGCAAAGAAACGCCGATGAAGTTGTGGAGGCTCGTCAGGACGCTCTGCTGGTCGTCGGGGAAGCTGTTATCGTAGGTCCTGTGCAGCCATGTGATGGAGTGGACGAGAGCGTCCATGTTGCTGAGATCCGAGCGCCTCGTCGTGTTGGCGTTGAGCACCTTGCGGAATATCCTGCGGTACTCGTCCTCTTTCAGGGTTATCTGGGATTCGCCGACGGGGGAGGTCATCTCGGTGTTGACGATCGAGAAGTTGTTGCGGTTGTACGTCGTCCGCGTGTACTGCTCAAAGACGGAGACGTTTGTGCTGTACTGGATGGGACCCGAGGTCCACGTCACTTCGGGGCTGCACTCACGGGCCGAGTATTCCTTGATGGGACATGCAGCCCAGCCTTGAAACATAAAAGTTATTTCAACGGCCATGGGAATGCTCCTTCACTCCTGGTACGGGAAACGTGAGGAGCGGAGGAAAACGTACCTACAGCGAGCGACTGGCCTAGTTGCTGAGCACACATCACCAGCGTGTTGTTGATCCGCTCCCCGGTATACGTACACCCAGCCGGGTCGAAGCTGAAGTCTGCCGGCAGTCTCTCAAACGTGGCCAGCATGCCTGGAGCATGCTCAATCTGGATCGAGTCTGCGCCGTCGAACGTGCCGCCTTCAAAGACGGTATGCTTCAACAAGGGATCGTATCGCCGGGCCGTTTCTAAACCCCCCGGTAACAGTATCGATCTGCAACCTTGCGAGCACCCGGGGAACCGATGTTGGATTGCGTAGCGAGAATCAAGTAGGAGACTGGACGTGAGAGAGTAGAAATACATGCTTAGGTCTGCGGTCGTCAAGAGCGGCGAGTCGACTACTGCGATCCGGATGGGGATCAGCCCAGCGTAGACGGTCATGTTCGTATTCGTCGGGGCAAAGTGATAGTCAAACTGGGCCTGAACTGGCATCAAATGAGATGGGGCCTCTTTACCTCGAACTTCTTCATAGCCGGAGCTGGTTTCTTACATTTTATCACCGAGCCTAGAGCTAGACCCATGATCGGAAGCACGACCCTTCATACATGTTCAGTTCACATCGTGGAACTTCTAAATAGTTGGGTGTCTCGATGGCTACATGGACGTAAACTAACCTAAAATCACACCACAGATTCAACCCGTAGAATTTCGTCAACACGGCATGCCTGGCTGCCTCCGTCCACGCTGACGCGGGGCCGATAACAAAGTACGTCAAGGCCGAGACGCCTCTATCCCGCTTTGCGAGAGCAAGGCGTATCACGCCCAGGAGATCGCGGATCAGGGCGTCTCCGAGAATAACCGATATCTGGGAGAATATAGAGACCAGCAGGTTCGAGGTCGAGGCATCAAAGGTGACACCGCCGACCCGGACATTGCCACGCAGCAGGACGTAAACGACAAATGCGGAGAAGATGACAGAAAACACAGAAAAGGCCACCCAGGCAAAGATTACGCCTCGTAGCGGGCGTAGCTTACGCTTTAGATCCCGCCATCGGATCGACGGTGCTTGTTCCTGCGTGGGCGGGCTCAGGGGGCGTCCATTCAGCGTGTCCGTGGAACCAGCTGCGGCATTAGCTTGGTCCTCCAAGGGGATGCTCTCGCCTTGGATTGGAGGAGAGGCAGACATGGCTTTTGGGGAATGGGCTGATGGAAACAGTCGGTGGTTTGGGGCTTGCTGGCCTTGCATATCTCAGCAATACTTCCCGTCTTTGCGCTTCTTATACATTTTCATACATCTATGCTTTCTCAACTCTTCGCGCGCCAGCCTCACCACGTCGATTTATGGTTGCATATGGTTACATTGCTAAGAATGCAAGATGCAGCCTTGTTGGATTGTGAATATCCTAGTCTATCGTGAGGAAGACAGGCTCCAGGCTCTTTTTTTCCCAGCTCAGAACGGATGGATTTCACCATTCAGCTATACCGGGATCCAACAAACCTCACTAACTAGCCCAGGATAAGCAACATGGTGCGCGAACTATGGTTTGGTCAGCGGTGTGATTGGAATTTCCTTCAGCTCGCCGCAAAAGATGGTGTGGTGGGAGCGCCACAACGTGTTCAGCTTCCGGCGCCAGGATGTCATGTAAGGATTTATGAGCACGTGGAATCAGGCGTATCTGGAATCCCGAATTGACTTTGCGATTCAGTTGCCGCGAACATTAGGAACTGACTTCTGAAAATGCACTGTAGGAATACGTCCTGATGAGTACCACGGCGTAGATAGGTGGATAGGTGAGCCAGTCGGATATCGTATACATCAGAGGGTATGTTGAAGGGGGAAGTAGGCCACTTCATATCAAAGGAGCAGCCTTACTTCTTTGGCATTTTATTGCATGAGTAATATTCTCCAACGGGCAACTCTAGCAGACTGGAATTCGTCTTGTGATCAATGTGAGCGATACATCCCGTGAGTATGAATATGGCTGTTCACGGAGCCTTGCTCTCTGATCGAGTCCAAGGCCCAGCCGCGGCTGACAATGTCGGTCTTGGCATCATATTTACAAGGGATCATCGAGTGGTTCTACGTCTTTACGCCACGTCCCCGGCCATTGGAGGTTCTCAGCCCATCGATAATTGTCATAGCTCTGACATCAGGGTCATCAACCCCCAGCAAGTTATGAAAAGTACGTGGATATTTATCAGATCTATCCTACTTATGAGCGGACAAGCCACAGGTGTTTCGCCACTGATGTATTTTGGTGTTGCATTGGTGGCGTTGAAGCTGGTGGAATCCAGGCTCTTAACAAGTCTAGTGCCTACCGAATTCGTTTCCCAACCAAGTGATAACTGTTGATTTTAATGACAATGTCATCATTATGGAGAAAGGGAAGACAACTGATGTGTCTTTTCACTACTTGGCACCGGCAGTGCTTCTTTGTTCCTACAGGCCTGCCACTGCCTTTGTAAGTCCATTGGTCAACGTAAATTTACCCCTGAGATTAGATGACTCAAGATATCAAGTTCGGAAGATTTCGATAGTACAATCATGACTTGAAGCGAACTTGGCATACCACCAAGTGATCGACATTATATGGAAACTCATCTAGTACAAAAATTCTACGACGGGTGAAGTGATATGGAAACCTGACTTCTTGTCTTGTTGTATAGGTAGTATGGTATTGGAATAACGTAGCCCAAGCGGAGCATGGTCAAATGTCCGTTTAGAGGCTGCACATTACTATGCGTTGTTATTAAATCAAACGGAACCCGTCCGGTTATCAGAATTATGGGTGCCAAGTTGCAGATACTGTTGCTTTCCATACTTACAATTTATACCTGTGGTGCATAACCAGGATTCAAGTTGGCGAGAGATCGCTAGAAGCGCTACTTGCGGCTACCTTTATCCCAGCCAGAGTGCAGACTCCAAGCACATAGGTATGGATCTCAACACCACCTATGACATCTCTCACTAGCATCTGCCACCATGACGGTGGAGGGGCCGGACAGAGCCTGCATACAGATAAGCGCGGTCGTCTCTTGAGTCCGGCATGGCCGTGCCACCCAGCCCAGCGGTGAACCATCCCCCGGGCCGGCAGGCCAAGCAGAAAAGAGGCGAGGTCCGTGTGTGGATGTTGGCAGACCCGGACCAGAAACGGTACTGTAAACCCACTCACCCATGCACGCTGCGCTGCAGGGTCACAGACCTTCCTCAACACACAAGATGGAGTGCCTCTACACGGTGATGGAACCTGACTGGAGGGAGGAGGAGGGGCAAATACGATGCCCGTTGGCTGAGTGTGTGCTGTGTCTCGCCTCTATCTGAGGGGTTCGCAGGGTCGCCAAGCGAGAGACGCACCACGCACATCATCGGGGTGGGGAAAAACTGAAGGAGGTGGCCGGGTTGCGGCTTGAGAATCGATGTTTTCTCACCATGGCGTGAGCGGCCTGCATGCAAAGGGCTGGGATGGGCATCTGCAGATTCTCAATTCTCCATCTCGAGGGAGTCCAACCACCTCATCCCGCCATTTGCGCCCCTCCCAGGACCTTATCGACACACCGTAGCTTTCTACTTTCTTGGTTCTTGTCTCGCTCTTCCCTGCTTTTGTCCCTACCGAGCGGATGGGTGGTGGCAGCAGAGGTGGATACGAAGTTGCAATACGGGGGTGCCTTGAACGTCAGCGCCATGCTGGACGAGCTTGGCAATGACATACCACGTCCGGCATATCAGATGGTTGCAAGGAGGGGGAAAATATTGGGAAAATAATAATCATCTACATGGACATCAAGGGCCCGCTTGGGACTTCAGTTCCGGGCTAAGCCGGAGGGCACATACATATCTCCAGAGCCTCGTATGAACCTCCTCAATTGTGATCCTATGACGGACCTCGAGAGGCCTGTTGGGAGTGGGGGGACCGCCTCGTGGGGGTTGGCCCAATGTAAGCTCGACAAGCTAAAGCAATGAGAAATGTGTCGATGGCTTCGAATTATCAAGAAGCGTGCTTGGAAGTTGGGTGATATTGGCCTGGGACTGTCTCACAGAAGGTCCCGCGACCCGATCATACACACATGCGTCGTATTGGGTGTAGAGGCTCCCTTCTGGTAGATAGGATACGAGCGAATACAACATAGCTTGACGGCTGATTATCTTGGTTGGCATTATGTGGGGGTTTTTCTTCCCTCGCGATTAGAGATGCCACACAACACGGCCGAGGAGGTGGGCGCCGCATTGTAGGAATAAGGGGCGGCGTTGTGATACGTTTGATGGGACCGGCTTTAGCAATCGGAGGTGTTGAAAAACGGACTTGAAAAACGGACATAGCACTGGCAGGAAGCGGAGTGGAATGCAAAGCTCGGTGTCACGATGTGAGTTGAGGTTATGTTTTGAATATTTTGTCCTCATGTCGCGGCCGCTGGTGAAATCATTGAGCAGCTTGGCCGAGTCTCTGCCATCCTTCCACGGGACTGACGACGTACCGTGAGCCGGAGAGCATTTTTGGTACTTTACAGATCACTCAGTTCGATACTTTCATTGGCTGTACAGAGTCAGATGTGAAGCCTTCGCTTAGGGCGGTAAACGGTTGGTTCCAGCACTGCATCACACAGGGCTTGATCCACATGTCAGGAGCACATCAGCAGAGCCTCAGGGTGTGAGTGCCGACATGGGACGAAGGCTGCGTGCTGGTCCTGTGCATGTCTTTGAGTGTCTGTTCTATGCTGGACCTATCAGATGGTGTGATGATGTACGAGCTTCGGTTGAGATGCCACGCGCTCGCTAGGGCCTCGATGGTGGATGGGCAGGAATCAGTCGGTTGTGTCTTGGCCCAGACTGAGACGGCTCATCTGGGTACTTTTTTGATAACACGAGCTGAACGTGCACCAGGGCAGCCATCTGTATGCAAAGGAGGACTGTCAAGACCATCTGCTATACATAAGGTGATGAGTTGGATTCCCGCCGGAGATTTGGTACCAGAGGTAAAATGCTAACAGCAAGCATGTATACATGCTTCAATCGTCGGGCCAATCGCAAGTGAACAGCTGTATCTCCCGTACTAGTGTAACCTGGGACAAGCAAGTTTGGTCCATTCCAGTCCGCACCTGTCGTGTGCCCCGTCTGAGCAGGCAGCCAGTCGCGGAAGAATCATCGCTCGATCCAGCGATGGAGATCATCAGCACGAAACTCATTCACCGACGAAGATCCCATCTTTTCGGGCGATTCGCGCTGCTAGCGCCGACGAAGGAGCCAGGCTAAGGTAAGGCGCACATTCAAGTGGCATCGTGGACCTGGGCTTAGCTTCGATTTTGCGCGTTATTTCAGACTTCACGAAGCTGACGGATGGCGGGCACGTGGGATCAGGGCGAGCTCCGTACCTTCAACACCCTGGTCATGCTGGTGACTGGTGGATCGTCGAATGGATCTTGGACGCGCCTTCTTGGCATCGCGGGTCAAGATTTGCACCGATGCACAGGCTCCGTGTCAGAGACTCAGGGGAGCGAGAGCGAGCGAACCTGGGCTTGGGGAGCAAAAGGAATTTCGTGTCCCGAGAAACCAAGATCCCGCCTTTCTCATGGATGGATGGAACCCGCCCTCGGGTGCTTGGCAGGATTTCAGTCTGGTCTGATCTGACCAGCCTGTAATTACATACCTTAGATGTAGATTGAGGCCCAGTATTCATACAAACAAAGCCCGCAGACGCGTTTTTCGGGTCGGCCGGGCGCGCAGCCAAGATGCATTTTCTTTTGCGTAAATTGCAGTACGCATCGTGTATGGAGTAGGCCTGACTCAGTTCGAATACTCCCCAGGGCTACAGCTTCTTCCTTTAGGCGCACATGGCAATGGCATGACTTCGGTGCTGGTGGTCATATATCCAGCCATGTATAATACAACTACGTGGCCAAGACCCAGCGGCCTGCGATCGGATCGTGATTCATGCTAATCGTTGTGTTGCTCCCACTACTCCCTCACGCAAGTTGGCAAGGCACGCCCGACCCCTTGGCGGGCCGTTTTAGAGACGGACCCAGCCGGCTGAGGCAAGCGGTGTGCCCGGATTATTGTGATTTCCCTTTGTGTGGCGTGGGAAAGGGGTTTTCCGTCCGTTAAATTAGGAGCTGCGCTCGATCGCGCCGTCAATGCCTAATCGACATGCCCGCGACGTAGCGCACTGAAGAGGGCCAAAGGGCTTCTTTGTCGCCTAGGGAGTACACGAGGTGCCGGCTCTGCATCTGGCCAGACAATTCCGGCATGATGGGGGCCAGCCGACAAGCGGGTGTGAGGGTTAAGCTTCGCCAATCGCACCGGGCTTAGGGTGAGACATGTCGGGTTGCTACTGTACCACGTTGGTTTGGCCTTGGTTGGATTGAGTTGCTTCGCCTCGTTCCGCGATGTCCCTGGATGGTTTAGCAGTGGTGATATCATCGCCTATGAGGGTCTTTTTTGCTTGGTCTGCTTCATACACTTTGGTTATACATAAGCTTTGGCAATAGTCGGGTTTCTAGTAAACTATTCCTGCACATCTATATGCTATACCCATCAGTCATGTGCTGCATAACTCCATGACATGCTTTTTGGCTCATGCAGGCTGACATGTGCATATGTATGTATCATATCGCGGAAGCACGCCGTCGGTATGCCTGCCTCCGGTGCCTCGGCCGATACGGCGATAGCTGGCTCATGGTCATTCTGAGCCCTCACTCTGGTCGCAACGCAACCGAACGGTTGAGAGGATGCATATGGTGGCGTCGTTCTTGTAAGTCACGATGGCCGCTCTCGTCGTTGAGGAGGGCCCTAGGCAGTGCTGGGCGGAGGCAGCACGCGGAGCAGGTCGACCGTTGAAGACACCAGGCTAGATTTTAACTGATGAATGAGATTGCATTTGCATGCTACTGGGCTGGACTATTGCCTTGTAGCTCCACCCACGCACTAGCAGGAATATGTCCATACCTACTCGGTGCTGGCGGAAGGCGGGCATCGCAATTAGGAGCATGAATTCCAGGAGTGAGATGATGGCAAAACATTGTTCTGCATCAGGCCATTACAAAACCTGATACTTAAGCGAGCGACCGCAAGATTGGAGGAGTGCGGGCGGCACGGTAAATAACTCCAGCAACAGTCCGTAGCCCAAAATACACATTTTAATATTCTCATCAAGGGAAAAGGAGCCGTGCACTCACCTACGGGCACGCCTTGGGCAGATCCTCATCTATTCTCCAGCTGCACAAAATGCATCACCCATGATCCTAGCTGGCGCGATCCCATGGCTTTTTCCCTCCCACTTGAGACGAACTGGCGCCAAACACAATTTCAGCCTAGCTCGTGCTGGGTTGCGGGATCTGGGAGAACCAAACCCAACCAAGCCAAGCTGTGCCGCCGGCGCGGGCAAAATTGGATGGCTTGTTGGTTGCGATGGTACCTTTTGGGTGTGTGTGTGTCGTGTCCGTGAGTGTGTGTGGCCAATTCTATAGCCGATTCCCGATGGCAACTTGGCAATTGGAGATGTGAGCTAGGACAGGATTCGGTGCTATTGAGTTTAACCTTTTCTTCGATCGGGACAGAGTGCTGCTCGTATAGAACATGAGCATGTGAACCCAGGCTGGATGCGGGATCGCTGCCAGCTAGCCGAGAATCGTTGCAATGGGCAGCCCTGATTATAACATGTGTTTACCATGCGTGATGGGGCAGATCAGCACAGACAGGCAGTGTGGTTGAAACTTACTCCGCAGGTAGCGCGATGGAATTTGATGAGGACCAGCAGACGACCTTTCCCTTCTCTTATCGGATCTGCCAGCCTTCGTGACTGCTATTGCGACTGCGACTGTGACATTGACGACGGCGATGATCTGATTCCCAGATAGGAAGTCTGGCCATGGAGCCGATATGCCGCTGTGCAGGGAGACAAAACACCGAGCAGCCCGCCAGCATGCATGGTGGCGGCTGATATCTCAAGGCTCCATCCGTCCCTCTTGTCTTGAGTTTTTCTTCCCTTTCCCATTCTCTCCCCTTTGCAAAGTCGGTCCAAATGACTGGGGCCTGGCATGATTGGAGCAAAAGCAAAACTCAATTCTTGTGGGAACTAAGCATGCCTGCCCGGCCGTGCGCGTGTGGGTTTCGATGGAGAGTGCATCTCTTTGGGCAACCAGAATGCTCATCACCGGATTGCCATTCTGGCTGTAATGCAGTGCTGGCTAGCAACATGCCGATTACCAAGCTGTGATCTCGCGCCTCCAGGTCCGTATAATTGATCCTAGCGCTGCTACGAGAGCTGAGCTCTGGTGTGGTTAAACAGGGGCCCGCCAGTCTCTCCACACCCACCCAGAGACCCAGTGACGACAGCTCCTGCACGGCGCAGGGGATAAGGGCCAAGGGCCCAAGGCTAGCCCAGGTTAGCAAGGCAACATTGGAGACCCAAGGAAGCAGGGGGGGTGCGGGGATCAGGGAGTCGGGTCACCAGAAGTGAACGAAGGTTGTGCTGTGTGTGGTATTCATGTGGCCGTGCCAACCAACCAGTGCAGCTGGTAACAGGCTGCACTGGAGGACCTGAAGGTCCGTGGCTGGCTTGCTGTCAGAGCGCACACAGCATATTCAACAGCAGCTCACATACAGAAGCAGGATTAGGCCGAGGTGCTTGGAAGCGGTTGCGTCGTGCAGCTGGACTCCACCGTGAAGCTGCAGCCGCGAGGTAAATAATAGACTTTGGCGAAGCTGCACTGCACCTCTCGAGGGAACCGACAGCTGGAGTATTAGCTCTTCCTCGAGGTACATAGCTTGACGATGGATGTTGACTCGAGCATCATCAGCCAGGGAAGCTGAGATGGTGATGAGGTGGTTACTGGTGGTTGGCGCTGGACGTGCAGGCCTCCAGGCTCCAAGGTAGGTGTACCCCATATTACCTGCCCTGTCCATGCTCCTTCCCTTCACTTCACTGATCACATCCCGCTTGCCGTGCAAGTCACAGCCAGCAAGAGCGTTCAGCTGCGACTGCCTCGTCTGCGGCTTCTGGGAAGTGCCCGGAAGGTGCAAAGTACCTGGTACGTACCGCCAGTAATTGTCCCGCATCCACAGTTACCCACCTTCAGCGTCATCCGTCATTTCGCCATGTTTGTAGTTTTTTTAGGCCTCTTGGCCTCCCTTCCTCAGTTCATTTATCTGGCTATCCAGAAGCTGTTCATCTTCATTCCAAGCCCGTCGCAGGTGGACCTTGCGCTTCTTTGTTTCCTCTCTTTCTTCGCGGCCAGCTTCTCGCTCGTCCGCTCTCTCGTGCCGTCGCCTGGCTTGGCTACCCTTCCTTGTAGTCCGCGCGCTCGTATCTCTCGCTGCTGCCGCTCTTTATACGATACTAGCAGGCCACCTAGTACCTGCTACTTTACCTGCGACCTGCTGCTGGGGCTCTCGGCCACTGCTGCTTCTCCCGAAAGACAGGCCCTTCCTCGTTTCCCATCATCCATCTCCCTCTCTCCACACACACCCACCCCCCCTCCTCTTCAACCTAAACGGGTCAGCTAAGACCAACCCCCATTTCCACTCTCGCTGGTGTGATTGCCTTCGGTTTTGGCGTGGATAGGCCTTCTACTGCTTCCCTCGCTGTCCTTGCATCCCGGTGCTGGCTCCAGCTTGTCGACGCTTGCGTACGGTCAACATTCCAATACAGCCTTCCCCAATTCCCTCCTCTCACATCAACTTTTATTCCTCGCTGCACTACAACACCAGCCAGCTGTTCTGTTTTGCCAGGCTGTGTTTGTACTCGGTCGAGGCAACACACGAGGAAAGGTCAAGACAGACCCGGGGAGCACACAAGGGCCTACGAAGAAATCCTTTCCACTTTCTCTTTTGGATACAAGGAAAAGACAGACACGGCACCCTCGGCACGACAAGCTTCTCTTGCCTTGCTCTTCTCTTGGGCACCTCGCAGGCTTCACCCGCTTTCGTCCTACCATACCTAGCCAGCATTGACGACCGGCTGTCGATAAGACGCTCCTCCGATTCCCGCGCTTCACCGGCACCGTATCTTGTCTCGCTCGTCCACGGAACTCGAACTCTTTCCACATCTACAAGAGTACACACTGTCCGTCTGTGTCGTCTTCGAATTGTTGCCGCCCATCATCTGAGGGACCATTTGGGGGGCCGACTGCGAGCTGTCAATAAACGGATTGAGGCAGGCATGATATGAAATTGGTCTCTTGATTTATGCACTTGTCTTTTTCTTTTGTGCCCCCGGCTTGTTATGCGGTGAACTGGCGAGCTCAGTCAATTGGTTCCATTCTTTTGGTGAACGTCCTCCATCTGTACAACCACACGGTCTTTGTTCCGAGACGGTAAGTCTCAGCCAACTTTCTCAGCGGTCGTTTCGTCTCCCTACCACCGATTCTCCGTCTCCTAAAACCAGGCCCTCGAGCTATGATGGAATCTTCGCACCTTGGTTTCTAGATTGATCTTCATCGCGACCGTTGTATTTATTACCGACAGAGAAAAACTTGCTAATAATTAATATCCCATAGATTCGAACTTTGGATACAGGATGCCTTCTTCATTACGGTTCGGCTTAGGCCGCTTCGGCCTCCTTCTACTGGCCACCAGCCAGCTTGTTGTTGCTTCAGTCCCGCTGAACCTCTGCGCCAAGTTCAATACGGCAGAGACTCCAAGAAGTACGTGGATTCCTGCCGTTGGCATGACCTGGTGGCTCGACTCAGATCATTTCTTTGGACGCTAGCTGACACGGAGGAAATAGACACGAGTATCTACCAGACGAATGGACTCTGTAAAGACTTTTGCACGAAAGACTATGCGTACGCGATCACGCAGGAACAGCTTTGCTGGTGTTCCAACTACACGCCGTCGAAATCCGATCAGGTTGATATGGACCAATGCAATATTAATTGTCCTGCTTATCCCGATGAAAAGTGCGGCGGCAAGGGCGTTTTCGGCTACGTCGAGCTTAACGCTCATCTTCCTTCCGGGACCAGAGGCAGTGATTCCAGCTCTGCTTCAAGTACTAGTGTAAGTAGCATTTTCTCTTATATCACAATGACCCCTGGCCCGACACCTGTCCGCTTCGTATTTTCCTGGTTCTTCGCCTACGTACTCCTCGATCGCCCAAGTATGAAACTGCTGCCGAGTCACCTCACCTGTTATTGTCGTTCGTTGTGTGGTTATGTTCCGTTTTCAGTAACAGGTGTAATGTGAAACTCATCTCGTGCAGACCAGCAGTGTGGCCAGTTCCTCATCTTCGACTTCCTCCACAACAACCACTACCACGTCGTCGTCGTCGTCTTCCTCGTCTACCTCAACTGTATGTAATATTCGCACGACATCCAACTCAACGCCAGGGACACCGGGTTTTCTTCAGTGGTTTCATTGTCATATTAAAGTTGTCTTTCAGACCCCGAGCTAACTTGACTAACTCACAGGCGGATTCATCAACACTAACGACATCGATAACACAACAGACCTCGATGATCCATACCGTTACTACTGATACTGGAGGTATCATCAAGACGGTTACTATTATGCCAACCGTCACCGGCGATTTAGAGGGTGGCAGTCAAGGATCATCTGGCAGTTCAAGCAAGCTTGCAGGTGGTGCAATTGCTGGGATTGTCATCGGCGTTGTCGCTGCGCTACTATTTGGCCTGGGCCTGGCATTCTTCCTTTACCGGCGCCGGAAACAGAACGAAAGCAAAGCTGACTACCAAGGCGACCCGAGCGTCCGTGGTAGTTCCTCGGAAAGAATGAGCTCGATTCGCCCGGAGATGAGCATGACAGGGGCATCTGCAGCGTCGCCTACGCAGAATAGTAATCGAAACAGCACGCTGCAGATTGACCCTCGTATGGATCCATTCAAGCAGAATCTATACGCCCGCTCGGGAAGTCACGAAAGTATCAACACTCTCCGAGACGATCATGATTATTCGAGGAGGATACAACAACCGAAGGTTTTGAGGGCCACTAACCCCGACCCTGAGTAATCAGCTCTCATTCTTCTACCCTGCTGGATGTATTCCGGCGTTAATTCGCCTTCCCTGCGATAAGGGAAAGCATTTCTATTCCTAGTCTCTATCTCTCCTTTTAGATGGCTCTTTGAGCCTCATGATCGCACGACTTCATTTCGCTGTTCCATTACACACGACAGCCTCTGGGTTAGGACTTTTGATAATTTTATCGGTTATTCTGCTTTTTTTTTTCTTTTGCTTTCGAGATACCAGGAAATGGAGTTGCGCATTTCACACGAACACGATTCATGCACGCCTAGCATGAGAAGAAGGGATGGAAAATCACGACGGGGGTTGCTTGTTGAAAACCTCAAAAGCATGCATACTGGAGACGGTGCGGGGCGCAAATTGAGTTCCACCTTCACATTCACCTTCACATACATATCATATATACATTTTTGGACGAAAACCGTGTTTACTGCGTTAGCACGGCATGGACGGGAAAGCTCTCGAATTGGTAATGAGCGGTGGCCAACTGCACATACGACATGGGTCTTGGCATCTTCAGGTCCCAATTATATATTATTCACCCCAAGGTACCAGATGATATTGGGTAATACTCCCACTCACAGGGAGATTGGAAAGCAATGCATGCGTCCTTCTTGAATCAACACAGTCCGCTGGCAAAAGGTCTTTGGTTACAATTGTCCAATTTTCGAGCTTTTGCCTCATTCATAAGCAAAACAAGATTGAGCGTGATTATGAAGGGGTGGCTTGAGTGTATAATAAATATACTTATGATAGCAAATACAAAAGCGTTTTAGCGTCCACCATTGTTCAGCTGCTGGCAGGGATATCCCCCAGATCCATTGTAGCATAAAACGTGAAGACCACACACCAATGAGGGATGGAAATCAACGGAGGACCAAGGTAGCTGGGGTCCAGAGCTAAGGGGAGGGGAGGAGAAGCAAAAGGAAAAGGGAGGAAGGTCTCCATCCTACCCTTCGAACGAACAGTCTACCACAGATACAGGTGTGCTTTGTTGGATATGCTGCTGCTGTGTGACAGTGTGGCGATCCCAGACACCTGACACTGTGAGTGAGATATCTAGCTCAATTCTCAAGCCGGCTACGTCTACGTTTTTGGACGCTTCTGCTGAAAGCTCTGCAACGATCGAACATTGGGATAGTATCGGCGAAGAGCGGAACTCGACAATTTCGGACGAATATCGCCGCAAATATACTAAGATGGCTGCAGATATCTTACACCGAAGCCTGACAAACCAACACAGCCTTCCTATTCTACGCTACCTCAGAACAACATGCATCTCTACAGGAGCTCACAGGACAAAGACTGTCGGGTGGGCATAGTTCCAAGCTCAATAGCTGCTGTGCGGTTCCTACTCCTCTGGTATGGCTGCAGAGACCCCCGACCGGAGCCGGACAACCCAACACACCCTTCTTATTCTACGCTATCTGAGAACAGCATGCGTCTATACAGGAGCTCACAGGACAAAGACTATCGGTTGGACATAGCTCTAAGCTCGACAGTTGCTGGGCGGCTCTTGCTCCTCTGGTATGTCTACATATTTGGCAGCCCAGGTCAGTCTTTTGGTCTTTCTATTCCTCTCCCTACCATCTTCTTCATCGTTCTTGAAGCTATTCGAACTCATTATCCGTTCTTGCAGAACACATATTGCACTTTTCTTGCAACCAGAAAGCTCAACAATACAGTTGCTCATCATGTATCGTTTTAGGAAACCTATCCAGTGGCTTAACAAGCTCTCACCAAGGAACAAGAATTCGACTCACGATGACTTGTCGACTTACGATGACGAGTTGATGCTAGACCGTGGTATACTGTCCAGGCCACCCATGGCTGACTCGAGGATCGAACCTCTTCGTTCCACGACTTTCCCGGACACGCTTACGGAGGGAACTGCCGGGCCCAAGGCCACGGCTGGTATCTTGCGAAAAACACTCGACGGCAAGATCCAGCTGGACGACCACCCCATGTACTGGGACCGGCGGTTCTTCGATGAGAAAGTTATAAATTACTTCACCCCCGTGTTCAGCCACGTCTGCTTGTTCCCTCACGAGGAGCGCGAGGCCGTCATGGCGGAGTGCACCCCGCTGTTCGAGAGGCTGGAGGAGGGCATCAGAGACGTAGCGGACAGCATCTCCAGGGGCGAGATGACGGTGGACAGCCTCACCCCGTACAGGAGGAGCAATGCGGCGCGCGCCAAGGTGTACCTGGATAAGTTGACGGACCTGCACATGACGCGGCTGGATGTCGTCAGGGGACGGTACGACGAGCAGATGAGGCTCTGGAGGGAGGCTCAGAGCCGGCTCTTTGAGGTCAAGTTTGAGAGGGAGACTAGAGAGATCATGAGGATGCTGCGTAGGGGGCCGGAAGGATGCATTAACTTTTCGTATCCTATATACGAGGCCGATAGCCCAGAGGATAAACCATCAGAGTACCCTGGGCAGTGGCTCCGGTCTTGGGGCCATCCTACAGCTCCTTGATAGCTTTCCTTCCAGCTTCATTCCCCCTTTTGTAACTAGTTTTGTAACTATTATATCTACCTAGCATGTCCTTCCACATCTGTATCGTATATCTCAATGATAAAGAAGTCCTTCACCAGAACCTTTCCCTCCTTGACCTTAACTTCCTACAGCTCATCGTTTCCTTCCATATCTTCCATAATTGTATCCCCCTTTTTATAACCATTATAGCCGGCAGATTCGTCCACATCATCATCATATATCTCAACAACAAAGAAATCCTGGACCAGCACCTTCCCCTCCTTGACCTTCTTCCACACCTCGGGAGTGCAAGTCCCCGGCGCGAGGACATAGCACCGCGGTTCCGCCACGTCCGGCTTCTCGTTGCCAACCCACCTGTCCACCGCCTCCCCCTCGTTAGTCAGGTCGTCGTGGACGGGCACCGTCCCCGTCGAGATGTCCCTCCCAAACGTCGCCCGCATGAAGATCTCGTACGCCGCCTCGGGCGTGTACGAGGGGACCATGTGGCCCGCCTGGAACACCCGCGTGAAGGAGTAGTTGCCCAGCTGGCGCGTGATGCCGCTCACCCCCGACCCCTCGACGGAGAAGTTGGCGTATGTCGCGGCGCCGAAGCGTTCCTGGCGGGAGTAAGGGACGGCGAGGGAGGCGGCCTCGCCGCCGAGCCAGTTGCAGGCGTAGTCGCGGTCGCCGTACATCATGTGGACGCTGACGCCGGCGTCGAGGAGGTAGGCGATGGCGTCGAGGAACCCGCCGTGGATCTCGTCGCGGGTGCTGGCGAAGTTGGAGGCGACGGTGGGGGAGTCGAAGGTGAAGTTGACGGGGGAGCCGATGGCGGCGAGGACGGACTCTTGGACGGTGTAGCCGTAGAAATAAGGAGGGGGGAACGGCTCGGCGGCGGGGTTGGCGATGTCGAGCCAGCCGCGGTTTAGGGAGGCGTACAGCCGGGGCACGGCGTCGTCGCACTCCGGGGCGATGTCGCACACGTCGGCGGGCTGGACGTGGCCGCGGTTGACGGTGTTGACGTCGAATCCGGACAGGCGGTCCTGGCAGGTTGTGAGCTGGTCTTTGCAGCCGCCGGGGGTGGTCCAGTTTCTCTTGAGCTCGTCGTAGAGAGATTGGTTGAAGACTTGAATGTCATATGTCTGTGTTGTGTTAGAACCTTTCTAGTTGAAGAGAGTCGATGGTCTCAAGGATATGGAATACAGCTCCCACTCACATTGTTATACGGAAAGTCGATATAGTATTCGGACTGAATTACGGAATCCATGAAGCCATTGACAATACCCAGCGTGTCAAGATGGAGGTAGTGCGCATTCTCATCCTCAATCGTCCCATCCTCAATCTTCTCGTTCTGCTCCTGGAAGAACCGTGCGAATCCAGGACCGTAGTGCCCGCCGTAGCTCTCGGCCCAGAGGCTGATCCTGTCGTCCACCGGCTTGTAATGGGGAAACTCGGTGAACCAGGTCTGGGCAAAGTGCCAAAGGGCGTGGGCAGCCTGGGCGGTGCTGTTGGTTGTGTGAGAAGGCTTCTGGCTCGGAAAGGTGCCCAGTCGGTGGGTGTAGTTCCCTTCGGGGGCGCCCTCGGGGATAACTCCTGGGTAGATGCGCTGGTCGTCGTAAACTGCGGTGCCGTTTGTCGGTTCGTCGTAGGAAAAGCCGACCTGGTTTGGCTGGTCAATGTACAGCATGTTCACATGGTTGTTCCAACTCCACGGATTGGGCTGAGTCGTCTCAGAGTCTTCATTGATGATACAGGGGCCGTTTTCGCTCAACAGACCGATCATCGAACTCGCTCCAGGGCCTCCATTGAGCCAGATGGCGAGGGGTGCATCCTGCGGAGAGTTGCGTGCCTCGAAGAACCAGAAGAAACTGTCAAGGAGGCAGATCAAGTCAGAAGACTGAGCTTCGCAGAGCGTTGGGGGGCTGTTGCATGGGTGGGCAATTTACTTGTTTATAGGATAGTCCTGTTTTTCTCCATCAACGTCATCCAGGAAACCTGGAGGGAGATGGACATAGCCAGCATACGAGCGTGCAGAGGAGCTTGGCTCGCAAATATTAGGCTATATTGGGCAAGCCGTCAGCACCTCATCTCGTCTCATTACATTATCAATTAAATAAGCCAACAAGTAGGATGGGCATACTTCTTTGTAGGTAATGGTCACGTTCTCATGGAACTTGGACCGCAGTATCTTCTGGCCCTCAGGCGTGGGCGGGAACTGGGCCGTTGCGAACCCCGCAAAGCCGATGGCGACAGACAAGAGCCCGGCAGACCGCATTTTAGATCTACGCGTTCATCCGTTGGGAGCAGGTTGGATGCTATAATGGGGAGTGGAAAGGGTAGATTGAGATTATAAATAAGACAAAAGCCAAGACTTGTTCGGGATAGCCAACCGCTTCACGTCACACAGCGCAGCTTATCAGTCGGGCCATATCGGTTAGTGTAGCCGGTTCCTGGGGATGGCATCATCTCCTGCCACATGAGGAAATGATCTATACGATGCAGGTGCCGGATGCCGATAGCTCACTGGGCCACGATCATTGTGTCTAATGTCAGTTTGAAAGCAATTTCTTCTTAGAAAAACGATAATTATTGATGGGGTCAGTCTCGTCTATCTGACTGACTGATGATCGATATCATCTGTTGGCCAAAGCGTCATTGTGGTCATCCTGGAAAGTATCCCTCTATATATACCTAGGAAAGTCAGGTCGCGCTCTGATGTAAAGTAATCTGCGTTGAGTTTAGATCTAGTCACTGAACGGGCTATTGAAAACGATTTAGAAAATGTGCTCATCTTGGAGATATATTCATTAAACTCCTAGTTAGACCCATATGAACAAACAACGAGCGACCGTAGCCACTCATCCACCCGATCTTTGCATCGTCAGTCCGTTACTTCTTGGGCTCAACGACTTCAGCAGATCCTTGTTGGGTGGTACCATCGGCACGGTCGGGATTCTCCAATACAGCTAATGCAGGAGCAACAGGTTTCTCTTCCTTCTCGCTGGTTTGCGTTTGAGGGGGTTCCCTAATACCGCCCTTGCCCTTGGTCTCCTCCTCCTTCTCTTGTGCCTTTGGCGTATTCTCGCCATCGGATAATGTGCCACCTCCAGGCCCACTGCTCTTGACGCCAACTAAAGACTTCGAATCCTCTTCATCCTCATCATCTAGTCGCTTCTCCTTTGCGCCGCCTCCAGCTCCTGCAGTGTCAGTGGCCTGGGTTGCGTGCAGATCAGCGCTCACAACGCTGCTAGCTTTACTCACGTCCGCACTTGCCGGGCTCTGCATTCGCAAGCCGAGATTTCTCTCTACGTTCTGGTTTGGCGCATTGGCGCCCTTCCAGTCCGCGGGCTTTGTTTGAGGGACAGGCGTTCCCTCAGCGGGTTCAACAACCTCCTCGCCCAGAGGCCCGGATACCCCCGGGGTGCTTGGCGTGTCGGCGAATTTCCAAACCACTGCTAAGCGGTCAAGTGCCCTGGTGCCCTTTCTGCTGGTGCCCTTGATGCCGTCCATATCATCCCATTTGATTGAGAACACACCATTTTCATTGGGCCTGTTCTCCTGCTCTGGCCCATTGCCTTCGAAGAACGTGTTAAACCAGACATGCCCGACAGCCGTCACCATGGTCATGCCGAGGCTCCTGCGCGTTCTATTTCTCCGCTCGACAGAGATGTTGACGTCGCTGTTGGGGATGATCACAGGCGTTTTGGGCTTAAGGATAACAGCCATGCCACCAGGTTCTTCCTCATCCTCTTCAGACGAGGACGAGGAGCTGGAACTGGACGAGCTTTTTCTTAACGACCTGGGGCGTTTTGGTGTCGTGTTGACCTTGGACTCCTTGTCTTTGCCGAGCTTGCGCAACGACGTGTCGGAGGCGATTTTGATGAGCGTTGCTGTGCGCTTTGCAGCGTGCCTGGGATTATGGTGATGGTGATGTTCGCCCGAGGTTGCAGGCTGTTCTTCCTTCTGAGCTGCTCCATTCTTCTTCCCAGAATTGGAAGCCTGTTGCAACTGTGCCTCTACTGAGTCCTGACTCTTTGGGTCCATAGAGTACCCAGCCAACTCCCACATCATGTCGGCCCAGCCATAGCCGTCAGGTGCATTTCCTTCCACCACTAACCTCTCATCCCTGGAGAAGGTGTGGAACACATGGATGTTCTTCCCCTCATCCTCGAACCCTTCAATGTCCACCTTGACGCCGTTCCGTAAGCCCCACACGTGAACCTCGACAATCTCGATCGGCCTGTCGTAATATTTCTTGCCGCCACGCGTCCACCGATCCACATAGGTAATCCATCGGAGCTGAGAGGGGATGGACACACCCGCACCGAACTGGGGTCTCATCCGTCGCTGCGTGAATCGTGTCAAGGCCTCCTCGGGATCCCATCCTTCCTCAGAAATAAGGTAGCTGCAAGTCGCTGTACCGCTGCGTCCCTTGCCGGCTTTGCAGTGAACAACTACCACCCTTTTGTTTTTCCTGCCCTCTAAATTACTGTCACCGGCCGCAGGAGCAGCAGCTTTGGTAGTAGCAGCTATAGCCTTGTCGTTGCTTTCAGCAGCCAGACCCTGCTGGTCTTTGGCGGCGGATTTGGAGGGAGACTCGTCATTTAAATCGCCTCCTCGGAACCAATTCTTCATGCTCGCCATGATCAGAGGAATCAGTCTGAACGGCGGAGGGTGGTGATCCGGCCATGGATAATGTCTCACACGGCCATAAACGGCCTCGTCGGGATATCCGGTCCCCTCGGCGCGGAACTCCCAGATGGCCCAGTCATCCCCATGCTTGGAATCCAGAAATTTGACGAGCTGATCCAGGGGGTTGCGGTACGCCCGCTGTGGGTATGTTTGTGAAGGGCCAGATCTATTGCAGATTGTGCGAATGTCAGATGAGATCAGGCAAGATGAATATGAGTGCGGTAAGCGGGGCAATAGCTGGAGATATCAAGCAACACAAAGGTGTGCATCCAACAAGGTAAGGAACTCTTGTGGTATTTCCATGATATACCGAAAAATTGTTAGAAGGGGCCACCTACGTCGCGATGATGTTGTCAGTCACATAGCATAAATCTAAGTCGGCTTCAGCGTGGCGGGTTCTCGGGCCTGCGACAATCTGTCTGAGAATGGAGGCCATGACATAATAGATGATATGTGTGCACGGACACAATCAAACAGGCGCAAAGCCAACTCCTGCGAAAGTAGCCGGCGAATTGAAGTAGCCGCCTGGCGATTGAGTTAATTCTGGGAACAGCGACGCCGGCCAGGAGAGAGAGCGCTTGAGAATGGACGAACGACGTTGGAAAGGGAGAAGCGAGGCTAAATGCAGAGAGCAATGACAGGTGGGTTAGGAGCTTGGGAGGCAGCCGAGTGTGGGGGTAGCTCGAGGATAGTTGTATGTGTTTGCCAGGCACAGAGCGGCGGTTGATGAGGCTGATTTGAGGGCGGATAGGAGCAGGAGCCACAGTGAGCGTAAGTCGTATACGTAGCCAGCAACACAGCTGGCCAGGTCCTCGAAAGAAGGAAATGGATGACGGGATTGGGGTTGGGGTTTGCCAGGTTTGGGCGAGAGCACCTGAGCTAACATCAGATCCGGCTGGCGGGCGTGGAGAACATGCTTGACCTGGGCCAATTACTGGCACATTCAGCAGCGATGGGGACACAGGGTGTTGAACAAGTGGTGGCAATGGCAGTCAGCCAGACGGGGACGTGGTAAGACGAATCTAATAATTGCAGATGTGCGCATGTAACCAAGATCGCCAAGGCCACCCATTTGTAGATAGTGAGGCCTCATTCCATGGCACATCACAAATGCGATGGGCTAGGCTATTGCGCCTGCCCTGCCAAGCTGCCAAGGAGCTCACCGGCAAGAGCAATCAACTGCCGCCTGCCATCTCTCTACGAACCTCTACAACGGGCCCAGCATGCCAGTCACATAGGTACCTTAATCACCAATCTCACTACGACCTAATAAAGGCAGGAATCAGGTTGATAGATAAGACTCGTCATGTCTCCCACGATCGCCAGCTGAAGTCCCAAGACGGCCACAGTAGAGACGACGTCATGAGAAGCCCCACTTCTATGGCAAGCTTGAGGTTGCATGTGGCTCCATCTTCACACACCAGGATCGCCAAACACGCGAGCTGGCTGGCTGATTCTCGTTGTTGCAGACATTATATTCATGCTCCATATGCAGGTAGGTTTCCGCCTCCATTCCCACAAATTGCCTCACACATCGGTGAAAAAAAAAAAAGAGAAAAAAAAAAGGGCCAAGACACATCAAGAGGGAGCGAAGAGTAGAGCAAGCACACAATATCGAGACGAGGCGGGTGACGCAAACACAAAAAAGGTGACGTTAGCTGATAGGAACCCCGGAAAGCAAGAAAACGACCAACACCAGCCAGGAAATTGAGTCGTCAGGCTCCCCAGTACCTTTTCCCGTCTACACCTCAGAACGCAGATACAGAGGTAACAGCCACAGTGCCCTTTGTCCTCTCCCATCTTTCCCCATTGAATTTCCCCGTAACATACAATTTTCACCAAGAAAATAATTATTCTTGTACCGCCTATTCATTTCGATCCGTCCATTGTAAATGTAAAAATAAGCAGAGACCCCTCGAACAGGAGACACCCATGGGCTTCGGTCCATCCCGGGAGAACCGTGAGAAGCCCAGAAAACCATGGGTAACTTCTGATGATTAAACCATTCCGTGAAACGAGTTTCCCCGTAACCTGCCAGGGGGGCGGGGTAGTCTGATCCCAGGTCCCCAGCTTCGTAATTCCGAAGAAAGCGTTATCCATTATCTCTCTTCCAGCTCATCATTAACCGTCAGAACCAACACCAGGCCCCCTCGTTGAATGACCGAGCTTGAGACCGTGTGGCCATGGCACCAACGTATTCGTTCGTCCAAGGCCTGTGTCGGCAAAGACCCTTACGAGGTCTTCTTGGCGGGAGCGCCCTGCAGATACTTGCTGGCATCGGTGATGTCGCGGAACTGGACCGCAACGTTCTTCACAGTGTCCCAGGTCTGGCGAAGAGCGGGGGGAGTGTTTTGTGACCCAACTGCGGAGTCGATGCGGGCGGAGAGCTGGACGAAGGCAGTCTGCACGTGCGAGCTCTGGGCGTAGCGCGCACGGAGGAATGCAGTGTAGAGAACAATGAGAATCCAAGACCTGCGCTGGAAGAGGAGGGCAGCAAGCAGGATGCGACCCCAGAGGAGAACCTCAAGGAGAGCGACAACAGACATGGAGGAGTCATAGTACTCCTTCACAAAGGCGCCAATCCTGTCAGCCCAAGGGTTGCTAACTCGGGGCTTGGAGGAAGCACCATCAGCGGCAGCGGCAGCGGGGGTAGGCTGGAGGGCGGGGATCAGGTTGGCACGTGTGTAGGTCGCAACGTGGAAGATCGAGTATACGGAGTAAGGAAGGAGAGCGAGGGGATACTGGGGGGAGAAGAGCCAGATCAGGGCCAAAACTATAATCCGTATCCCTGGTTAGCAAAAAGACCAATTACCCTAGCCAGGGTCCCGGCTGGCGTGATGAGGGGCAACGCACTCAGATACTGAACATTCTCATCAGCGAGGAGAGCAATGGCGCCACCAGGAGGCCTGTTGCCGGTCTTTGCACGAGCGCGCTGGGTCTTGTAGACAACAATGCCGTATGTGAGGGCGGCGGCGACAAACGAGGTGCGGTAGCAGAACTGGGCCATGCCGCCATAGTAGTTCATGCGCAGCCATGAGAGCGAGTAGCGCAGAGTTGTAAGAATAAGCGTGAAGTGACTAGTAGGAGGGGTTTCAAGTCAGCGGGATCATCTTTCCAATATTCTCGTGGTCTGGGTATATGAGTTATTCGCAAATCCGAGCAAGGTGGCTGGTCGGAGGGATTGTGGGGAAGTTCGGCTGGAGCTGAGGTTGTCGGATAGCTGGACAAGGAAAAAGAGAGAGGCCTGGAACCTACCCAGCGAACCAAGCGACTGGAAGAGTAATTTTGTTAGCTAGTGAATCTATAGAAATGTCTGTAGTAATTGGAATTTGCGCGACCCATCTGCGGCGCGGGAAATGGTGTGTTGGGAGTCCATCCTCGGAGGGGCAAGAGACCACGTACACTGCAAGGTCTTGGCCAAGGCGAGCAACCGCTCCTGCAGCGGCAAGTTGGGATTCGGCTGAGAACCTGCCATGGCTGACCGAGTCTGAGTACAAAAGATTCTTTGGAAGAAAGGGCGTCGAGGCGACAGGAGTATAGTGGTGAGGTAGCGGAGGTGGGCCAAGAAGAGGGTGTATGTATGTATTTCGGAGGATTTGGAGGAGGGAAAGAGGGATGACGGTGCGGAGGTGACTGAATAGAAGCAGATGGATGACAGCGGTGAGGTCAGCAGTTGAGCTAGGGCCTGGGCGCATGCACTGTGGCCTGAATTTTGGGAGCAATCGGGGCACCCTCGACCAATCTTTAGGCTGGTGGCTGTGGCCCTGAAGACGCCCTCAGTGCGAACCACAGCGCTAGCCCAGCCACTACGTAACCAGTCGTCGGGTGGGGTGAACCTGCCAGCTGAAACAGCTCCAGCTGGGCAGGCAACGGGCCCAGATGCCCGCCCTAGTGCTACAACTTGCATGTTGTACCAACCCTGGGAGCTATTGAACTTTTTCCCACCAAAATGGCCCGAGAGCTTGGTTAGCTCCAAGTAAACGTCATCGATCAACGTGATCATCGCTCAGCGCGGATGCGACGAGCTGATAAGTTACTCGCGTCACATTTGATTTGCCAACAGCCGCGCATATGCGAGATATATGTACTCGCACAGGAGAGCACCGGAAAGTGGTGGCTGGCTTAAATCGTGGAATTCATGCTTCCTGCATCCGACCCTCGTCGGTGAGGGCAGTGGTTTATCTGTTTTCGCTGTTGCTTTTAACCAACGCTGTCGCAGGGATGAACCATGCGACAAGGTGCTTGTATCAGGTAGGCTTATCATCGTGCGCTTACCTGACATGTGATGCCTTGCTTGTGACCACTATCAATCATTCAACGAAGATGTAGCAATCAATTCATCCATCGTAAATTCATACTATCATCATTACAATAATTTCATAGTCCATTCAGCGTCTTCTGCGCAGCAATCACCTCTCCCTCTGAGACAAAGTCCAGCTACATCAAACATTTAGTCAGTACCTTTGTCTTGCTTGTGCTAGGGTTATCGAGGACATACCAAGACGACATTCGGGTTGCGTCCATAATTGCTCACGCAAATCTCGGTCTGCTGCCGGATATTGCCCTGCGAATTCGTTTGCGAGGCACGTAGTTGGTCAGGAATCAGAATACCTGCGATTTCCTCGTTCAGATTGTGGTTTGCAAAGACCATTCGCCCATCCGCGGGCGTGTCCTTGCTGGGCCGGTCCACATCACAGTTGAAGAAGTTCTCGTCCGTTGGACTGAAAGGCGTTTCCACGTAGTAGTCAAACTGCGGAAGAATATAGGGAACCTTGGAAGTATCGGAGTAATAGTCTGGCCAGTATTAGCTCGTTGCTACTGTTTGCCTGTCAAACCGGCCTCTTGTACTCACCCATGAATACAACAAGTCTCTTCCCAGAATCAATCATCTCGCCGAGAGTCGGCCAATCGTCGAGCCCCAGCTTTCTGCCCGGGACGAACGCAATATCATGAGCTCCTGATGCCTCGAAATGCGGCTTGAACTCCTCAATTTGGATTGCGTCATCCCCGTTCCCAATCAGCAGGGTCACGACCTCCCGAGGATTCGCGTCCAGCCACGTCTTGATGGAAGTGACAATCTCGGAGAAGGCCCCCACGTTGAGAAATGCGCAGTCCGTGTGGCACTGGCGGATTTGCCCATCCTGGATGTGGACTTGGGTGGAAAAGTAGCGGATGCCACTGCTCATGGCCACCTCTGGGTACTGGTACTGGTTATGGAACGGCCCTCTGCCGACAAAGGCAGCATTATGCGCCGCGGCGAATGTGATGCTGCTGTATTTCCGATCACAGAGTGCCTCGTAGCCATTGCATGTGCTTTGCGCGCAGACTCCCGCTGCTAGAGCGACGAGGCCGTAGAGCAGCAGCATCATCATGTCTGCTATGGTGTCCGGGGCAACACCCTAATTTCAAATCGCACCTGCAAGTATTCAATCTTAATTTAAACACAGAGATGCAAGGTACGGCAACAAGAGAACGAGCGAGATAGTGTCATGAAGGAGGTGAAGGGAGGGGTTATATGGTGGCTTGAAATCGCGCCTCCCTTCCTCAACGAGCGAGACGAAGCGATGCCATGTGCCTTTCTCCTTGTAGCAGGTAAGAAGGAGGCCAGGGATTTGATGGAATAGCCATGTGGTTCAAGAGGGCATTGTATCAATGGCCATGTCGATTAAACTCGCGCCCCGCGCCAAGTGTGCCAGCCACTGCAACTCTAAGCGGACCTACGGACAGGGTTCGAGAATCAAGTGCCCATATGGTTCTGGGACAGCTGCTTGATTGGGCATGATCTTCCCTCACGGCGCTTGGAGCGACAAGTGAAAAGCAACGCTGGCAACGACTTTCCAAGATCATTTCCAAATGGAGGCACTTTTATTGATGACCTACCAAGAGAAGACAAGGCACGTGCTCGTTGGTCGTGCGCAAGCTAAGCGGCAAACGAGCATGACCATGGAGCACCACTGTTTGTATAAGCTCGGGGGCTTAATACCCATCAAATCAGACAGATGGCAACCAAGGAACGCCTCTCTTCTTGTGTCGACCTAAACACTTTCTGGTGGCAGTAAATGCCTGGCGTTAGAAAGATGATGATCCACCGCTCATTGATTTCAAGTTGGCACTTCGTCACTCAAGTGGCAGAGAGCATCACATCAGCAACCAACAAAGTATAAACCACAAGATCATGATGAAATACAGGATAACAAATACCGGAAATCAATGAACATCGGCATGAATTTACGCATAAGATGCCCGAAACCTGCCTCTGCTGACTGAATGATCAAATAGTTAGAACTTGACTTTGTCTCTCAGAACATTGTCTGCATCCACACCACTGGGATTGATATTCATCACGCCCGACAAATCCAAAGCTGATTCCTACACTAGGTCAATCGTAACCTTCTGTGCTGCCGTGACATCATTCTCAGGATCACGCCAAACAGCACCGACACCGACTCGCCGGAACGCATTCTCATGCTCGGAAGCAGGAGCCAAAAGCAATACCCAATGCAGCTAAATAATGTATCTCGAGTCAGAAAAATCATTACACTTTGAATAATGCAGTATAAACGTACCCGGCGACTTGGATGGTTTGGCGGAGATGGGAACTTATGAAGTCTTCCAAATCTAGGACATGTTAGTCGATGACTTGTTAATGTGAGAGCTGAAGTTTATACTCATTTGACAGGGCACTGATGTTATCCCATTCCGTTTCGCAAAGAAAGGCAGTGTAACAACTCCCGAAATAAGGCTCATCCGGAGCGGCAAAGCCAATGGGTTGCGAGGTTGGGTCTTCGCCATACATGATTTGATATTCGTGTCTTTCGAAAAAGAAGTTGAGGAACCAAGCGAGCAGAAATGTGTGTGGCTCATGGGGATCCTCAGATACTTCTCCGTCCTCTTCCTCAGATGCTTCTCCATCCTCACCATCCATTATTTCTTCATCCAAATCGCCGAATGTGAGGGAATTTCCGTGAATATCACACTTGCCCAAATTGCCAGTAAAACGAATTACCCCATTTGGCTCCATCACTAAGTTCATTGTTGTTTCGCTTGCGCGTTGGTTGGGGATGCCTGACCTTGTGGCAAATGACTTTGGTCCTCCTTGGGATGCCCAGGACCAGGAAGGAACATCATCCAAGGTCTCTGACGGCAACGTAAACCCTTCCAGTATCCATAGAAGCTGTGCTTCGATATCGACATCAAGAATCCCCATGTGGTATCCAACCCCTTTTTCTTCCTCAAAAACTCTCGCCAGCCCTTTGATGGCAGGAAGGCGGTCCTTCTTGTATGTAAGCTTGCAGCGCGAGTACTTTTCCAGGACGAAGTACCAATCTTCCTTAAATGTATCCTGGTGCATCCATGTTCTCTCACCCAGACTCATACATTGACAACTCCAACTCATTCCTCCAGGCATAAAATGAACCGATCTACGAGCAAGGTATGTCTCTTGAAGAGCCCAGCTCCGTTGTTGTAAAAGCCCGTTTGAGGGGTCCATTGACATCCCTTCCACCATTTCCCTTGATAGCCAGAAGGAGCTACGTATCTGGCCCGAGGCATCGTAAAACGGTAGCTCAACACCGCTGGGATATACATCTCGTCGCACAAAACAGCCTCCGTTAGAGTGAGAAGACCCATCTGCTGCAATGACCAGGAATGCGTGTTGGTAAACATTTGCCATATCAGCTGCTTCCTTTTCCCAGTCGTCATCATCGTCCTGGACAATACAGAGGCTATCGATCCAAAGGTAATCGATACCAATTTCAGACGTTAGCTGAATCGCATCCTTGAAAGTCTGTGGGAGAAGTCCGATTTCTATCCCAGCACAGTGGTCCGCGATCGTCTCTCGGGTTGTGACCACGCTTTGGGGTCCTTTACCCCAACAGTAGCTCAGGGCGCAGAAGTTTCCTTTCAGGCCGTTACTCTCAATGAGAGATACAACCCCCTCATCTCGTTTACTAACATCTAGTACTCTCGTAGGGAGTTTTGGACCATGGATTTCGTCGACAATAAGGCCTGCTCTGGTCTCTAAACATTGCTGATGATGAAAACGACACTTGCGAAGCCATTTTGTGACGAGAGCAAACGCTTCTGGGCAATTATCCGAAAGTAGTGGTGGATCCTGTACGATATCCAACGTATCTGGTATTTGTGAGCAATATGAATATTTCGAAAATGAATGAAAGCCAGAGACTTACCATCGTCGCACCAAATAGCAAAAGTGACCTTGAGCCCATAGGGCCCATGCTTAGTTATGATTTGGACCCTCGCTAAAGGCCCTTGATTACTGGAAGGGTCTCTGTCATTTCTATGAAAATGATTGATTAGAACGGAGCCGTTTCCGAACCTCTCCTGCCACCCTGATGTGAGTGTAAATTTTGACGCGTTGGCGCTGTTAATCATCTTGCAGAGGTGACAAGTAATCGAGGGTGGCCAGAGTCCTGGACCTTTATATCCAGACAAGGAAGTGGCTGTGAAAGAGGGAGAACGTGAGGATATAGCCTTGACAAATGCAAGGCAATTTGCGCAAAGAGGCGCCTCCGAGCAGACGATTCTGTCCATGGTTGCAGACGGCTGATGAGGGGAAGAGTCTTCTCAGGAAGGGCCAAGTCAGCAGCAGCCTTGCAGTCTTACTCACAAAAAAACCTACACCAAAAAGAGGTACCGTGATTGGCTGCGATTTCATAAGATCTTTGCTTCATTGGGTCATCAATATGCACTGAGTGCATTACTGCCTCTGCCTATCCCGCCCATTGTCTATAAGGTATCATTGTACAAATACTGGCCCAATGTGGTCTGCCATGCGAATCTTCCTAAACTCCAACGCGAAAAGAAAAACAAGAAAACAAACGTTTATCATCAAAAGTCCTCCCAAGAAAGAAATTTATACAAACACCAAGTTTTAGTATTTACACACTCTTGTTGAGCAGAGACCCGACATCTTGCAGTTGTACCTCATCGATCTGAGGAGGTCGTCTTCCTCGATCGATGCGTCCCCAGCCTGCACCCCAAGTTGGCACAGCCTGCTGTTGCACTGGAGTGATTGGAGAAAGTGCGGGAGGTACCGCAGGCGAAGACATGGGGCTTGTTTCCTCGGGCACGACGCCAACATTGTGGTGCTGGTGACTGACATTAGAGGAGCTGCGGCTGCTAAGAGTAATTTCCTCATTCCTGCCCGCATCATGCTGGCTTCTCCGTCTCCTCCACCAAAGATGTGATCTGCGTTGGCGGATGCTGTCGAGAGTACGGGGCAGCTTTGTGATAGTACTGTGAGACGGCCTGCGGTGACGGTCGTTGTTACCACTGCTATTACGGGCATCGTTGGTGGTGAATACAGTCTCCTTGGAGCGAGGATAGAAGAATCCTGCGGGCTGGCCTCCACCGAACGGGTTCCATGAAGGGCGATGGCTGTTAGTGCCGAAGCTGATGCTACCGTTGCGGCCAGCGTTATAGCTGGTGCGCGGTTCACCGGCGAGTTCCTCCAGAGTGTAGCCCTTTGTTTCCGGAATGAGGAAGGAGACCAATGTTCCGAGCAACATGAAGAGAGCAAACATTTGGAGAAGCTTGTCGAGGTGCGGAGAACAGGCGTTACCCTTGCAGTTTGGAGGAGAGTCTTTGTTAAGCATCGGGATACTGATGACTTGTGCAATGATGGCACCAAGTTTCCCCATGGCTGCGGATAGACCATGCGCCGTCGAACGGTAGCGTGTGGGAAAGCACTCACCAGCCACAATGAAAGTAGTGGTGTTAGGTCCAGCGTTGAATAAGAACTGGCCAACAATGTAGAGTGCAAGGAGCGTGTTCTCCCCCATATCGCGGAGTTTAAATCCAAGTATGGCGAATACTATTGTAAGAAGGAGGAAGCCTATGATCTGGAGTGACTTGCGCCCAAATGTGTCGATGGTGAAGACGGCAAACCAGTAGCCAGGTATCGAGCCCGCGCACGCCAAGATAATCATACCCACAGCCTGGTTGAACAGCTTTTGGTGAAGATTTGAGCCGTCAGCGTGTCCAATGGCATGAAGAACAATAGTGTTGTTGAGGCCGAGACCATAAAATGCGAGATCCTTCGGAGATTAGTTATGGGCTGAAAAAAAGGCCGCGTTAACTGAACTTACAAGGAAGAACCACGAGAGGGAAGTGCCAAGGAGGACCTTCAGATGACGCCAAGACTTGAAGTATTCATAGAGGTCACCCCACGAAGCTTTGGGCATGTTTAGCTTCTGAGAGGGCAAATGATGTGCTGCAAGAGGGCTTGCCCCAGTGACAGAGACGGAGTCTATAGATTTCCTTGACATATAGGCCCGAATATCAGCATCGGCCTTCTCCACATCGAATTGCACATCGAAGGTGTATCGAGGCGTCTCAGGGATAGTGATGCGATAATAGAGCGCAAGGCAGGCGGGGATAGCGCCAACACCAACAATAATTCTCCAGGATCTGTCAGCAGCTAGACGACAAGCACTGTCGCACAAGGACTCATTTGGGATATTGACGTAGTGGGACTTGAACCCAACAGCGGTTATTAGCGCAACCATAGCACAGATAAGCTGGCCCATTCCTTGCATTGAAAAGACCGCTGCTACCATGGCGCCTCGCCATCTGGTTGGAGCAAACCTGTTCAACAATGTTAGTCAGGGTAGGGAAGCAGGTGACGTTTGGTGATTGACACATACTCGGCGGTAATGACTGAACTAAGGGGATAGTCGCCTCCAATTCCAATGCCCATTACGACTCTCCAAAAGATCATCACAGCGGTAGAACTAATGGCGGGACTAGAACTAACCATGGCGCAACTGAAGGTCCCCCAGATGATGAGACCCAGTTCAAAGCCATACATTTTTCGTCGGCCATAAGCGCTAAAAACGAATTAGCTATGAGACTCAAGAAAAGAGAGAACAGATGCAACGGGTGTAACTCACTCGGCCATCCATCCAAATAGGATCTGTCCAATGATGATGCCACTGCTAGTTGAAGCTTTCAGAGCCTGGTTGACTGGGTCTGGCAACAGGCCATTATTACCTCCATACCCATCGGAGGGATCACCACCTCCCCAGAAAACCAAACCGAGGAGTGTAGTAATCAAGTTAATTGCGAAAATATCATAAGAGTCTAAGAAGAAGCCGACGCCAGCTACCAAGACGGCACGTACATCTGATTGGTCTCTCATGTTAGCATTGCCAAGACGAGAACGCCAAGCCCGGCATGAAAGAAGAGCACATACGGTACTTTCCAAAAGGAACTTTGTCTATTTCTGATAGTGCTAATCGTCTTCGAAGGTTGGGGTCTTGAATGTGGGAGTAGTCGTTATAGAAGTTGTGGAAGGCGCCATTTCCGCCATTACTGCGAAGTCGTTGCTGGGGATTTACAAAGACCCCCGACTCGGGGAGCATCTCATCTATAGAGGCCGACATTTTGCATAATCGTAATTGAATGGTGCCAGATGTTGGAAGCGAATGACGATATTAAAGAGTAGGCCGACAAGAATGGGGGCACACGGCGACAACATGAGGCGATGGGGGAAGTGTTGTCGCCGTCCAAGTGCAGAGGCACTCCTCACGATTGCATCGGAAGCCGTGGACCTAGATCTCGAGATGTAAATGCAGATGTTGATAGGCAGATGCCGAGCCCTCCGCGCGATTCGGTTGGTGGTTCCCTCCCACGACGTCAGTGGTAGGTTACAGGTGTCGTCCCAGCCAGATACCGCAGCGGTCCACGATCTTTCTCCTACGCACAACAGCGGTTCTCTCTTCACGACTTGCGCAGCGATGGAATTCTCAGTCGAGGTCGGACAGGCGTCGACGTAAACGGGAGTCGTTTGGCGAGGTCAGATCAAATATGCCCGTGGTTCGGTCTCAGGATCGGCAATATCGCCTAGTGGAGGTGCATGCGCCGCTGGAGCCGTGCAGATGGATCCGTCAGGAAGCGCAGCAGGATGTCTGGATTTCGTGATGGACGGGGGTGATGGGAGGATGGATAGACAACAACCCGGAGATTTGGGAAGGCGAATGTGCGACACGCGAGCAGATATAAAAATAAAATGTTGATTCAGACGACAAAATGTCAATGAAGGAAAGAAAATAAAGCTAAATGGGATGGATTAATGTCTACTAACTGGGAGTGGAAATGTACATTCCACCCAGAGGCAGTGGCTTGGGGCCCGCAATGGCAGGCACATGGGCCAAACGAGTGGTTGTAGCCCCTCATGCGGCCACAGCAGAGTCGCATGTATGGATGGAGTGGGAGGGGGGATGCCTGGAGGAAGCGTGGGCATACAGTAAGCTGTGACGACAAGTAGAAGGCAAATCGAAGCCGGCAAACACGGCTTCTGGACCACACACCTCCCGCTTCAGCTTTAGCGTGGAACTCCCCTGGGCCTGTGCTGCGGGACTCGGGAGACTAGACAGCGGATAGGGCGTCCTCCTGAGGCAGATCAGTCCCAGCTGGAATCGTATTACATACTGCCAGTGGTGGTAAGATGAGACATGGCGCCTCTGCAGCGCCTTACCCAGTAGGTAGCTGGGTGTGGTAAGCTACCTAATCTGAGATGTGACTGCCAGGTTCTGCAGCGAATCTTCAATGCTGTCCTGCACGCCAGTGCGCGTGCGCGGGAGGCTAAAGCTAAGGCGCCCCTGCTTCTTCACCATGGTCAATTTTCGATGGAGGTGATTCAACTAGTGACGTGAGCTAAAGGCTTCCAGAGCCGCCTTCTAGAGCCCTGTTGCCCTGTAACCAGCGAGTCGACTGCTGGACTTACATATGCGCTAGTTCGTTCGTACCTCTTTTGTGCAGCTCCAGTTACCCAAGATATCCACCGCACTTGTCTTGGGCGACAGCACGTGTTTTCAGGCACACCTGGGAGCGAAAACGTGCTGGACATTTTGGCACAGCCAGTGTCCATTCGTGCTGAAACCTTGCGCGCTCTGCCCGAGTACACCCAATACTATTACATACACAATCCCTATTCAGGCAAAGCCCACTCTCGTCACCTCGTATGAAGAAGCACTGTGACTGGTGAGAGTAATCGCCTGTTGGGTAAGATTGCATGACTCTCGGCTTCGGCGAATCAACGGCCGTACCGCGGCCCTCTTGACGCAGGGCTGTCTTCCCCAAAACGAACTGCTCCCAGACCATGTGCCCGGCTCACCTGGTGAGCATTGGCTGGCCCGGAGGAGTCATCCTATTCAGGAAGCCTGGACCATAAGGCGGCTGATCGACCTGGGCGATTTTCTCACACACGTTCGTTTCGTGGTCACCTTTTAGGATGGACCCCCTGGGCCGTTTATGTTCTCCATTTTTCTTCTCGGCGGATCTTTTTTCCCACTACCTCATCACGAACGCTGATTCGTGATCCTAGCCATCCTTGTTTAACCATGTTTGTGTTGAAGCTTACACCTAGTTATCACATAGGCAGGTAAAATATACATATGTCTCATCGAACTTTTGTTTCCCTATGCAATGACGCTGTTCCTCCTTACCAAGCCGTAATATCGTCCACCTCAGCCTCACCAAAAGTGCTTGACTTTGCAAGAGTGCCGACAGATGCCTCCTCGGGAACAACGCCCTCCCTAGTCATAATGTCCGGGAGGACCTCCCGGAGGAATCCAAGCACGTACCGGTTGACCTGCTCAAACTGCAGCAGGAAGGCGTCGTGCCCCTCGGGGCTGTCGATGCGCTCCAGCCGGGAATTCTTGACATGCTGGGCAATTTCCTCCTGCTCCGCGAACGTGAACAGGCCGTCGCTCTCGATTCCGAGCACGAGCGTGGGCTGCTCGATCATCTCCAGGGCCTCAGCGATGGTGGCCGCTCGGTTGCGTGACACGTCGTGCGTGTCTAGCTTGCGCGTCATGGCTATGTAGCAGTTGGGGTCAAATCGCTTAACAAACTTAGTGCCCTGATACCGCAAATAGGATTGCGCGGAAAAGTAGGTCGATGTCGGGAACGAATCACCTCCGGTAAGACTACCCTCGGCGGTCTTCTGGGGACCATGGAACTGTGGATCAAGCGTGCCCTCCGGGTTCGGGCTGGTGTCTGTTCCCGACTCGCTGCCCTTCCTAGAAAGCGAGGTCCGTTTGACGTTGTGTCCGTCATTATGAATGTGGAAATGCGCCTCGGACGGTGTGCTTGGTCGTGGCCGACCGCTTATGGTCTGAACCTTGGCCGGGTCCGGGATGTTACGGCCGAATCGAGACTCGAACGAGTTGCGGCTTCGGTATGTAAGCAGAGCAGACATGCGTGCCGCGCCGAGACCGGTGGAAGGAGGGTCATCAAGTGAATAGTAGCCATCGTCATACTTGGGGTCGGCATATATGCTCTGCCGCTGAGCCTCACCCCAGCTGATGCCCCAGGCGCTGTGCCGGCTAGATGTGGCGATGGGAACGATGCAACGGATGTAGTCTTTCCCAAAGTAAGCCCACTCAAGAACAAACATGCCTCCCAGCGAGCCGCCGATAACGGCCGCGATTTGCTTTACTCCCAAGTCATCAAGGAGAAGCTTGTGTAGGCTGAATTAATATGTTAGTGCCGCTCTCATTCTGTCCAAAGGAAGCCGAAACCTACTTCACATCATCTCGAATGGTTGTGAGTGGAAACTCAGGTCCATATCGCCCCTTTGTTGCATCTCCATCCCTTGCCGTGACTGGGCTGGCAGATCCATAAGGACTGCCCAAGCTGTTCATACAAATGATAAAAAACTTGGTCTCATCGAAGGCTTTCCCATTTCTGCCAAGCAGTGGGCCCCACCAATCGCCAACATCTGCGCTGCCGGTCAGGGCATGGCATATCACCATGGCGTTGTCTCCCTCTGGAGACAACTTGCCCCTGGTGGTGTATGCTACGGGCACATTGTAGAGAATCCCTCCAGACTCGAGCTTGAACTCTGGGATAATTGCTATCTTCTGCTCCGGGATTAACGCAGCAAATGGGTTCTCAGGCTGTGAGTGCATTCTTTCTTCCTGGTATTCAGTCACCGGTCTTTCAAAATTTGTAATGAAATCTGTTGGGGAAAGGGGAATACGCGATTAGGGTGAGGTAGGCAGATGTGCTACTGACCGTATGACTTTGTCTTCCCGTCTTGACCCAGGCCCAGGCCGTTATCAGTTGCCATTTTGACAGTTCTTGCTTTTTTGTAGCGCACCGAGAACGGGGGGAGGGTTGAACTCAAAGGTTTTGTAAGTGGCAGGCGCGGTCCCGATCCCAAGTAGTGGCCGCGCTCAACAATTAACTGGCAGCGTTTCTAGCAGTAAGAATAACTTCCGAGCCTGATTATGCTCGCACGTGATGAATTTTGATCTCAATAAATTTAGCTGAAGTCGAGAGCGGGCAGCGAGCCGATCTTGTATTGCGCCATAGCGCGATTCGGCCAACCGTGTGAGTCAGCGTCCAATCGGAGCCCGCTAAACTGAATCCAGTGACAAGGCGAGAGCCATTTTTTCGGCAGCAAATTGTCCAACGGCATTGCATTCCAATCCCGAAAGGCATTCAGAGAGATGGGGCTTATTGCTGGTCGTGTCATGCATTTATTCTGGGGAAACGGGGTGAGTTCAGCCAATTGATGCCTCGCTCATCTACCTATTATTGTTCGAGTTGCATGTCATTGTCACATCGACGCGGCTCAATGTGAATGTACCTACTCCGTACACTACGTCAGCCACCCAAGTAGCTGTCAGAAAAACAGGGCCTTCAAAGCCACCTCGACAGAATTAATGTGGCTGCCAGTCATATAACAATGCTTCCTATTGTGCAATAACAAATAAAATTATCTATGGGACGATCACTCGAAAACTGATTATTATTATCGACTATTCTCTATCAATATCTTGGCCTCCTGGAAAGTTGAAATAGAAACGCCTATAGTGTACATAAACTCTGTTATTCTGACTCCATTCTCTTGGCTATTGTGGCGGTGCGACAATAGGATCCGGGGTGCTGCCCAGCCGCCAATAATGGTGGGGCACGTCGCTGAAAGGTCGAGCTGCTTAGGTAATACGCGAACGACGTGGTGAAGCTTCAACCTTTTTGTTCCAAGCCTCGTCAAATGCTTGCCATCGCAAGAACATTTATCAAAGGCGCCAGCACAGCAAGCCCACCGCGTCCGAGGCTAGCTTGCATGTTGTTCCCGGCGTACCTCAACGACTATCTCTAGTTCCATCTCTTCTTTTTTTCTTTGTTCTTTTCTTTATCTTCCTCCTTACTTCAATCCCCGTCAAGGGCGAATACCACTTGGCGATCCTTCCATCGAAGACAGACTTTGGTCGCTGTCGCACAGAATCACTCTTTGTCCCAATCACTCCGCTCGCCCAGGAACAATGTATGTTCATGTTTTCCCCATCCACCCGTGCTTTGATCGCGTAGCCTAGTGTGTTTTGGCCCGGGAACTGACAAAGCCTTGGCAGCTACAAAGCCTACAAGCAATCCCTTGAAGTATCGTCTCCTCCACCCACTTACGTTCAATCATCACCAATGATATAGTCATCATACAAAGCAACCTTTTGGCAAACGATGCCTCCAAAGCGAAAGCGTTCCGGCGCCCCAGATGGCGGGCGACCTTCACCCCATCGGCCTGGTGACACGGGTCTCGGACAGCATGACAGAGAAGATAACGGCGGTAGAAGCCGTGGTCGAGGTAATCAAAGAGGTGGTTTTAATAACCGACGCGACTCGTCGCAACATAGTCACAGGGGCTCTCGCAACCAATCCCAGAACGGCTCACCAGTCATGGCACGATCAACCCTTCCACTGCAGGCCGTGTCTCCCACCATGGGGCGATCCAACTCGGCCTCACAATCAATGCCACCTCCACCGACATCGCCACCTCCATCTTTATCGCTCGGACAGCCAGTCATGAAGACTCCAACCCCGGCTACAGAATCGACAGCCGATCCCAACGCATCCAAGCTTTCTGCGGTCGAATACCGATACAACACCTTAACAGACGAGATTCTCCGTGAATGGACCGAACGAGGTCGAACAGAAGTCATCGAACATGGTTGTCAGTCGCGTGAGGACGAGGATATCACAGAACTGTCTAGCGTCTTCCAGGAATTTATTCACTCCGTCATCACTGGCAGGCTGGATCCTACTGATGCAGGAGCTTGCGTAAAAGAAATTCTGGGCGAACAGCCTAGCGAAGAGTCTGCGGATGGCGATTCTTTCGCAAACCACTCGCTCTTCTTGGACTCCCTTTCGATAATCTTGGAAATCGGCGCCAATGAGTATCAGCCATCGCTCGCAGACTTTCTCAAGGCAACCGGAATTCCTGTATCACTCATGCGACAAGTCTTGGAAGGCCCAGTATTGACTCAGCTTGGTCTAGTCCGTACAATCTTCCAGAGAACTTTGGTCAGACATACCACCAACCTACTCTACCGACAATCCAACTTCAACCTCCTCCGTGAGGAGACAGAGGGCTACTCGAAATTGATCACCGAGCTTTATACAACCAGCGATGTTCTTCCCGTTGACATGGCTGTGCAGACATTCGAAAAAATCAAAGGTCTGATTGGAACCTTTGATTTGGACGTCGGTCGTGTGCTCGACGTGACCCTGGACGTGGCCGCCGCAGTTTTGGTCAAACAGTTTCGATTCTTCGTGAAACTGCTGCGAGTTAGTTCTTGGTGGCCACGCTCGCATTTGAAAGCCTCAGACACTGGGTTTATTGGCGGCCTCCCCACCTGGGCCACTCCCGGATACCCTGACTGGAATACCACAGAGGAGGATGAAGCGAAGAATGCACAGTCGAGACTAGCCCGAGATATTGCGTTTTGGGATCGAGCCCGCGAGGTTCAGCTCCAGGCCTTCTTCGAATTAGGTGGAAGACGACCCTCGCCTTCATCCGAACGTGATCTGGCAACTACGAACGGGGATGGTGGTGAAGAGGCCGTGCTTGATTCCCAGATGGAATGGTTGAAGGCAACCAAGACAATGCCACCGGTTGGTAACCGCGTTGCCGCTCAATTACTTGGCTTCAAGCTTCTGTTCTATTACTCGGACACCAGAGACCCCTCCGACGTGCTCCCTGCCAACCTCCTCTATCTGGCTGCTCTTCTAATCAAAATCGGATTCATCTCTCTTGCTGATCTCTGGCCGCACTTGTCTCCAGCCGATGACAACATGGACAAAGTCCGCGACCAGAAGCTCAAAGAGATGGAAGAGAAGGAGAGGAAGGTTCGTGGAGGTGGCCAGATGAATGCGCTGCTCATGGCTGGTGCATTGCCTCAAGATGACGATGGACCACCCTCAGCACCAGCGCGAAGGGACGCAAAACGGCCAGAAGCCGAGCCCAAACCGGATGTCAAGAAGGCGAACGATCCCAAGTCAGACGATCCGCATGAGCAAAAAGTGACGCTTCTTACTCAACTCCTTACTATTGGAGCTATACCCGAGGCTTTGTTCATCCTCGGCCGTTTCCCTTGGATCCCGGAGGCTGTCCCCGACGTTATTGACGGGATACACCGCATCCTTCATGTCTCTTTAGAAAAGGTGTACAGTGATAGCTGCCCTATTAAGGCAATACCAACAGACTGCCCTACGAAACGAGTTCCCGACACCGACCAAAATGGCGTGCCCAAGGGTACCGTCAAGCTCACATCTCTGACAACTAAAAAGATTCTTCGATGGCCTACCCCCGACAAGAACGACCATAACGAGACGCAAGATTACCACTATTATTGGGACGAGTGGACCGATAACGTCCCTGTGTGCCAAAGTGTGGATGACGTCTTCACCTTATGTGACACCTTCCTCAACCTGTCAGGTGTAAACATTGGCAAGGATGAGGCTCTGCTATCCAAATTAGCCACAATCGGTTCGAAGAGCTTACATGATGATTCATCAGAAAATAATCTGAATCGCTGGCACAGCCTGCTTCGAAGATTGTTGGTACCTGCTTTGAGTCATACCAAGGCTAATGGTTCTGCCGTCAACGCAGTTTGGGCTCTGTTGAAGCATTATCCAATCCAAACCAGGTACTCTATTTACTCTGAGTGGTTCGAGGGCCAAGTTTCGCGTATCCCTGCCATGCAAAAGGCCTTTGCGCGGGCCAAGTCAGAGACTCAGGCAACCATGAAACGAGTTTCATTGACAAACCTGGGTGAAATGGCCAAGAGACTTGCAAAGACAAGTTTGTCTTCTCCTGGAATTGTCTTCAGAGTTGCTTTCGAGCAGCTTGAATCCTATCCCAACCTGATCGAGGCCTTCGTTGAATGTGCTAAATACTTCACTGAATTATCGCAAGAAGTCCTTGTCTGGTCATTGGTGAATTCTCTCGGAAAATCTCGAAGTCGTACTCAAGCAGACCACGCCCTTACAACTAGCAAATGGCTATCAGCCCTTTCCAGGTTCACGGGCAAAGTTTTTCGTCGATATGCTACGCTCAGCCCAACACCGGTTCTTCAATATATGAACAAGCAACTCTCTCAGGGAAACTCAACGGATTTGATCATTCTCAAAGAATTGATTTCCTCAATGGGCGGTATTGTCGACACAGCCGATTTTACCGACTATCAAATCCTATCCATGGCTGGTGGAGAGGTGCTTCGCCGCTACACTCTGATTCGAGGCCAGGATCGACGGTTCGACAATGTTAGAAGCTCTCACCGTTTGGCAAAGGCTCTCACCGAATCAAAACTCGCTGGTTTGGTATTGGTCAATCTTGCTCAATTCCGACAGGCAGCGATTTTCCAGGTGCCAGAAGATGAGGCACACATCAAGTATCTATCCTCTCTCATTGACGATACCCATCAAATATTGATACAGTACCTTGATTTCCTCTGGACCAATCTCGACGCAACCGCATACGAAGCAGCTGTGCCACTGATTCCTCAACTCATGAATTCTTTCGGCCTAGACGCCAGCTTGTCCTTCCTCATTGGCAGAGCCAGTTTCTCTTCCAAGATGTTCCCCCCAGTGCCAAGAAAATCGGCCGAGGGAAAGGCTATAGAAAAGGGGTCCGAGGTTGATAAGGATGGTGATGCAAAGATGGCCGAGCCCACTGGAACTTCGAAGCAAGATTCTTCCTCCAAAGAGAAGGATAAAGCCGCTATGGAAGAAGAGAAGCGAATTGCCGACTCGGCTCAGATCCAAGCCATGCTTCAGCCAACGGTTGAAGCAGCACGCGAGAATTTGTCAACTGATGTATGGGAAAAGTTTACGCCAGAACTCTACGTCACATTCTGGGCACTCCAGCTTGGTGATATATTCTGCCCCGATAAGAGTTACAAAGCTGAGATTACCCGGGTCAAGAATGAAGAGCTCGCTCTCTCCAGGGACCGTTCGAGTATGAACCACAAGAATCAAGAACGCAAGTATGAGAAGAGAAAGGAGCTCATGAACCTATCCATCGATCTCCAAGAAGAGCAGAACGCACGTATTCAACGACGAACACGGTTCAGGTGGTACCTCACGAGACAATTCCAAACGTCCTTCCCTGAACCCAGGCCGACAGCTGAGAGCATCGCCGACTTGCTCCTCGAGCAGTGCTTCCTTCCAAGGCTCGTTCTTTCGCCAGCTGACGCTGAGTACACGTATCGATTTATCAAGTCTCTCCATGAATGGAATGCACCTGGTTTCAAACTCATGGCTCTTTATGATCGACTGTTCAATGCCAACCGCCTTCGGTCAATTATCTTTTCATGCACTGTCAGAGAAGCTGACCAACTGGGCCGCTTCCTCAAACTTATCTTGGAAGACCTCTCCCGATGGCACAAAAATGATCCCATCCCAGGAGACAGAGACAGGCAGCGTCTTGGGGCATATGAAAAGGAGGGCAAAGGCCAGGGTGACCAAGCCCATCTGGGCTTCGCACTTACTGTGGATGACAATGGCAAGCCCGAGACCTTTGTCGAGCATGCTGAGTTCCAGGGTCACCTATTCCGGTGGCACAAGAACTTAAACACCGCCCTCAAGTCATGCCTCGGGGGCACAGAGTGGATGCATATTCGAAATGCCATCACGGTGCTAAAGTGTGTCCTTGACTTTTTCCCAGCCATCGATTTCATGGCAACTCAATTTTCGAGCCAGCTTCAGAAGATCACCAAGCAGGAAGCGGCTTCCAAGACTGCCACTGAAGGAGAAGAGGCTCATCGTGTCGATTTGTCCGTCGCAGCCCAGGGTGCTTTATCTGAGCTCCAGAAGAGGAAGCCAAAGTGGATTATGGTACAGGCTTTCCGGCCCAACTCGGTAAGTTCGCAACCAAAATCCGAGTGTAACAAGCCAGAAACTAACCTATCAAAGGTTGGCGGCGCCCAAGCAGATGGTGATAGATCAAGCCTACGTCCCACAGCTACGGAGTTTAAGCCAAACACTCCCAGGTAAGTTTTATGCGACCAACATGCCAGCCGTGGCTTGATCATGGCTAACATGACACAGCGCTTCTGTTCAGCAAACGACAGCTGAGGCAGAGGATGGTGAGGTTCAGGATGGGAAGCCAAAGTCCCGAGTTGTCTCCTCAAGCAACAATGAGACTGCCTCCAATGACTCTCTGCCTCCCAAGCCATCAGGTCCTAGCCGAGACACTTCAAGGCGAGAGGCTACACCAAGTGCACCTGCACCGCGTGCTCCAGCTCCCAAGAATGACCCTCGTGCTAACCTGCCAAACCATCCCCCCCCAAGCCTTCCAAGTCGCCCAGACGTGCCCATTCCCGGTCACTACTCGGAAAGGTACAACCAATCACGCACCCATGATCGCCGAGAGACCAGAGATACCCGAGATACCCGAGAATCTTGGAACTCGAGAGAACCTCGTGAGAGCCGCGATCCACGAGATGTCCGTGAGCCTAAAGAACATCACGACCCACGAAATAACTGGCCAAAGGATGTTGAGTTCCACGACCGAGGTCGTGAGCATACCGACCGACGACAGCATGACGGTCGTGAATCTCATCGCCCAGAAATCCCGTCTCGCAATGGCCCAGAGAGGGATCGACCACCACGAGAAAGTCGGGGTGCGAAGAACCAGGAAGAGCCAAAGAAGGATCCAGTGGCACCCTCAAAGACAGATTCATCCTCAACCTCTCAAGAGCCTGCAATGAATCCCGAGCGAGCTGCACTGTTCCGCCAAGAAAACAAGGAATGGACCCCGCGTCGCCAAGAGGCGGAACAGCCAGCAAGGAATCGAAGGCAACCTCAAGGCGAAGCAGCTCTGGATAATGTCAACCCAGAGCGTGCTGCATTGATAGGAGATAAAGCAGACGGTACACCTAGCCGACAGCCACGGGAAGAAGGCCGGGAACGAGCGGCAAGGGGCCACTCAGACCGGCATGCACCTCGTCATGGCCACGATAACCCTCCACCACCAACAGAACCAGCCCATGAAGAGCGACCAGTACGACCGTTTCCTCAGGATCACCGCGGCCCTTCTGGAAGAGATCCCCGAGATCGATCTCCTCACCCTAGCAGTTATCGTGGAGAACGACCACTTGACCGACCTGGCGGTGATCGCGGAGCTAATGAGAAGAGCAGAGACGCTTCGGGCTTTCACCGTCCCGGCTCCCGTGGCCAAGAACATGAACACCGTGGGCCAGCTTTTGAGGAGCCCAATTATGGTCGTTTGAATCCTGTTGAAGCCGTCAATGATGCGCCGTCGGGACCGCGCGGTCGTGGCCGGTCGGCTGCTAGAGGTGGCCATCCGAACGCCGGACTTCCGCCATCTCGACCGGATAACCGATACTCGCATGATACCCCTGAGAGACATCCTCCGACAGGTCCCTCGTCGTCTGGACGTCCAAACCGCCGTGGTTATGATTCTCATGGGCCCCCCCAAACACCATCCAATGGCTCAATGCACAATGATCGCATGAGGAACTTTAGCGCCGGTCCAGAAATGGGATCTCCAGCTACAGGTGTTCACCCTGATCGACTTGCCCAGATGGGACCAGGAAGCAACTCGCATCCGACTCCGCCTCCTCCACCACCTCCGCCTCCAGGAGGTCCGCCACCACATGGACGGCACTCAATGGGCTCCAATATGACTCCCGATCGATCACGTTCTGACCAGAGATCTTCGAACAATATCAACAACAACATGAATGTGACACCAATGTCCGAGGGTGGAGAACGATCCCGGGGCGGGAGCAGGAGACAGCTGGCTGGCATCAATAACATGCTTCAAGCCAGCAAGCCTGAGCCAACTCGCAGCAGCAGCAGCCGAGGTAGCCGCCCACGTCAAATGCTGGGCAACTCGGATGTGCAGGTCCTTACGGGTGGTTCTCCTGCGGCGACCCCAACTCAGGAGCGGCCAGATCCTGTTCGTCACGAATCCTCTCACAAGGCTCCCACCAACGGTGACGAGGCAGCTCCAAGAGAGGAGCACGATCGATCTCGTCGTGACCGCGAATCTCGCTCTGATAGGCCTAGCAGGTCGTCTCGACGCAGCAGCCGTGATCGGGACCATGAGCGAAGTGCAACACGCGATAAGGACTCCAAGGAACATCGCGAGTACCGTGAAAGACGATCAGGGGCAGGTCAAGAGAGCAATAGAGAGGAACGGGAATCTAGGAGACCAGCGCGTGTCGCCAGTGGAAAGGATTTCATGCCACCCCCGAGTGGTGGTCGTGAGGTGATGGGACCAAGGGAGAGTCGGCATCGCGGAGATGGCTCGGCAAGCCGAGGACCACCGCGTGAAGGTGGAGGTTCACGACCAGATGAACGAAGGGAAAGTAGCGGACGGAAAAGGCGCGGAGACGACGGGGCGGGAAGCATGGGAAATGATCGTGAGAAGCGGCCCCGACGATAAATATCGACACTGGATGGATGCGGCGAAGCATGCCAAACATCATGGTCAGACATCGGACGGACACATGGTTCTCCCTACCACGAAAAGTTCAAGGAGCAGCCTCCATTTTATTTCCTATCATCTATTGTTTTTACTAGGAGCTATTTCTGTCTCGAGCCTGAGGACAATTCCTCTGGCCAGACAACACACTCGCTCATCGATCATGTTGGATCACAAGGCGCGGGGATAAATGGGCATTTTTTAATCGATTCAAAGTCTGTATCATCAAACTTTACAACATGATGGAACCAAAATTGAGGACCATGGAGCGTCAAGACGCAAAGAGGGAGACCCATGCAAATACTATTGTTCTAATACTTCAGCGATCCAACGAAATTTCACCATATGAGCGATTCAATGATCTTGATTTCCCAAGGGAGCGAGCGAGCACCAAGCTTCTCTTCCCTTTACCTAGAGTGCATTATGAACAAACAAAAAATCAACCACGAAATCGAGTCATCGAGAGAGCCCTTGGACCACAACCAAAAGCTAGACATACATACTTAATCCTTCTCTTCCTCCCAAGACGCAATCTTACATATGTACACCATTCATCCCTCTCTCCACGGGGTGGGAGGGCAAACACAACAAACACATCGGCATCCTGCCTCTCTTTGAAAAGGCTGTATTTTCGTCATATACAGTCTTTCACATAATATGTACAATCAATAATACAAGCGCTGGTATCGCAAATCATACATCTATGTATGACATCTCATTCACTCTTTTCAACAACATATTTACGAACTCAATGAGGCATGACATGCTTTGGTTTTCTCCTCTCTATCTATTCAGACTTAGCTACATTGTAATTCTTCAATCAAGAAATGATTTTCGGTTCAGGCGAGGAAACTAGCAGAAGAGGGTACCAGGAAAAATAAAAAGAATCATTATGCTTGATTAAGTCGTTAAACCAATGTGCTATGTTTGCCCTGCACCCACGTATCATCAAGATATCAATGGGGATATCGCATGGAAGTGCCGGATTCTACATCCGACAGGGTATAAGATAAATTACAATAGGCTCCATCATCTTCTGAAATAGATATCGTACCGAGCCCACCGCTTTTGAAATCCAATTATATTTTTACACATCCCTTGTCCCAGATCCATTCTATTCATGTCCCAGCACCGGCTTAATCATCCTTCGTATTTCTTGAGTGCTCTTCGTAGAATTCAAGCGTCAGAGCCGCCAGAAAGCCGGGGATACAGCCCTTCTCTCTCACCCAGAAACCAATCTGGTCACTGATACGTCGGGCAAAAGGGCTCTTGGGCCCGCCTCCAACCTTCATCGTGCCGCGCTCTCCGTCGAAGACGATCGAATTTTCGTTTTCGTCCGTTTGCGAAGGGAAGAATGTGCTCTCGACACGCATCTTGCCGTTGGGGATAAAGGTAACCGTCCATCCTAGAGTGGAAAAGATGGCCTCCTTGAACTCTTGGGATTTGGAGCCCCAGACCTCCTTGAGTCTCCGAGCCGACTTTTGCGCAGAGGCCGTCTCCGCCTTGGCTGCCGCAACCTCTCGCTCCATCGCACCGAGAACTGACGTGGGAATATATGAGACTGACGAGTTGGCATTGTTGGATCTTAGAGTGGCGAGGAGATCGTTGTTTTCCTTTTGCAGAGCTTCCAAATTTGAACGCTTGATAGCCTCGTAGTCGGATGTTGGGTTAGACCGCAGCGACAGTACGCGGGTCTGGCTGTGTTCTTTAGCAGCCGTTAGCTGTTCCCGGCTGGCGGCAAGGTCCTTTTCCAACAAGGCAACCTGTTTCTGCACAGCTTCCAGGTCTCCTTGTAGCTTCCTATTCTTCCTCGTAAGTTGCCCCAGTTGCTCTTGAGCTTCTTCATCGTGCGGATGCGCTCGCTTGCTCCCAGCACTAGCCAGAGGCTGGAGCGCAGGACTAGACAATTCCTTCGATGAGAGTTCGTTGTGAAGGGTCTGTATCTCGGTTTTATACTGGTCGATGACAGACTCCAGTTCCTGGACGCGGTTCGCTCGAGCTTCGTCAAACTGTTCTGGCTGCATCGTTTCGTCTTCAGTGTCAAAAGTTTTCAGCTGCGCTCGTAGATACTCGACTTCTTTCAGTGCCAGTGCTCGTTGACGATCCAGGCGTAACCTGGCCTTATCGGTTGTAGCAGCGTTCGCAGAGGTCTTAGCTTCTTCGACCTGGCTCTTGAGCTGGTTCTTCTCTTCCTTGAGTGACTGGATCGTATCCTGCTGCGCTGCCACTTCAGCTTGCAACGCGCCCACCTTGTCAAGATGCGATGCGGATGTTAATCTCTCCTCAACAAGCCCACGAGCGAGTGCCTCTGGCGACTCGAACTCTAAATCCCCAGTCTCCGATGCGTTCTTCAGATACGAGGTCCAAGCCAAACGTTCATCCTCCAGGCGTTGTCGCTGCAGCCTGGCCTCGGCAAGTTCTGGCTCCAGAAGCTCGGCCAACTCTACTTTCCTCATCAGTGATCTTTTCTCCTCCTCCACGACCTCAACAGTCTTGTGTACAGATCTCAGATGTTTCAGTTCTGATAGCTGCTCACGATTCTGGCCCTCAAGCGTCCTGATATACTGGACCTGCTCGGATAGCTCACGTTGAATGATTCGCATCGTCTCGGCATCGCCAGTTTGGGCTTTCAGACGAAGGACTTCGGCCTCGAGGTTGGTTATTTCGTCCTCTTTGGAGGCCATTTGAGCTTGAAGTTGCTGCAGGGCCTCGTCCTTGGCGCGTGCATCCTCCTCAATTTCTTGGACCGAGCTCTGAACTGCAGCAATTTGCATCTCGAGATCATTCTGCTTCTTATCCGCGATTCGAGCGGCTTCATCTTTAGCAGTTGACAGATCTTCCAGCTGTTCCTGCAGTAGCCGTGCCTCGTCTTCGGCAGCGCGTGCCCTCCGTTCAACTGCTCGCTTGTCATCTTCTGCAGAATCTTTCAACTCGTCTAATTCTCGTTTAAGGGCTTGCATCTGCTCAGCAGCATGTTCCCGTTCTGTTTCCGCAGCTTGGCGTCTCTGCGACTCGTCTTGCTCACGTCTGTGGGCTTGCTCGACCTTACTGCTTTGCTGCGACAGGGCAATCTCCTTCTCTTGCTCTGAAGTCTGCATGCGGTACTGCAAGGTCCCGATCTCTGCCTTCAAGGATTCGATCTCCCGTCTGTATTTCTCATACTCGTCCGCGTCGGGGGGTGCCAGGTTTTCCTTAGAACTTTCGCGAGACCCCGGTCGTACAGATTCTGCCATGCTGTGCCTCGATGATGGTCGTGGGTTTGATGCCACGCCCGAGATTAGATCGTATGTTGGTTGAGTGCTGGCTCGAAATGATGTGGTCTACAGTAGAAAATGACTCGCGTTAGCTTTTCCCATCTAAATTGATACTTTCGTTGACCAGAGCTCCAGTGCCCGTGTGAAACAACTAATTCCTTGTGTGACTTACCCGTGATTCGCGTAAGGAGGTGGTCGGGGGTCGAGGTAGAACTGAAGTGCTGGCACGGAACCCCCTCGAAAGTGAGTTTTGTCTGCTCCGGGAGCCGTCGCCCCCTTGCGGCGCATTGGCACGCATTTTGGGCGAGTTCGGAAGGTGAAGGATGAGGTGAGCGAAAGTGCGATGATCGTCACAATCACAATGGCTGCTTGTTTGTTTAATGGGAAGGCGCATACGGTGCTCCAGTCACGTGATGAAGCCGTGTGACCACGGTAACGGTGCAGGTAGAGCACATGAAATCTCTACAATCAGATACACTATGAGTATCAAAATCCAAGTGGCAGGTTCTAATATCATCTTACATAGATCTTAAAAGTTTTGGATCAATTGGATTACAATTCGGTGGTATTCCCCAGCGGCTCAGACGCACCGTTTGGCTTGTTTACTGTATACCCGGTTTAGAAACCGTATTAGACCGGCAGGTGAGGGGCCAATCAAGCCGATTTGCACGGCAGAGCTCCACAACCGTTTCCATAAGCTCTAGCATCATCGCAGGTGGCAGGCTCTTAACTCCATCCTTCGAATTACTCAACCCCAACAATTGCGATTGTCCAACAACCGCGCAAGCCTGTACTGTCTGCTTCGGTAGTCTTCTTTGGACTTGGATTCATCAGTCTGCTTAGGTTTCTGCCAATCGCCGCGCCCCGAATGGAGAACCTATCTCGGTAGACCTCTTACAGCAAAGCTGTCCCTCCCTACTTGTGCCGGCCCTCAATCTCGAACAACAGAGCATTTCTCTACTAGGAAATTGCGACAGGGCTTAGCCGAGGCCGAACACCATACAGTCCAGGATGGCGAACAGATTATCCTCCAGAGTGAGTCCGAGCCCACCCCCGAAATCACGATGGTTAGCAACTCCGGATATCCGGGGCTGACAACGTTGCTTTAGGTGGTCTCCCTCCCTCTACGTTGCTCGCTGGCTCGACGGTCTCTATACTCTGCGCCTTCTGTTCTCTCGCGTCGTTCCGAGCCTTCGTTCGTTTACCACCGCCTCCCTCAGTACGACCAGCAACGATGGCTTTCGGAAACGAAATCAACAACTCCCTCTCCACCTACTTCTCCCTCTCTTTCGTCGACGGTGCCTTCGACCCCGGGCTTCACGACACCTAGCTCCGATAGCTCCTCCCCTCGCGCCCGTAAGCGTGAGTCTGCCAAAGGCAAATTCAACCTTTACGGCGATGATTGGGAAGATACCGTCGATTTCGCGATCCAATCCTTCGATCAGCTTCCACACAGACTTTTCGGTGCCAACCAGCATATGATAATCAATTACGAATTGAAAGAAGCACTACGTCTCATGCTGCGGCAATTCAATGCCCCGATAGTCTACTGTTTCGCATATGGGTCGGGAGTCTTCCCTCAAGAGGACGCAAGCAAGCCCATTACCGAGGCCGAATTCCGAGCCGTCCACCCAAAGCCTCCCGATGCGCTTGTCAAGTCCCAGAAGGGCTCCCCCAAGATGATTGACTTCATTTTTGGTGTATCCCATGTCCAACACTGGCACTCAGTGAATATGAAGCAACATCGCGACCACTACTCGGGAATTGCCTCCTTGGGCTCCGGTTTCGTCTCGAGAGTTCAGAACTGGGGTGCCGGCGTGTACTTCCACCCTTACATTGAGATGAACGGGATGTTGATCAAATACGGCGTCACAAGCATTGACAACCTCGTAACCGATCTATCCACCTGGGACAGCCTCTACCTTGCTGGTCGCCTTCAGAAGCCGGTCAAGATTTTGCGCGACCACCCCCAGGTCCGAGTCGCAAACCAGCGCAATCTCATTGCGGCCCTTCGCACAGCGCTCTTGCTACTGCCCCCGAATTTCACCGAGGAGGAGCTTTACACTGCCATCTCCGGTATGAGCTACCTGGGCGACCCTCGCATGTCGCTCCCGACGGAGAACAAAAGCAAGGTCGACAACATCGTGAAGAACAACATGGTCCACTTCCGTCGTCTGTATGCGCCGCTCATCAAAACGCTCCCCAACGTCACCTTCACCGAGAACGTCCGCCTCGACGACGAGGACTGGGTGCTCAACCCCCTCGCCAACACCAAGCTTGAGCAGGACATGGACCCAGTCAAGCGCGGGAACATGGTCCGTCGCCTGCCCTCAAAGTTCAGATCACGACTCTACTTCCGCTACCAGAAGAACCTCTCCATCCCCAAGGAGGAATTCTCGAGGATGATGAAGGAGGCTTCCGACGAGGAAGGCGCCTCCGTCCAGCGACACATCGGAGGAGAGTTCGAGCGGCGAATCGCCACCGACGACCCCAAGCAGCTAAGGCAGGTCGTGCGCCGCGTGATCAGGCAGACGGTCAATTGGCCCAGCACCGTAACGAGCCTCAAGGGCTTAGCGACCGGCGGCTGGGGCAGGACGCTGCGGTATCTCCGTGAGAAGTTTGAGAAGTGGTCCAAGGGCAGGGCACAGGAGAAGGCAAAGAAATCTGCTGCTTCTGAGAGCGAGAAGGAGAAGTCGGGATGATTACTTCCCCCTTTTCAGCTCTTTCGAGCCCAAACCTTGAAGTCCATTCTTTAGAAAAAACTTCTCTTATCACATTGTTTTAACAGCGTCTCTGCTATGAGGAGAATAGCAGCCCATTCATATTTCCTTTTTCAGTTTCATTCAACTCAAGTAATGGAACGTATATGTAAAATTCTTTTTTATTCGTGGATGGGGAGGTCCGTCCCCGGCATTGGATTGGCGACACGGAGCATGGGACACACCCCGGCAGGCGGCCAGCGGTTCTGGTGTTTTGGTGCATGAGAAACAGAAAAAAGGGATTAATTAACAGTGTGTTGATAAGCTCGTAACAGCGGAACGAGGGAATGGGAACGGATAGAACGGGTAACCGCATTAAGAAGTCAATACGAGACGATATTCAAAGTGTTGTAATGGTTTTGTGTGTAAGGCGCAACTTTATTAGAAGTGTAAATACACAAAATGAGAACAACGTAGACTTTCGAAACTTACCTGTTACTCAGGTGAAAGAAGCCAGGCTATTTGCTACTTTGCTATTCTTTTATGATACTACAGATATGCTATGGTCCATATTGCTTTCTCCTCCACCTCCTTCCAATATCCTCCGTTCACGGCGAAGCTGCTATGTTCAATCTCCAAAGAGCCCGCTCAATAATAATACCTTCTTTGTACAGTCTAAAACACATTTACACTCCATGAAATGAAAAATCGCCCATTTTCTCCAGGCTAGGGAAACAAGAAAATATGCCAATTAAAGAAAACTCCAAACGCGATGATTTATTTACCTGCCCTCATACTTGCCGCTGGCCAGCTTCCTAACCAGGGGCACCTGTACCCAGGTCTGGTCGCCGGCAAGACCAGGACCGTCCTCGTCGGTAGCAAATGGATCATCCTCGGAGATCTCCTTGCCCTTTCCTTTGGTCTCCTCCAGCCGCGAGATGGAGATGCCGCTGCCGATGGGTCCGTGGGTCTCGGGAACGGCGTATTCCCACCTGGCTTCCACATGGCCTGGCTTGGGCTCGACGCCTTCGGCGCCCAATATGCGACAGACGATCTTTTGGGTGTCATTTGTGAGTGTCACATTGTCAAGTCGCCAGTAAACAATATGCCTCTCCTTCAGGTGCGTTCCGCTTGGCCTCGTCTGGGCACCGTTCGCTCTACCCTCGTATGTCGCCACAAAGACGACATTGTGGAGTGTGAGAGGTGCTTCGAAATCGCTATCAGGGTTGAGTGAGAATTGTAGAAGGAGACCAAGCTTGTCGCCCTGTGGCTTCCACACAGGGTTTAACAATAGTGGAGTGTTCTTGCTGAGTGCCATGGAATCGTTCTCAGGGCTGAAGACGCGGTAGGAAAATGCAGTAGAGGTTTTCTGAAGATGGGAGATTTCGAGCGCAAACTGCTCGGGGTGATCAATGGAGGAGTTCTGGACGAAAATACGGTTGGGCCCAATTCGCTCCAGGTTGGGGAAGTTGTTGATACGAATGACTTCGTACTCTGTTGATGATTAGCACAATGGACTCTTGTCGTAAATTTAAGCTGCACTTACCCTTCTCTGAATCATGGTCAGGCGAGTTTATCACAAAGGCAATTTCGCCCGACATAGAAACCGATTTGAGACCACCATTCTCCCATACGGCAGAGACGGTCTCAATGATGGACGAGTGGAGACCAGGTCCAGGCATGTCGGGATGCTTTACGTGGGCCAAGCTTCCGAGCGAGGTGCCGGAACGGACTGACTGGGTATCCGAGGTTCCCGCAATACTGGCCTCTGACTGTAAAGTAGAAATAGCTGTAGGTTTTGACGATGCGGCTGACCCAGCGAAGGATGGTGAAGCAGGAATGCCGGGGAACATGGCAGTTGGCGTGCCCTCTGGGCTCACGGCATCAGGGCTACCGAATGCTGGGGGAGGTACGAGACCAGTGGGAGAGTAAATCGTATTTCGCACATCCCTGCGTCCTCTTATCGTGCCAGTACGCCTGGTTGCCGGTCCCAGCCTGAGGGAGTTGGCCACGTTCGAGAGGGCAGCCTGCTTTTCTTCGGGATCCTCCTCCTCGATAGGCTTGGTATGGATATTGAGCTTGAAGAGCTGTTCTGCCTCCTCTGCGTGGGCTTCCCTCTGAGCCTCCGAAATGGGGTCGTTGGCGGCCGATGGAATCGTGAATCCTTCAGAGTCCTTGGCTGGTGAACTTGGCGTTTGGTTCTGGGTTGTTGGTGCCGTGGAGCCCTGCGCCTCAGTCGTTTCGGTATTGGCGTTGGAGCTGAAGGTACCATTTGTAGCACTCGTAGGAATAGGAGAGTCCATGATGTTATCCGTCAGCGTCACCCCGTTAGTGTGCTCCTGCCCGGTCGTCTGCAATTGCGACGCAACCTTCTCCGGGTCTGGGGTGCGAGGGAGATCGGGGGCTTCCTCTAGAGTGTTCAACCTGTTTTCGCGGAGGTTGCCTGAAGACGCCCGTGTGGTGAGATTGCTCTTGTCCTTTCCAGTAAGACGTCCAAAGGTAGATGTTGATGGCTTCTGTGGCGACAGACCAAATCCTCCGACCATGCTCTGCCTTCTGCGACCTCCCAAGATTGTTCCTAATCGACGTAGTTTCGACTCTATGAGCAGTATCAGCAAGCTATAAACTATAGCCTTCATCCTTCAGATATCACTAACCTGGCTTGGGTGGCTCAACGGGAATGGGGGGTGGACTTGGCGCGTCGCGGACTTCCTGCTCCGGAAGGGGAGGCACCTCGGGCGTTGGCTCTGGCGAAATTCTCAACGAAGGAGGAGCAGCGCTACCTCTAGTACTGGGGGGAGCGCTCGTAGAACCTGTAACGGACGATCGTCTTGTCGAACTACGAGTTGGCAGCCTCGCCTTGCCCGCAGTCACCCGGGTTGCAAAGGATCGAATTTCGGTTTCGGTGCTGACCTCGATGACCTGTGTCAGGACTTCAGTGGCATTGTCCTGGACCTTCTGGGCGCAATCCGCCTCGTGGGTTTGATATTGGGTCAACAGGTCACGCAGGACATTGATGCGGGACTCGTCCAGAGCTTGGAGGGTCTCGAAAATGAACGGCGCCTGGGAATCCCACTGCTGCGTCGCGGACTCGAGCTTAGCGGTAGCGTCGGTTACTTTCTGGGGATTGGGCCTCCCGCCCTTCTTCGCCATCTTCTCGGTCGTGTGCTGGGCATCTTCAAGGGCCTTGGCCATTGCGGCCAGGTTCTGAGAAATGTTATTAATGTTGACGACATCCTTGCGCTGATGGAAGTTGCGAAGAGGGAATTCGATATCTCGCTCGACTCGCTCGGAGAATTGGTGGTGGCTATGGGCAACGATCTCGGCAGATTCGACCATGCGGGACCAGGAATGCTGGAAAACACTGCTCCGGGGTCAGCCTCATCTAGAAGGGTTCGGATTGAGCTGGTCCGGTCGACTGCCGCCGCTGCTACGTGTCAGGGAGCCCGAAGCCGAGGGGATAAACATACCCAAGCTCTGATTGAGAATTCGGGACTCGGAATTGGGCCAATCTGCGCAAGCCAGTTACATACTGCTCTTCGACGCGGCGGCGTTCCTAGTTGGGCCCTCGTGCGTTAGCATGGCAACCCAGCCTCAATATCATCCACGAATCACCGGTCGCAACGGCCTGGGCAACGCAGCAAGCATTGCTGAAGAGTAGCAGGTCGGTTGGGTGTAAAAGATTCGTACCTGAAGCCAGTCCGCGATCTCGACGTTGATTTTATTGATGCGCTTGACTCGATCGTTGAGGGTGTGGACGGCCTGGTTGGGTTGCAGGGACGCCTGGGAGACAGAGTCAGCGGACGACGAAGGCAGGGAGAAATTGAGCTGGCGGCTCTTACCAGAATGGAGGGATACTCGGATCGCACGAGGTCCTCCATGATGCAGGCAATGGGGGTTGGGGGCGTTGAAGCGCAGGGGCGAAGACCGAGATGGGCGAGGAAAAAGGGTGGTCGTCGGCGGAAGAATAATTAAGCAATAAAACGAAATTCAATGCGAGGACAGTGACGTAGTGCGCTGTAGGTAAAATGCGCGCATGGCGCAGCGACAGACGTGAAGAGAGCGGGAATAGACCAATGCACGTGAGGCGGTGGAGGAGAAGAGCTGCGTGGCGAGGGAGGGAAGAGGTGGGATCAGACTTGTCGAGAGACCATGGTGTGGTCGGATGAAGCTGGCGGTGATGAAATGTCGAGGCTGGTGAAAGACTGGGGTGATGAGGTAAGGCGTGACACCCTAAAGGGCCCGTGGCCTAGAGCTGGGACCCGGAGGATAGGGAAGGTCACCACCTAGCGGCGCCCTGTAGGCTGTCTGCAGCGGATACCAGTGCCCAATACGGACTACGCAGCGGGGGGCTACGCCGTTGAGCTGCTGGCAAATTGTGGGGAAGCTGCCTGTATGAACACCTCAGAGCTCAAGTCCAAGCCAGTGCGCCGGGCCATCCGCTGTGGCGCCCAGCCAGCCTGTGCTTCCAGGTGCCTCCCTAGCTGGTTAGAGTTAATCGCTGGCAGCTGGCTGAGCCCACCATTGCCGTCCATGGATGCATTCAACGGTGCTGGCGATGCCCAAGCGGCCGTCGTAGTTCTCTCATGCAAGCTCTTGAGAAGAAACCCGGTACCTGCTGGGGTATGCGACTGGGGCATTGGCACTGTGTGTGCGTCGCGTTGCACCAGCTGAGAGAACAGTTGGGTTCCACCGAGCAGCCACCAGCCACACCAACTCTTTCTACCATCCATGTAAGTACCTCAGCGTGCACCCGGCCACCCATTAAACATACAGGCTTCTTGTGCATGTCGTACTACTATTCATCAGTTGTACCTTTAGTACGGAGTAGTAGTACGGTACTAAGCACATGCGCGCAGCTAGAATCGACGTAGTGCAGCCTTGAGTTTTAGCACCCGTCATCACCATGGCTTCAGCGCTAGTGGCGCCAGAAGCATCCGTGGAATCTCTTCCATTGCATGAATCTGCCAACCCAGCCAAACCCACTTCAATTACAATGCTCAACCACCATGTGAACTGAACTCCAGACGCAGCCCAAACAACGTCTTCTTTTCTTCCTGTCTCGCCAGACCCGAACCCTTGCATCAAAGCCCAATCAGTTACGCCACAACCATGTCTCCAGAGTGGAAGACGTCACTCTCCGCAACGGAGAGGTATGAAACTATCCAGAAAATGTAAGCCTACTATGCTCCCCACCCGCCGCATCTCGACTTACACGAGCCGGCTACGATGTGATTCATGCTGATTCCGCTAGACAATCCGACCTGGGGCTATCCATGAGTGATGCCGTATCCTTGGAGCAGAACGCTTATGCTGTTTCCATCACGCGGGATGACTATTCAACCCGCTGCAGAGCTCCCCCCTCCACCCTGATCCCCCAGCATGACGCAAAGAGTGAGGCTCGCGAGGATGATGACGAGGCCCCAGACACCGGAATACACATTGGAACCTACCGAAACTGCGTCCCGGTCTCGGACGGCATCACGTCCGAGGTCTACCGGTCCGGCAGCACGGCCCTCAAGGTCATCGTCAACTTCCACCGGGACATTGAGCCGCACAACCCCCAGCGCGAGTCCCGCATCCTGGACCTCCTCCGCGACAAGCCCTCCATCATCCAGCTCCTCGACGTCTTCCGCGACCAGGAGCAGCGCCTCGTCCTGGCCTTCCCGTTCATGCCCCTGACCCTGGGCGACCTGCTTGACTCAAACCACCACCACCACCCCTCCAAGCCCCAGATCAAGCACATCTTCCACGACGTCCTCCGGGGCCTGCAGTACATCCACTCCCAGGGCATCATCCACCGCGACATGAAGCCCTCCGCCGTCCTCCTCTCCTCCCCCTCGGGTCCCGCCTTCCTCTCAGACTTCGGCACCGCCTGGCACCCCAACCTCTCTGCGGCCACCGAGCCGCCCTCAGCCAAAGTCCTCGACATCGGGACCGGTCCCTACCGCGCCCCCGAGGTCCTCTTCGCCGACCGCGCCTACGGTCCGCCGGTAGACATGTGGGGTGTTGGCGTCATGCTCTCCGAGGCCGTCTCGGGCGCCCCCGTCTTCGAGTCCCGCCCTTCCCACGAGGACGGGAACCAGCTGGGGCTCATTCTCAGCATCTTCAAGACCCTGGGGACCCCGACGCCTGAGACGTGGCCCGAGGCCAAGGACTTCAAGATCACCCCATTCGAGATGTGGAATGTGTTCCCCGCGAGGTCGTGGGAGAAGGATATCCTCCCCGACGTCGATCCGGGGTTCAGAGAGCTTGTGGCCGGCATGGTTCGTTATGACGGTAAGAGAACTACGGCTGAAGAGGTATGTCCGTCGTCTTTTCCCTCCTTTGGTCCCCAATCGTCAGCAGTTCTGTCTAACATCAGCCATTCTCTAGGCCCTTAAGAGTATTGAGCAATTGGAGCTGCAGCCTGAATGAATATCGAATTCAATTATTCTATCGCTAGCCCCCTTTTTGTTTCCAACCGTGTGTACTTGGCCCTCCTCTTTTTGATCCCGCCGAAATGCCACGTGCACGACCCCTCCCTTCATCTAAACCTGCCTCCTCTTCGCCGTATCCGCCCCGAGGTAGTCGATGGGGTTCCTGCACAGCGGGCAGGTGTTCTGGTTGCTGCTCTGGAACCACTTGTACAGACAGGTGCGGTGGAAGAGGTTCTTGCAGGTCGTGCACCGCTTGTCGGGCATGCGCTTGTCCGTCGAGATGATGCTGTAGCAGATGGCGCACTCGCCCTGGCCCTTGAGCGCCCCGATGATGTTGCGCTTGAACACCTGCAGGCCGTCGATGATGTTGCCGTTGGAGAAGGTGATTACCCCCTGCGTCGTCATGATCCACCCCTGCCACTTGCGCTCCGTCACGGCCACGCGGCTAAGGCTCGACACCGTGACGCTATCGATGGGGTAGCTGGGCGGCACCTTGATGACGATGGCCGCCTGCGACTCGTCGACCTCGTAGCCCGCCGTGACTTCCCTGGCCGGCTTCGACACCTTGACGAGCAGCTCCTGCTCGTCCGGGCCGGGGGCCTCCTGGTTCTCTGCCCAGTTCTGCACCTCGTCGAGCACGTTCTCGATGATGAGTGGGGAGAAGTACTTGGTGGTCCATGCCTCCACGGCAATCTTTGTCTGCTTTGAGCGGCAGTCGAGGTACCATGCACGGAAGAGGCCGGGTGTGTATTTGAGCGTCAGGTAGAACAGGTGGACAAGCAGCCACTGCATGTTCTTCTCTCCATCCTCCGCCTCCGCAATCTTGATGTCGTAGTCTCGGATGTGCTCGTCCTCAATCTTGACCTTGTCGAGCTTGATAGCGTGCGCGGCAGAGTGGCCGAGGACATCAAACATGAACTCGAACAACGGGACCGAGCAGCCCTCGACCTTGAGGTGCTCGGTGAAGTCGGTCCGGATCTTGAATGATGAGGATGCAAAGGCGTCAAACACGAGCTTCCACGCCAAGAGGTATGTGCGCAAGGATGGCGGGAACTGCGAGAGCGTTTCGTCTGAGTATTTTTCCAGGGTGGGCGCATCAAGGAGAAGTGAGAGGAGTTCGTCCGGCAATCGTGCGTCTGAGTAGTCAAAAAATATTAGCAAAAGCGGTAGAATATCAGATCACAAGCATAACGTACCTGTCTTGTCCAAGAGGATATTGACCGACTGTTGCTCTTGTTGTGATGGGATCACTCTATGTAAGATGCTGAACCCTGCTGTCTGAATATCTCGCGAATCAGATGCGATCAGAGGATAGATTTCAGACAAATCGGGGATGAGTCGGATAGGAAGCTTCTCGATCTCGCGGCATATCATCCCATCAACAACCTCGAGAGGCTGTGTGTTGGTGTCCCTGTCGAGCTTGAGGAGTTCAACGAGACCCTTAGATGCTTTCTCGGCGAATTCTTTCAATGCATCTTCAAGATCATCGTTGGGTTCCGGGAGTGTCTTGAGGGTCTTCATCAACTTGAGAGAGGAGTGAATGAAGGGCAGGGCTTCGGAAAGAGGGCAATCGTCCGCCACCATCCACAGCGTAATACAATATTCGATTGTCTTTTCCCAGTATGAACCATATATATCCTTCATGCATGGGAGGAGCTGGTCCAACGCACGGCAGATTTGGGCAGCCTCAGATGCATCTAGGCTCTCGGATTCGTCAAGCCATGATGTAAGCTGCTTTACCGCGAAAATTATCCGGTTGTTTGCCACAGGCAGATCACCTTGCTCGTACACTTGGCCGCAAATAATGAGCAACGCAAGAGAGATATGGGCCTTCTCCGACCCAAAAGCAGCACCGGAAATATCACTGACAAGGCGGTTGCACAAGTTATTAACAGCCTTGTACGGTTGTGCTGCTTCTCCAAGCCCAGCCAGGATGGCCCCGGCGACGAATACAGTGTCTGGCGATGCCTTGAGTACATCTGCTTTAAGCAGCTTTTCTTCCATCAGCCCCGTCACAGCCTGGGTTTCAACCCATGACTGCACGATTTCGTAAAGTGCCCGCGATGTGTAGAAACCACGAGTAGTCAGTGCCTTGGCCTGGCTCATCAGTAAATCTAAAAGTCGCAGGAAAGTGGCAGAGACCTCTTCTCCAGATTTGGGAACAAATCGAGAGTTGAGAGTGCTTCTGAAGGAAGATATGAGCTCCTCGGCTTCAGCCGTGGCTTTTCGGGGTTTCAAACTGGCCCAAGGGCCATTCTCAGACATTAGAGTGATTTGATCAGAAACGAGTTGTACCGTGACGCACTGGAGACTTAGGAGCTCAGCCTGAAATTGCTCGGGTAATTTTGAGAAGATTTGGCTCTCTTGAAGCATGCTGTTGAGGTAGAGCGCCATCCTCACAGGAACAGAGCGGCCCTGTCTATCACGCTGCAGCTGTCCAGGCAAAATCTCTCCAGTTTCGCTTTGGATCAAGGCCAGAGAAGCTCCGACATTGCTCGTAATGGATAGCGATGGGTCGATGGGCCGCTCAAATAACCTCTGTAGTTCTTTAGTCCAAACGAGAGTGCTAGGGAACAAATCTTCTGCCTGAGAACTCGATGCATTCTTAGCTTGCTGGAGCACTGTCTCGATCCTGGGAATAGTCAGTATACAGTGCCTGAGTATAGATTAGGGGGATTACAACATACTCAAGTGCTTGTGGACCAGCACGGTCAAGATTAGCTTGGATGATGCTCATAACAGGCAACTTGCCATCTGAATGGCCGTCTAGAAGCTGCCGGATCGCAGAGGCCTGTCCGGAGATCTGGCCTTCACCAATCTCGGAGAGTCTGAGCAGCTGAGCTACCAGGCCGGTGTGGAGTTCCTCATTTTCGGAGAAGAGTTGTGGTCGGCCCTTGACTAGGATTTCCAAAACCTTGAGCGCACTTTCGGTGTGTTTACTTTGTTCCAGGAACCCCAAAGCCTTCTTAGCAATGATCTCGTAAGAGATATCATCGATGGCACTGTATGTAACCGCGGTTTCAAGGAGATCCCAGGAACCCGATTCGTTCGTGACAGATGCCAGAGCTCTTGTAGCGATGGCATCCTGTAGCTCCTTTCTTCTCCTAGCCAACTCGGAGGCCTTCTCGTGTGAGAGCAGTGAAGCAAGCGCACTGTCGGTTGCTGGTCCCGAGGGCAAACCAAGAATAGCGCTTAGCCAGGTGTTCCAAAGCTGCGCAAAATCCTGTTCCCTCGAGGCAAACGACCCCAACAGGCGAAGCCAAGAAAACAGATACCGGGAGGACGGTGACTCGATCACTTGGGTTATATTCTCCCCGCCCACGGAAAGAAGCAAGTTGGACACCTCAGTCCACCTTTCGCCGTTGAAAAGGTGAGGAGCAGTGCTAAGAGCGTATTCAACAATTCGCGCAGCTCCGAATGGTTTGAGACTACGCTTCTCCAGAAGCGAAATGGATTGGGAAATGACTTTCTCGGATGCAGCCTTGGTATGATCGACATCAGTTTCATTCAGCTCATGTGTCTTCTGATATATTTGCCCAACGAGGCCAAACCACCGCCTGCCTTCTTCCCCAATCTTCTCCTGTGATACCTCAAACTCTTTAGAAACCTCCGGTAGCGAGTTGGAGATATTCTCAGACAGCCTCGTAGCGTAGTTTTCCCATTCCTGGGAGAATTCGGAGGAAAGCAACGGGTCTGCCTTTGAAAGGAAGATGTATGCGTCCACAAAAATAGACATTGCATTCGGCCCAAGGGGTATTGAGTTTGGCTTTTCTGAGACGGCGAATAGAAACTGTTCGAAAAGAGGGAAAATATGCTTCTTTCCAAAGGCTAGCTGGTCTTCGCCCCCCAACGACTGCAAGAGCCTCCTCGCGGTGTCGATAAAACACTTCCAGGCAAAAGAGGTGTTGGTCCGAGGCTCATCCCGGTTCGTAACTCCAGACAGCAACGATTCTAGAAGCGTGGAAGAACCGTCGAGTCCGAGGGTAGAAGTGGGCAAAATACTCAAAAGTTGATCTAAAAATTCCCAAAATTTGGCAATGCTACCTTGAGAACCTTTAGCGATGAAGGTGTTCAATCTTGCGAGGGGGGTTTTCTTTTCCCCTGAGGAAACCCAAATATTAGGGTCTGCCTGTGTAAGCTTGGTAAGGGCTCGAACATATTCCAACGCAGAGCCAAGCTGATTTGTACGGAGACCGCCGGTTACGATGGCTTGCCTCGCCTTTGTTTCGTCCGAATAGGGGAGTTTCCGGTCTAAGCAAACAAAAAAGAGCTGGCAAACAGTCTTCCTGACAGATGCATCACTGGATGTAATACCCTTCCATACACTATCATGTGAGAAGTACTCGTCGTATTGGGGACGGAACTTTTCGATATCAGCACTCTCCACCTTCTGGAGAAGGCCAAGAACCAGAGACAGGCTGGCCGTTACCACCCTAGCATATTTTGCCTCCGCGTCTTCCTTCGTAGTTGATCTTTCGTCACTTAGCGTATCCTCGGTTTCCTGAATCGCACTTGTAGCAAAATCCAGGATCTGAGCTTGGCACTTCCTCCAAAACGCCACCACTTTCTCAGGGGTCGTGAGAAAAGAGGAGAGGCTGTCGTTGGCTGCTCGAGCAACGACCCGGTCTCGGTCATAGAGCCCTGCCAACCACGCACCCACGATACTAGGTATTTGCCTCTCCATCCGCTTTCGAGCAGACTTCATCAGCTCGAGTTGCAGATTGTGGGCAAGCTCCCGTACACGTCGAGAGTTGTCGATAGAGGTTCGTGCGTACACCTGTACCCAGACGTCCAACACAGCATCCTCGACACCGCCATCCTTCTCAAAGGGATGAGCCTGCACGTAGGCTACAAGCTCTTCAAGAGCCTTGCTCTTGGTTGTGGGGTCCTTCTTCAGGACGTTCTTCAGCGAAACAACGACGTTAGGGTCGGATATGGCATGAAGAGAGGGAGGCTCTGTGAGGTATGAAAGGGAGCTGGGACCTCCAGATGCGCCAAATCCAGATCCTGAGCCAGGGAAAGCACCGAATGCTGATGGGCCACCGGATGCAAACCCGCCAGCAGTCTTGCCCTTGGATTTCTTCATGGTGGAAGCTGCGGGCGCACACTCGCGCAACTGTGGTCTGATCAAATCATGCAGTTGAGAGCCGATCCTCGTTACAGCCGCGACGCAGAGAACAGAGCAATGCCTTTGCGTGAGTTGCAGGAGCCTAGCTGCGTGCTGAGAGCTCGTTGGCGATCGATGTGTGTCCTTGAATGTTGGTGGGGGTTTGCGAGAGTCGATGAGGGCCAAGGTGATGTCACTGCGGGGGAAAAAGTACAAGGGCTTCATCGCAAAGTAAGTGCCTTGGCCGCACATTATTGGGTCCGCCTCAGGTACACAGGTACAATAGACCTCCGGAGTATTACTCACTCACCGGCTCACTAATGGGAGGTCCCCACAGAACACCTCAAATCTCTGTTAGTGTCAGAGGCCTGCCTGGAACCTCCATCAAGCGCTCTGCACTCCAACGTCGATTACCAATTCCACCTACTCGAGCAACTTCCCCGGCTTCACTTGGTGGTAAGGTAGGCATCTAACAAGAGCATTCATTCTCGGCGCCTCAGCCCCCCAGCATCAAACTCCATTTCACATTATGTCTGAGAATCCAAGATACCACACACGTTGTGACCATCAGCGGTAGTATTCGAGACCTACGAGATCGCTTTCGTCGGTAGGTTTGTGTTTAATCATGCTCTCGAAGTGCGTCAAATAGTTCAAAGTTCATTCCACGAAAATCTACATCGGCAGTAGCGGCAGAGAATGTTAAGGCAGTCGTGAGAATATTCCTTGCGTCTAAATATAGCATGGTTTTGAGCATCGCAAGTGATTATCTCGGCATGCTGGCCGATCTGTATCCTCGTAGACACCTAGTCTAAAGCATGAACGTCTTCTAGACTCTGAATATAGATATCGTAGAACAATTTCTTTTTCTTTTTCCAAATCCAAGCCAGTTCGCAGGAGTATTATTCTAGCGTAATGCCGTGCAAAATCCCTTCTCTCATCTGCACTTATTCTTATAGACACAATGGCCACTGCCCTGGTTTCTTGGAACAAGATCTGGAGCATGCTGAGACGAGTCTGGCTTTCTCTTGTGGCTACCCTATAGGGCACCAGTTCGTTGACCTTTTCGTGATCATTAGATTTACCGATCAAAATAATCCCCCAATATTCGACTATTAATTACTCATGTAGGCGGTTTCTAATAGATAAGGAGCAATGCGATGATGAAAGCGGGCAACGTTCTGGTCCTCTTTCTGTTCACACACATGAACGGACAAGCCGGTAGTAATCGGAGAAGAGGAGCAACCGGGCGCTAAACATCGATCGTCCTTTGGGACTACTTACCTAGCGCCATCGCCATCCGATTGAGCAGTGGTTAGCGCCAGACACGTGACACCAAACTATCTCCGGCTAAGCATGCCAACATGCTGCTTTCCGTCTTGACCCATGGTAAATGCCCATGCGGCTGTAGCCTGTAGGCATCCATGGATCTGTCTTGCCCTCAGGGGTGTGGAGACCTGCGGGCCTGGTCACCATTCGCCAGTGTCTCCCTGCTGCTCGGGGCATCTCGGCCATTCCTCAGCCAGCCCCTCAATCAGATGCAATACCGACGAGAGCCACGGCGTCAGCGGCTCGCTATGCCGAGCCAGCCACGCTCGAGCTGACCTTGGCGTGCAGCTTGGCGGAGTTCTGGCCTGGTCCTCGTGTGACAGTTTGCAGAAGGGGGAATCTGTCCATCGATGGATAGCGCGCATTTACCCCGCAAGCGCCCCTGCCCGACCTGGCTCCAGAGGCTCCAGGGGCCCCATTCCCCCAGAACCCTCCCTGGAACCTCCCGGTCAGTGGAGGTCGACTGTAGTCCGCACCATGAGATCATCCTAATAAGCCTGCCTGCAGGTGGTTTGAATTCGTGTCATTGGATCACGTTCGTTTGTCACGATGGTAGCGTAAACTCCAATCTCTCCTCCTCCTCGTACTTCCTCTCCCTCCTCTTTCCACCCTTCTCCGTGCATCACTGCCAGCCTCCCTACTCCAACCAGCCTCATCTCCACCTACGCCTTGACCCTTGTGCACCTGCTCCGCCTGTCCTGGCACCATTCTCGACGTCACTGACCAGGGCACCCATCAATCATCATCGTACTCGGGTAGGGGGAAGATAAGCCTCCATGCTTCTCACCTCGGTGCTGAATTGCCCTCTTCCATCCACCGAGCGTGCTTGTTGACTACTCGAGTGCTAAACGGACGACCAAGCTGCACTTTTGGCTCTCCGCCCAAACTGGGCAATATCTTCTTGCTTTACCAAGATGCTGCCCACAGCAACGTCGCGCGCCACCCTGGGTGCGCGAGGATTACCATCGCAGCATGTTTCGAGATCGTCTGCCGCTTTGGCCAGTGGCATATCTTCATCACCCGCCCAGCACAGTCGATGCTTTTGCCTCGGTGCAAGAGAGGCGAGGGGCCGTCGCCGCAGCCTCCGATACCGTCACATGGAGTCCATCCATCGGCAGTTGTCGTGGGAAAACCAACCTCGCACCGACGACACGAAGCCCATCATAAAGAAACACATTACTTTATCCACAGCACCGTTTGCGAAATTCGGTTCGGGCGACGTTAACGCGAATGTTGACGAGATCAAGTCCTGGTCCGATGACCTGTCGGGTATTCGCCCTGGCCGAAACATTGAGGATGTAGAACGTGAGGCCATCAATCACTTATTCGGCAGTTACCAGCATGAGATCTGGAGGTCTCCGCTGAACAGTATCCGAAATCTACTCAAATCTCACCATACACCAAAGGAGAATGCATCGGACAATGTGACAAATGGTGACTCTCACATCGACCCAATCACGAATCGTAGAGTATCCAATACCACGTCCTTCGACTCGCAAACGACAGCGTCTGCACCGAAATATGACGACGCTGACAAGTATGGCCCATCGAAGTGGAACGAACCCGATGGGCTTCAGAAGCCTACTGCCGAGGAGCAGTCCAAGAAATACAAAGACCTGGGGCAGTATAAGCCGATTTTAGGCAGCTCAGATAGTTTCAAGCCCCCCGCTGCCGAGGAGAAGATCCAATGGTATAACGACTTGGGAAAATACAACCCTGTGCAGTGGAACGAACCGCATGGTCTCCAGCAGTCGGCATCAGAGGAGCAATCGAAAAATTACAATGATTTGAATAAATACGTGCCTGAATTGGACAGTTCAATCGCTCCTCGAGGAGTCACCGAGGAACCATCACAACAATACGCTGACTTGAAAAACTATAAGCCAGCCTCTTGGAATGAGCCTGACGGGCAACAGAATTTGACCCTTGAAGAGCAATCCAAAGTGTATAACGATCTGGGGTCCTATGGTGCTGTCAGTTGGAATGAGCCTGATGGGCTACCCGACGCAGCACCAGAGGAAAAGTCCAAGCAATACGATGACCTCGGGACGTACAAGGCCACTCAGTGGAATGAACCGGATGGCTTGCGCAAGCCCACCCCAGAAGAGCTTTCCAAGAACTACGACGACCTTTCTAAATATAACGCGGTACAATGGAGAGAGCCCAATGGCTTGCCTAATCCTACCGAAGAAGAGCGCTCTAAGAACTACGCCGATCTTGGGGAGTACAAGCCTGTACAGTGGAATGAGCCTGATGGACTACCTTCCCTAACGCCTGAGGAAGCATCCAAATCTTATGGAGATGTGGATAAATATGGCCCAGTGGCATGGAGCGAACCTGATGGTCTTCGACCGCTGAACCCTGAGGAGAAGTCAAAGAACTATGATGACCTACAGAAATACAGTGCCCCATTTGTTGCCAAGGCATCTGTATTGGAAGAGTTCGAACGAGCCCAGTTGGACACAACGCCCAAGGGCAACCTGCTTCCCCCGAAGGTCGAGGTCAAGTCAGAGGACCCGGCTAAGGAATACACAGACTTGGCAGCTTATGGGCCTGCTAGGTGGAATGAACCCGATGGTTTGCCAAATCCGACTCCGGAGGAGCTCTCAAAGAACTACAACGACCTCCATATGTACAGGCCAGCTCAATGGAACGAGCCTGATGGCCTGCAATCCCGAACACCCGAGGAGAAATCAAAGGACTACAAGGATGTGCACGCTTACAGTGCAAATTCTGAGGGAGAACTTGAAGATGTTCCTCAGAGGATCCACCCGGAGGAGGCTTCTAAGAACTACAATGACGTGGGGTTGTATGGTGCTGTACGATGGAATGAGCCTGATGGGCTTGGAATTCCTACAGCGGAAGAAAGGTCCAAGGCCTACTCTGACCTTCCGAGCTATGCAGCTCGGGATGCTCCCGCCGAAGATGTGGTCGCGCGAAGGCACCCGGAAGAAGCCTCCAAAAACTACAGGGACCTTGATGGGTATTCTGAGCAAATGGATAGCTCTGCTACACCACAGGTTCATCCTGAGGAGGCTTCGAAGGCGTACCAAGATCTCGCAAAGTACCAACCCCAGAAATTTGACTCTCCAGGCGAGAACCGTCCAATCCATCCGGAGGAAGCCTCCGAGGAATACAAGGACCTAGGCAAGTACTCTGCCTCATTTGAAGAGGCAGAGACACTGGAACGAACTCACCCTGAGCAGCTGACCAAACAATACAAGGATCTGGACAAGTATGCTCCTAAATCATTTGACCCAGCCAACAAGACATACCCGGTTCACTCTGAGGAAGCCACCAAGGCCTATAAGGACCTTCATCTGTACGGTACTGTATCGCATAACGAGCCCGATGGGCTTCCGGGAAAACACCAGGACCCCACCTCCCAGGGACTGGGACCTTATGACTCCAAGGTACGAGCCGAGCAGGAAAAAACTTTGACAATGGGTCGACACTGGGGCCAGGCCAACAAGATGTCATCGAGCACCCTAGAAGACAGTATGGACTCTCTGGATAACTTGACAGCGCAGGACATTCGCGCTGACGTTCTTCGAAAGGTGCAGGAAAATAGGCAGAATGAAACATTGGAGAGTGCCAAAACAGAGCACGAGTCCTCCTGGGATGCTACAACGAACCAGGCCAGAGACCAAATTCACGACGCAAAGACCAAAACAACACATCGACTGACAGGAAACTATATCCAAGACTTCTCGGAAGACTTTGCCCGATCTTGGAGCACCGAAAATTCATCAACCGGGGCAGCACTCTTTCCCAAGGATCTCTCTGGGGATGATGGCAATCAGAGCAGCTCAGCCAAGCCTTCTTCAGTGGAGCCAGAAGACGAGCCCGACCTGGAGTCCATGGACGGGTGCTTCCCCACCGAGACCTTTAGACCAGAGCCGGCCTTGAATCGACAACTATCAAAAAAGGGACGAAACAAACTTGACAACTCAGCAACTGAAGCGACTGTAGCTGGAACTAGAGCGGGGCATTTGGCTACCAGCGAAACTGGACAGATGCCAGACAGTGAGGCTGAATCGTTTGCAATTTCGCAGCCATCTGAGAATCCTTCTACGGAATCTGCAACACCCGACAAGGCTGCCGCTGGCAAGAACAAGATGGCCAGCTCCTTCAAATTGTTGGCATACGATTCCTCGTCTGACAAAGTCCATATGGCTGACGCCACTTCGGAATTGCCTCAGTCAACATCTCCTCAGGCCGCCACTGATCTTATTCTCAACTTGAACAATGCTGCCAAATTCTTCCCACACATTTCCAGTCTCCAAAGCCGCGGATATGAATTAGTATCAGGAAACAAAGATGTCCTCGTACTCCAAAAAGTGCGAGAAGCATCTACGAGTGCCGAAGGAGAAAGTCCAGCTGGAACAGCACCCCATCATCGTGTGAACCCAATTGACATGATGGGTCGGTCTGTAACGGGAAATTTCGCAAGTCCAACTGGTTTCGTCAATTACGATACTGTGTTCGAGCCTGTGTCAAAGAATCCAACGTCGACTCACCAAGCCGAGCCTAACACTTACCAAGAAGAGAAAGAAACTAGGAAGCAGGAAGAACGGGGAAATCGTAAGAAGAGAGGTATTGGGAAAAGGGCCATCGTGGGCGTGGTATGGATTGCTGGAGTCTCATATGCAGTTGGAGCCGTTGCAGAATCCCTCACAAGAAGAGCTCCTTTGTCCGAAAGAACGCACCCATCGGCTGCTGGGCCTGTCACCAACACAAGGACTGGTTGAGAAATGAGGAGACGTTTCACTTTTTCACTTGCAAACTGAGATTTCTATTGGCGTCGGCTGGACAGGAGTTAGAGGAGTTGAGTACGAGGATGGATGGATGGATTAGGTTCTTTTTTTCTCCAATTTGTAGTAGCACTTTTCTTTTCTACTGATACCAGATACTTGAATTCACTCTCTCCCATTCCTAAGGAACGTAAATTAGGCCCTTCCCCATGATGCAGGTTGCCAGGAGGCTTTTGTCCTCAAGTCCATCTTAGGCTCGCTCAGCCCTTCCCAATCCTCACTGCGGGGAATCAAGCTTAGTTAACTACTTAGACTCCCCGTCGGCGATGCCGGTCATCTGCAGCGCTCTCTTCTGATCCTCCTTGCTCCAGCTCTGGCGACGGTCAAGCTTGGGCGTCCAGCTGTTTGTGTGCTCTAGTGCATGCTGGGCCGCGCGAGTATCAGTTGGATGCGCTGCATCCGTCTTGGCGTGAGCGGCCTCGGTCTGATTTGCGGGACGGGAGGGAATGGACTGCTCGTTCGAGGGGGCCATTTTGTATGCTTGTGTATAGAGACGGGTGATGAGATGTAGGAAGTAGGTAGGTTGTTTGAATGCTTGGTTTGGTTGGAGTCAATTGATGATGAAGCGGAGGTGTATGTAAGAGAGGGGATAGATATGTAGCTCCAGGCAGTGTTCTAGATCGAGGCCTACTATAGCTACTTACTTAACCGAGTAAAGAGCTCTCCGCTTGTGGAAGAAGGTGCATTCATCCGCGTTCGCCACTTGGAATGTGCGTGATGTCGGCCAAGCGGCCATCCACCCACCCTCCGATGACATCTGTCCAATCATCCCATCGGCGGTTCCACACCTCCGCATCTTGTGCTGGAGCATCATGCTGGATGGCATGTCATTATCCCAATTGTTGGTATTACTGCGCACCAGATAAAAACGGCCATTGTTTGCTGTAATCGTCCAAGTCTTCACTTAATTGTTATCGTCATCTAAAACAAGGTATAGGGTGACAGACAAAGCTCATCAAATCATATCATCTCGACAGGCCAAGATAATTCGTCAATTAAACCGGGCGGCTAGTGTGGTCCAATCAATCCACCAGACTTCGTGTATTCTCAAGGCAATCTGCTTTCATTCTTCCCCCGCCAACCGTAGCAGCCCATCCAATAATCTGCCGTTATCCATTCAATCATTCTTAATGCATCAATCACCAACGGAACTACCAGAGCAGAGAGAAAATCGTTATCAAATGAATAAATAAGAAACCGAAATGCCGAACCATGCAAATGCTCTTTTACAACACACGCAACTCCATGCCGAAAATAATCATAAAAAAAAAGCCAAAAAATAAAACTCCGAGGACCTCATTTCAGGGTCGTGCCAATGTGAGCCTCATCGCAATCCCAATTCCTGCCAAACACCATCGAAAAATTCAAGGAAGAAAGAAACAATGTATGCCTAGAAGCCATGATGCCAGTTCGCCCCCCTTATCCATGAAAACCATCATCATCGCCCATCACATGCTTTTATTCTCCCTTATCCTTCATTTCCCCTCGCCCTGTCAACAATGTCCAAGTGTAGAGAAAGGCAAGTGGCTGACGCCTGTCTTGCGTGTGCTGGGCATATGCGCCGCATGTTGTCCGCGTCCCATCAATCTGGGACGGGGACATTGAATGGAGTGTGTAGCAGGAAAGAAGCAAAAAATTGTGGTTCGGGCTCCCACCCCGTGTATGTGAGTGGGAAAAAATAGGATGGCAATCGTTTCGTATGTACAGATGCTGGGCCGTATGTAAAAGAGCGGCAGAAGAGTCGTAAAGAGTGGGAGGGGGTATATAGCGCGCTCATGTCGCTCCTCCTTCTCACGCCTTCGTGAATGCAATGAGTTTGAATGCAATAGGATACTTCGAGAAACGCTTGATCACAAGTGCATCTAAGGTGTCTTGGGGCGCTTCCAGTAGTATTGCTATGAGAAACAAAGTTAGTGACTTGTTCAATTCCAATGGAGATTGCGTTGTAATCCATACCTTGTGCTGCTTCCTGCAGGCCCTCAGACTGGGCTTTCTGAGCCCATCGACGACAGCGGCCCTTCGCTGCTCGTCCGTGTCGAATTCGGGAACGTAGTAGTACTGGCTCTCGAGAGCCTTGCCAGCTGCATCCTTGCCTTCACGCGTGATGAAGCCAATGCAGGCGGTTGACTCGATGGCGACGCGGAGTGAGGCGGCGGTCAGTCCCTCCTTGGCATCGCCGGGGAGGTTGTGCAAGATGGTTGAGAGGGGAGTAGATGACAGCCTGGAGTAGGCAAGTTGGTTGATAACGTGGTTGGTAATGGATGGGTTCAGCTCCACGACGGGCTTCTCCTCCTCCTTGACCTCCTCCTTTACTTCTGCCTCTTCCTCTTCTTCTTTGTCCTCCTCTGGTGTCTCAGACTTGGCACGCGGCTCCTCCCGAACAGGCTTCAGAGGGGAGGATGGGATCTCGGGGAAAAGTGTTCTGGCCAGCGACATCTTGCGTGAATCTTGCTTCGTCTTGAAGGGAGAAGCTCTGGGCTTTGGCGAACGCTTCAGCTCTCTGGGAGAGCGCGTGGAGATGCTGGCAAAGCGACCGGAGATGTTGGCGCCGAAGGGACCAAACGAATGGACAATAGGGTCGTTCTCCTCGTCAGGATCCTTCTCATCATCCTCACTGTCATGGTCGCTCAGCTCGCTTGAGAAGCTGACTGTGGCCTCGGTCCGCATGCTGACATTAACATCCATGTGGTCAACGGGCTCAGGCAGCTCAGGCTCCGCCTCGTCTTCAAATATCTTGATGCTGAGCCCCTCTCTAGGGGAGAACAGAGACTGGTGAAGACGCTGGGAGCTGGACAGGCCGGCCGGGGTGGGACTCTCGGGGGAGGTCATACGGCCGGAACGACGCAGGGGAGACGAGTGGAGGATAGAAGCCCTACGGCCTACGACTTCGGGTGAGTCCCAGCTACCGTCCGACATATTGGCAAACGAGTCAGCCCCGCGGTTGGGCCATTGGAGGATTACCCGCGAACCGAGCACGTCCAGGATGATGTCAGTGCCCTCCGTCTCGCTGGTGAAGCTATCGCCCTTGAAGAGTTCCCAGGTTCTACCTTGCGAGTGCAACTTCAGCCCGTTCCAACCGGGGCACGAAATCTCAATCTTGGAAGGCTCCAGTGGGTTAGTAGCGGACACGTACTTTGCTTGAACATGCACTCGGGACACGAGACGGAGGTTGGGGCCGGCCGGCAGCTGGTAGTGGGAGGAGTTGGAGGAGCGTCCCATCAGCAGTGGCTCGCCGTTCTCGGGCAGTTCAACTGTGGGGAGAGCACCCAATGGAGCTCGCTCGCTGGCCCGGGCGGCACTGGACGACTGCACAAAGTCGGAACGTCGAACAGGAGGCGAGCTGGACATGATGCCGGTGCTCGAGGTCGGTACAGGGGTGGGGAGTTGCCTCCGGCCGTTTTCCTTGTCGCTGCCATGGCTCCCGGTGTTCTGTCGCTTAAGCGGGCGGGGAAGGCCAGGCGAGGACGAGGGTTCGAAGGCTGGTAGCAGAGAAGGGGCGCGTCTTTTTACGCCGGCAACGGCACCCAAGGAGGGTTCAGGTGTGGAAGTCTTAGAGAATGGCTTCAGCTCTGGCAGTGTAGGCTCGTGGGCGAGCGAGTCGTCGTGGGAAGAGCCGGCCATGATAGGCGAGTTGTGGATAGTCGGGATGGCGGTTAGGGTACGGGTCGGTGGCAGAAATCCTCGAATTACTATTTCATGACCATGCAGTATTCGAAACCGGAAACAGTCGAAAAGTCGTTTGGACTGGAAAAGGGGCGTAGAAATCGGCTCTCGCGTATGATCGCGGCGGTATCGTGTGCGTTGGCGGATGACACTCTGTGGGATGCCCACTTACACGATCCTCGGCTTCTGCAGAGGCGGCGACGACAGCAACGAGGCGGTGGAGGCGGTTGAGGCTCAAGGATTGTTATGATCAGACATGCAAATTGCAACAAGGAGGGAAAAGCTGGACGATGAGACCTTGGTCGCCAAAAGTGGTCGGTGTGGTCGGGTGGGAGTGGAAAGGGCCTGGGAAGAAGAGACCTGGAAGAGGAGAGCTGACTTGGGGGAGGAGGTATTTTAAACGGCGTCCGACACGAACGCGATGTGGGCGTTCGCGTTTGGCGTCGCCGTTGTACCTGGCCGTAGCGCAGTCCAGGTGCCTGCGCCAACCGCTGTAAGGGGGGCCTAGGGGGCGCCTGCAGGGGACGTTAGCAGACGTGTTCCAGCGGTCGAGCGCCTGAACGGCCGCGAGCCACAGCGGCAGCCCTTCTGTATTCCAGCACGCCGCGGTCCCTGCCCACGTATGCGCGCACCACTACCTTGCCCTTGTCTAGACCTGCTGCAAGCTTCAGACGGCTTCGATGCTCGATCGATCGCATCCATGGAATGCAATTTCGATTTCCTTGCCATGAGAAACCACCTTATGGATCGTTTAGCCGTCATTCATTTAAACCACCTCGATTTGTTCAGACGATAGTTGATAGTTATTGAAGGCGCCAATGTATCTACCAAAGTCTCCTGTTTGCTGCTTATCCTCATGGCACACGTCAGTCCAGATATTAATAAATGGCTGCCACGCCTGGAAGGTACCTATGCGCTGAGAATGATGCCACCGCTTAATTACTGAGGAGTTACTTAGCCTGTTCAATTAACCTGGCCCGCAACCCACTCTGATTCAGAGTCAGCCTCGGATCAGACTGAACAACTTGGCTATTGTCTCGAGCAAAATTTTCCTAGTCTTCGATCTGTTTCTTCAATTGAAGATGGATACTGTTCACTTTGGTTTTACCCAATAGCACGGGTGCATATTCTCAGCAGTCTCCCTTTTGGTGGAACTGCTCTCCGTCCAACCTCTTTAGCTCTCCGGTGCTGACCGCAGCTTAAGACACGTCTCCACCCCGCCTGTGGTGATGTTCGCGTTTTTTGGTGACAGGCTTGCCCCGTGCCTTGGTCAGGGTTAAAGCTGCCAGCAGGATCTGTGTGTAATAGGCCAAGCCATTGGTTGCTTAAATGTACGTATCTTTCCCGCTTTCCGCCCATCCGCAGCGCACAATACTGCGTGCTGCCTATTGTGGCCAGCCCATCTTCCTGTTTCCTTTGTCGCATGCAAGCTCCCGGGCCTGAGCGTACAGCAGGGCCATGCAGTCAGGAAGCATAAAAATGATCATGCTTCCTGATAGGCCACGCACCTGGGCCCAGGTGTCAGGTATCCAAGACGCGAAAAGGGAAGAAAGAAAGAACAAAAGAATTTCATGGGCCGATTGTGGATGATGGCCAGTTGTTCCCAGGATTTCCTGCAGTAGCTCCGGCACGCGATGCTTCTAGCCTGCCTCCCAACCTCTTGATGCAAGCAAGACGCGGTGAAGGGCCGCCGCACAAGGGCAGAGTAAAACAAGATGCAGCGTCATGTAGATAGATCAATCGCCAATCTAGAATTTACGATTTCACGGCGCATCTACCATTTCCCAGCCCTGCAGCCTTAATTGCATTTCGGTGCTGTGTCCGTGCGAGCCACGCGCCCGGTGAGGCAAAGCTCCGCAACCGCCGTCAGACCCGGTGGAGAGTTCGGGAGCGCCCCTCCGTCGTTCGGAGATCCATTAGCGGAGACCCCGGATAAGATAAGATCAATGGCTTGTGCCGACTCACACCGCCTTCACCGCAGGCCTGGCAGAATCGATAAGCCAGAGGAAAAAAAAATTCTGGATACACTCCAAGCCGTCTAAAAGCCCCCACCACCTCGACCATATCAAACCGCCCATCTTTTCTCTGCCATCATCATCGCCACTATCCCGGCCTGGTTCCAGAAGAGACAATGGCGCTGTCAAAAGAGGTTGCTTCCCTTGGCGATAATGCCTTGGCCACAATTGACTCAGCTCAGGTTTGTAAACCACCTTCCATTGGTGATATATGGCTGGATGGATTTTCATGTTGGACGAAAAAGCTAACCTCGAAGAATCATCTCTAGACCCTGAAAGCCTCCAAGGCGCTGATCGCACACATCAAGAAGGCATCCAAGGAGAAGGCCCAGGAGTCGACCAAGCGCAACCTCCTCGACGACGAGGGCGGCGAGGAGGCCGCCGAGGAGACGCCCATCTGGCTGACGCTGACGACCAAGCGCCACGTCGTCGACAAGGCGCGCCTGCAGCCCGGCAAGATCACCCTGCCGCACCCCCTCAACCAGGACGAGTCGACCACCATCTGCCTGATCACGGCCGACCCCCAGCGCGCCTACAAGGACATCGTCGCCTCGGACGAGTTCCCCCAGGCCCTGGGCAAGCGAATCACCCGCGTCGTCGGCCTCTCCAAGCTCAAGGCCAAGTTCTCCCAGTACGAGGCCCAGCGCAAGCTCTTCTCCGAGCACGACATCTTCCTCGCCGACGACCGCATCATCAACCGCCTTCCCAAGGTCCTCGGTAAGACCTTCTATAAGTCGACGCTGAAGCGACCCGTCCCCGTCGTCTTGCAGGCGGGTAAGCAGGCGAAAGTGGACGGCAAGCGGCCCAAGAGGAAGGCCGAGGGAGGCGCCGTCAACGCCGCAAGCCCTGCCCAGATCGCCAAGGAGGTCGAGAAGGCCGTGGGCTCCGCCCTCGTCAACCTGTCCCCCACGACCAACACGGCCGTGCGCATCGGGTACTCAGGCTGGACGGCCGAGCAGATCGCCGAGAACGTCGAGGCCGTCGTCGAGAGCCTCGTCGGCAAGTGGGTACCCCAGCGCTGGAGGAACGTCCGCGGCATCTACATCAAGGGACCCGAGACGGCCGCCCTGCCCATCTGGCTGACGGACGAGCTGTGGCTCGACAACAAGGATGTCATCTCCAACGAGGAGGCCGCCGCCGTCGCCGTCGCCCGCAAGGAGAAGGCCAACATCGGCAAGAAGCGAAAGTCCATCGGCCAGAGCGAGGAGTCCAAGGAGCAGGAGGAGGAGGTCGAGGAGCCCCAGAAGAAGAAGTCTAAGAAGGTCAAGAAGGACCTGCCCGACGGCGATGACGACAAGCTCAACAAGCAGATTGCCGACCGCAAGGCCAAGCTGAAGAAGCAGAAGGCGGCCGCCAAGAAGGCTCTGGATGAGTAGAAAGAAAGGGGGAAAATGAATATAAAAACCGCTTCCGATGTTTGCATATGGTCTGTCTCAGAGAAAGGATAGTAAGGAGATGGGAGATCTAGTACATTTGCGCGCGCGAGTAGAAGGAATTTTGCACCGGCATTGTCAGGGTTAAGGCGTTGCGGAGTTAGAGGAGCGGACATCACCTGAACATAGGAGATAAAAGCTGCCTTGTCAGATCGAATAGACATTTACAATTATTCGCTTCTTTGATATTTGGGATTGCAAGAAATTTACTCGAACTATTTAAAACATGCTTAAACGAAGTATAAATCCGAGGGTTTCTTGTGACAATGAATGAAATAGTAGCTACACGAGAAACAAGTTGACTATAGTTCTCCCCAGCGCCCGTCATCAACACCAGTCTCGGGGTCAAACTTCCTGTCATAAGGACCGAAGAAATTGGCAAAGGTCTCGTTGAGAACCGACTCAGGAATCTGCATGTGATCCCCGGTGATCGAGCGGAACCGCAGACCACCCTTCTTGTCCAGCGCCTTGAGCCCGATCCAGTCCTCCTTGTAGATCGGGCGGTCCCTGATGGCGATGACCTCGGTGCCGTTCACCTCCTGGAACCACGACGTCTCGCGGGGGATGACGGTGGTGTCGTCCTCGAAGAGGTACATGACGAAGTTGGACAGCCGGGCCAGGTTCTCAGCATAAGTCTTATTCTTGACCTCGCGCTCGTTGTTGATGTCGGCTAGGAAGTTGGACCCGTCGAGGTAGGCGGCGTAGTCCTTGGGGTCGCGGAAGTACTGCGCGGGAACGAGGCGCGACTGGACGAAGGTGCTGAAGGTGTTGTAGCGCAGCAGGCTCATGGCGCCCTTGCAGAGCCAGTCGTAGGCGCCGCAGGCCGCGAAGTCGACGATGCCGTTGTGCTGGCTGCCGAACGTGGCGAGGCTCCGGACGGGGGGGAAGTTGCAGCGCTCGATGTAGCCGCGCAGGAACTGGCCGCCCTGGGAGAAGCCGACGGCGTCGATGGCGGGCGCCGTGGAGAGGATGGGGTGGGCGGCGAGGGCCTCGCAGACCTCGTCGAGCTGGGCGGTCACGTTGCCGAAGAAGGTGGCTGAGCGGTCGGCGCTGGCGTCGGTGCCGCCGAGAGAGACGGTGTAGACAAAGGTTCCCGGGTGGATGGCGTCGGCGAGCTCGCCTACTTGCTTGAGGCCCTCGCCGTTGAAGGTGTCGCCGAGCCCGTGCCAGATGACGACAGGCAGAGGAGTGTCATCGGGTTCGTCGTCGCTGATACGGCGGGGTCTGGCGTCGACGGTAGAAACTGCCAGACTGAGGGCGAGGAAAGCGAGCGACTTGGTAGACAACATAGTTGCGACTTGAGGAGCAGTCGGGAGAGTAGACAGCAGGTAGAGATGAGGATGTAATGTCGCAGGATGAGGCAAACCAGCAGGTCCGAGGCTGGGTGAGCTGATAAGAGCTTATCGGTTTCGCTCCCGGCGCATTACGCAACCGAACAGGCAGCAGGAGCAGCCGTGAACGACAACCGGAAGTCACTTTGCCAGTAAATTATATGCAGAGGTACATACCGTATCTAGCCACGCATAGATTGAGTTCGATTACTGTAAGTCACATAGCCTCAAACATAAGAAGGGGGCATTAACCTGAATGAAAGGTTATACAAATGTGTCAGATATATGTTTAGGTCCATGTGGCGATTGTACAATGCGCTGGATCGTCATACGCAATGTCAAAATATACATTTCGGCGTTTGAGGCTGAGGATGACCCAAGTAAAGTGCCCACAATCCTGGAAGCATCCTCAGAAATCATACAGTAACAACATATTTTTTTTATAAATCTCTTAGCCTGCCAAACTTTGATCAAGATAGGAGTTCCAGCTGTTGATGACGGCCTTCTACGCCAAACAGATAAGTCTTAAAGTGCTTATGAACAACCGTAATCATCTCATTCTTCACTTATAATTCATCAATGCTACGAGAAGAGAAAACGCCTGCTACTATAACAGAAGATCTCCAGTAGCTGAAAAGAATCTGTTCAATATTGTAATTCTTCACATACATTTTCAAGTGTGAAAATGTGGCTGGAGTGCGAAAAGATTTTATCCCCCTGATCAGAACCATCTCAAGTAACCATGCCTGCATGTAAGCCATTTCGGAGTGAGATTCTAAATATTCAGCTTCTCAAACATCAGAGCAGTCTCCTCCCATGCCTGCAATCTCGCCGCGACATCCCGCTCCCGGCGCTCCGCCGACTGCTTCGCCTCGGCAACGTCCTTATCCTGGATCTTGCTCAGGTCCGCCTTGAGCAACAGAACCTCTTCTTGGTCCCTCCGTGCCTCAGCTATCTTCGCCTTGGCCTTCTCAACCTCCTTGGTGGCATCCCGGATACGGCCGTTGACCTCAACGTAGACAGCCGCCTCGGCGGAAACGGGAAAGACCGTGCAACCCGTGGGAACGGCTTCCCCAACCTGAAGGACGGCAATGTCAATTGGAGTCTTCCCGCTCAGTGCCTTTATGGAGGGAAGTTGAGCAGTCGCCGTGGCATGCGACTGTTCATTCAGAGGTGTGATATAAGCCAGCCCTTGATCCTTGATAGAATATTCTGCCATCAACGAGCGCAAACCTTTGGAACATCCCAGGACAAGTTCATAGGCTGCCTCAGATTCTGGGTCACTGAAGGACAGCTCATACTCTGGATACAGCGCAACTGTGATCGAGAGTGTGTCGTCTCTTGGTCTACGCGGCAGACGCTGCCACAGCTCCTCGGTCAGGAAGGGCATGAATGGCGAGACGAGCCGGAGGCCAGTTTCAAGCGTGGTGTACAGTGTGTCCTGGGCTGAGCGAACCTCCTCGGCCGAGCCATCTGAGAAGATCGACTTTGAGTTCTCAATGAAGACATCAAAAAGCTCATCGTACAAGTACCGATGGCTAATCTGAGTCGACCGAGAGAATTCTCGGGCTTCAAGAGCTTTGTTGACCTGGCTCACAGCAGTGTTCATCTTGGTTAGAATCCACCTCTCCGGGAGACTTTCCTTGCCTTTTAGAGCACTCGTCGCACGGGGAACAAAGTCTTCGCCAAGCCTGCCAAGGACATATTTTGTAGCCTGGTAGAGCTTGTTGCAAAACTTGCGGTAGCTGTGCATGGTCTTGACATCAAAGTTGATGTCACTACCAGATGATTGGGTGTAGTTGATGAGCGAAAATCGCAGTGCGTCAGTTCCAATCTCAGGGATTCCTTGCGGGAAAGCCTTCTTCTGGTATCTTTCGGCATTCTTGATCTCACTTTGAGCCAGATTGCCCTGCCGAAGCTTTTGGTGAAGCTCTTCGAGGCCGATGCCATCCATGATGTCGATCGGGTCAACGACATTACCGAGAGATTTTGACATTTTCCGGCCCTCGCTATCGCGGATCAGGCCATGACAAAAGACCTCGGTGAAGGGAACCTTTCCAGTCAGTTTCAACGAGAATATTATCATACGACTGACCCAGAACGGGATGATATCCCAGCCTGTCTCCAAAGTTGTGTTTGGAAAGAACCTGTCGAGATCTGTCGTCTTATCTGGCCATCCGAGAGTGCTGAACGGCCAGAGGCCGGAGCTGAACCAGGTATCGAGGACATCCTCGTCCCGCCTGAGCGAAAGCTTCTTCCCAGGAAACTTTTCTTCTGCCTTTTCACGGGCTTCTTGCTCTGTTCTGCCACAGACCCAGTAGTTGTCATCAGCATCGTCCCCCTTCTCCTCGCCTTCGACGGTGATGAAATACGCCGGTATCTGGTGACCCCACCACAGCTGCCTCGACAAGCACCAGTCTTGCAGGTTGCGCATCCATTGCAAGTATTGCCTCTTCTGTAGGTCCGGTCGGATGACGAGCTCCCCACTCTCGACGACATCGATGGCGGGTTGTGTCAGAGGTTCCATCTTCATCCACCACTGCGGTTTCAGGTATGGTTCCACAATATCCCCTGACCGGCTGCAAACGGGAACGACCATCTTGTTTGGCTCCTGTTTCGTATACAGGCCAAGCTCTTTCAGCTTCTCGGTGATGGCGTATCTGACATTGAACCGCTTCTCTCCGGCGTATGGACCCGCATTTGCATTCAGAGTGCCATCATCGTTCAGGATGTTGATGAACTCGAGGTTATGTTTCTTCCCGAGAGCAAAGTCGTTGTGGTCGTGGGCAGGCGTCAGCTTGACAGCACCGGTACCAAATTCTCTGTCCACATGCTCATCGGCAATAATTCTTAACTTCCTGTCAGCGATGATGGGGTGCTGCGCAATCTTGCCGACGAGGTGCTTGTATCGATCGTCCTGGGGATGAACTGCTATACCGGTGTCGCCCAGGATCGTCTCTGGTCTTGTTGTTGCAACTTCAATTGTTTCATCAGAGCCTTCAATCTTATATTTGAAGTATGTGAGCGTTCCGAATTCAATCTTCCGGTCATATCCTGGGACATCAAGCTTGGTCGTTCCCTCAAGCTCTTTCTGGTCGACTTCAAGCGTGGACAGCGCAGTCGAGAGTCGACATGACCAATGAACAAGCCTGTTGGCTCGGTAGATTAGCCCTTCTGAGTGCAGCTGGACAAACGTCTCCGTGACAGCTCTAGACAACTGGGGGCTCATTGTAAAGGCTTCACGCGACCAGTCGGAGGAGACACCGAGTCTACGAGTCGTCTTGTTGATGGCTTGATGGTAATCCTCCTTCCATTCCTGACACAGCTGTACGAACTCGGCGCGAGTGAAATCCTGCCTTTTAGATTTCCCGTCTTTCGGGGTTTTTGCAAGCTGTTTTTCGACAACAGCTTGAGTGGCAATGCCTGCATGATCGCAACCAGGAATGTAGAGGGTAGTGAACTGTCGCATACGATGCCACCTGATGAGGGTATCTTCGAGCGAAAGGGCTAGGGCATGTCCGATGTGAAGTCTTCCCGTGACCTGCAAGCAAAGTTAGCAAATGATTGTAATGCTCGTACATGGATGCTCTCATACATTTGGAGGCGGCATCGCAATGACGTATTTGCCTTTGGATTTAATACTGCCATCTTCCTCAGTCCGTGGTTTGAACAGCCCCTGCTCTTCCCAGAAGCCGTACCAGGCAGACTCAACGACCTTGGGTATGTACGCCTTGTGGAAATCATTCTCAAGCGAGCCCAGGATCTTCCTTTGCCCAGCTGGAGTCTCGTCAACCCAATCTTTTGAATCGACCGCCGGAGCACCCTGGTTTTTGGGCTTCTTTTCCTTGGAACCGGTTCCTGATTTCTGCTGCGCCTGCTGGGCTTGCTTTTCCTTTTTCAAGGCGAACTTCTCAGCCTTGAGTCTCTGCTTCTCGCTCATAGGCTTCCCTGCCCCTGAGGGCTGTGTAGAGGCCATATTTCACGGTGCAAGTGGTACGGTAGGTTTGCTGTCAAAGGCAATGGAGATGATGAAGAGGATAACTAGCACACACGAGATGAGGAGACGATAAATTCATTTTCTGAACGGATATACTAAATGAGTCACTAGTTGCGAGTGCGGTTGCCCTGAGTCATCCATTGTGCTTATGTATGCCATCACGACTTCCCTAGATAGGCAGCAGATTGCGATCGAGTCTCGGACTTCGAGTCAATTGAAGGTCAGATAATATGCGAGCTCTGCCAGCACATCACCAAGGCGTTGACGGTGGTGTTGAGGGCAGTTTACAATCTGCATTGGAAATCCACTGAGCTAGGCCCGTAAGCTAGGTACCTAGATCCATGGCCAGATGCGTGACTTGGCCCATGAGGAGTCCCAAACCGGTCTATGCTGCAACCGTATTCGCCGATGTAGGCAATGTAAGTCGAGGATGGTTACACAAGACGAGCGACGAGCGTTTCGTCTCTGTTTACGGATGGAGGAAATGCCAAAACAGGCCGCGGAAGCCGCGCATGACGCACTTTCCTCACTCGAACTGAGCATGACTAACCTCGTGATTTCATAAATTTCGAATGCATATTTTATACCTGATCCTCAACCGATGAACGCACATAACAGACGATTCAAGCAACGATTGGCATTCTTTACTGTGTATATGCACGTCATTCGGCACATTGGCCAAATTAATCTATCGTATTCATGCCAATTAATCGCAATCGATCCGCAGCCCTCCATTGGATTCCGAGCCTGCATCGAAGGGCATCACATCGCCGATCACGGCCAGAAATTGCGAAACACGAACTCCTTGCAAGGATGGCTGGCCCGCACAGACCAGGATCGAGTCGAGGATTGCTCTCTATCCACCATGCCGACGCATAAGCCAGGTTAATTGGGAGCGACGGCGCAAAAAGAAAACGCAGTCAAGCGTGGCCACCAGCATAGCCACGACTAGTCTTGGTGCGCCGACCCTCTTCGTCACCAGAAGTCGGCATAAAACCATGTCATGAGAGAAGAAGCAGGTGATTAGCTTGCGAGTCGCAATTCCCGTCTCCTCTTTTCCTCGAGCTCGGGCTTCCTCATGGGGCAAATGGGGGGTCGAGGCGAATCGCCAGCCAGGAACGCGCAAGCCAAGACGGGGAACGAAGGCTTGTTTCTCTCCACCTTTTTGCCGTGCTAAGCTTTTTAACCTGCGAGAATGGGGATGGTTGTCCGGGCGCTGGTCGGACCATCGTCGCTCTGCCCTGGTAGCCCCGATGTCCAAAAACCCGCACGATGTGCCGACTGGCGAATGCCTCGTCACATTGCATGAAGAAGAAATCCGCAACATGGGAAAGGGCGATGGCGTAAACCATGGCGGGCCCCTCAGCTCTTGTTGTCGTCTCCGTCTCCTCGATATGGAGTTCGGAAGACCAGCTTGCGTGTTACCATCCCCAACCTGAACTGGGTCTAACCCTCATCCAGGTCGGAGTTTTTTGACCTGAACCATCGACCAGCTCTTTCCGCTGCTGCTTCTGGTAGAACTTGGTCGGACCCCCATAGATGACACAAGAAAATGGGGGCAGCCAACACTACGGAGAAGGCGTTGTCGCATTCAGGGCCCTAGAGAGTTTCAAGGCCTGCTGGAACAGTGTCAAAACGCTGGCCAACCGGGATCGGCTCGAGACGATGGGACTCTGGCTGATTGGGATGCTCGTCTTTCTATGGGGCCGGGCAAGCCCACCACTGGCTGCAAACGGCGGTTGGACTGGTTAGCCGTGGACCTGAAACAGGGGATGCACCACGCAACACTGGGACCTACCTCATTCCACATTACCAGCACAAAGCCCCTGGCCTATCAGTGGCCCCGTTCTCGAGGTCCAAGCATACGTAAACTACAGATCACCGGCTGATCGTTGGGAAGCGCGCAAGACGCAGACAGAATTGCGGGCCTCTAACCACCTGATGATGCGTAACCCGCATCTCCCTGCTTTCGGGAGGTGCAGTAGCAGGCTTGGGAGCGAAGGGGACTTTTCTCCGCGATGGCATAAAGAGGGCGAGGGCCCGTCCCGGTTGCACTCATCCTCATCACAACTCTCGCTGAACTCAATCCCGAGTCTCTACCATCTTTTCCTCAGCTTCATACACACCAGCTGTAATTCAATCGCTCAACGAGGCCGGTCCTCTCCACATCACATCCACATCCACCATTCAAACCCACTACAACGGTCAATCAGACACTATTCACAATACTACAATCAATCTATTCTGTAATCCTCGATACCCAATTACTTCGGATCAGATCAGCATATCCTACAACGAAATCTATCTCATCCCAGACCAACCAAACCAAAAACCACCAAACAATCATAATGAGTCCCTCCGCCATTCTCGTTGCCGCTTTCGCCACCATGGCTCTGGCTATGCCCCTGGGCATTGACCCCCGCCGTCTTGATACCATGAACGTCTTCTTGGCCGACATTGAGTAAATTGATTTTACCAATGGCCTTCCAAGGTATGTTGTCGACTTGTTTGATGCTTAGGACATCACTCCCCACACCCACAACCAAGGCTAACCAGGTGATTGCAGAGACAAAATAAGATAAAATAAATACTGCATACACTATACCACGGGAATATAACAGGATACTCGGCGTTGTGCCAGGGGGTTGGCATCACACTCATTTTAGAAGACATCACATCGGGTGATAAGTCATTGCATTACATTACATACCCACAATGTTAGATCACATTGCCACGCACATTGGATTTTTACCTTTGTCCATAGAATCCACTTTCATGAACCAAGAATAAAGAATTACAAGATATGAATACCGTTCCATGCCTGTAGTCCCCTGGCTCTTGTATGAGAGAGCCCTGTCAAATGACTGACATAAAGCAAAGCATGGTACACAAAGAACACCCAGCGTTGAATTTCGACACAATATCAAATCTATTAATATAATAATAAACATAACATGAAGCTAAACATTGTCGAATAATTTATTATCTCTCATTATTGTTTACCTTTCATCAGAGTAAGATAAAGAAGGTTAGGTAGGTAGTCAGCCACTCAACCTTGTGCGATGCGAAAGCTCGGCAGGAAGACTCACCAAACCAGCGCAGCTTTATAAACCACATACCATCACCCTCCGTCATCTACGACCATACCCACTAGACAGCACTGGATCCCGTCAATGACTTGTTGAGAATATACAGGCCCCTTGAGATAATAACCGTTCAGAACGGCATTCTCTTCCAACATAACCTCTCTCCTCTGAACTAGAACATTCTATGTAGTGCAGGTTCCTAGAGTCCATACTAAAGGAAACCAAGAAGAGGAGCGGCCTCATATGATTAAGCTGCCTGAAGCAGTAGCTAATCAGCAGGCCAGTTAGACAGCTAAGTCGGCTTCCAATGAAATTGCAGCGTAAGAAGAGCAATCTCCTTCATATGACCAGCGACATGTGATTGAAGAGCTTGGCTCGAGAAGACAGCGCAGGGTTCGGCCTTTCCTGGGGGTTGGAAATCGTCACCAAATGGACACTCCATCACCCTTTCAAGAACAGGCCTCCGCGCGGCGTTGCTGAGGGTCCCAGCGTAAGCTTCAGGCACGCCATGCTCCTTCATGGAATGCTCCTGGTACTGGTCCTCTTGGTCAAATACGATTGGATCATGAGAGGGAGCTCTGCACTCCCAGGTGCTTCCGTGAGCAGTCTGCATGTGGTCGGACCAAGCCTTGGACGTTTCGAATGTGAGTGGACTGTTGCCGTGACACCGTTCTAGACAATTTGAAAAGACACAAATAAAGGGCTCCAAATCTCCGATAACATGATCCCTAGGACATATTAGCCATATAATTCTCTACAATGACAAGAGTGATCTACTTACTCCCAAAGCAACGACCTGGACGTGTTCTTGAACTCAACAATCACGCCGCAGTATGGGCACTGCTGCGTCAGCGGTATTGGGGGAAACGACAATCTGTTGTTGACAAGAACGGATCTGGCCCCGGGAATTTCCGTCGCGGGTTTGGCATAGAGGGCCGCAACGGCGGTTTGTCGGGCAGTAGTCGCATTGGTTGCGGGCGCTGGTACTGCAGCCGCCATTTTGTTGGTTGCGGGAGTCTTTGGCGGCACGTTCGGACCAAACCATACAGTATTTCCCGTTATTTTGGGGAGATGGGCGGCCGCTGGAGTAACTTGCGGCTGTTGAATACTCAGATCAATGCGCCTGCGATGGGATCGCTGATAATACAAGCGTCGAAGTCGTAGGGCATTGGCTTCTACTAATGCTGAACGGAGAGCCTCCGTCGCCTCCGGGTATCGGAATTCTATATAGCATTTGGTGTAGAGACGTAACTCGTCTATTGCCTTGTTGGCCTCTTCGTCATTTTTGTAGTTTTCGATCTTGCGAGCCCGGTTGGCTTTGGCGGACTTGCGAACGGCGTTAGACAGACGGACGAGGCGCGTCAATGTTCCGCCGATTGTCTCTGTGATCTTGACTGTATTCCCTTCTGCTGGATCCGCGTCGCTGTCTGAATCGCTTGCACCATCATTGCCTCTCCTCGTGATCTCCAAGTTTGTGTGAACTAAAACACGCTGTCTCTTCCTGCTAGAACTTGTGGGAGGTCGGTTGCTAATTGGTTTCACTGTTGCGGGAATCTTGTCAGGTTTGATCTCCAATGCTTCCCTATATATTTTCAGGCTTACTCACGCGATAACAAGGTGTCGCTAATGATATCCAGGAGCTGATGTATGATATCGGCGGCCGTGGGACTGAAACGCAGTCTGTAGTCCAATGAAACATTTGGCGGTCCGTAAACATCCATGTTTGACACCCATAAGGAAAAGCGTGCCAGCTGGTCGTCTATGATAGTAGGATCTGGCACGATTTCCGGCATGGCCATATACTTGTGAAACAGGGATTGGCACTGGGTCGCATGTTCTGCGATAGTCGGGCCAAGGTCATCTTGGAGGAAGACATCTTCCATAGACTCGTATCCCACGCGCTCAAAACTCTCCATGGTGAGGAGGACGATACAACCAATCGCCAGCGTATCGCCAGCTGTTTTGGGTGAGGGAGAGATTCAGGAAGCCGATCTTGGTCTCTTGATGAAAACACGTCCCCAAAGTCGTTTGGTCAGCAAATCGCGTCTGGGGAATTGGAGTCGCTGCATAAGTTTGAGAGGTCAGAAATTGCCAAAGCAGTAGACGCCTTTGATGTTGTCAAGTGACGACCTCGCACCCCTCCAAACTCTTTGTTCTTGTTGTTCCCCGCTCTACCTGTCTTTGTGTATTCCTACCTAGGTATACTGAGGTATAACTAGAGTCTTTTTTGCCATAGTAGGTACATGCCCCATCTCCTTGGCTGCTAATATGTGCTTAATCTGTACGTTCCCGGGGTTTAGACCAATCGGTTCAACGCAGATCTTAGGTATATCAATTTGTATCTAACAATGTATAACAAATCAAGACAGTAGGTACCCCCTCCCTAAACATCAGGAGTCCGTTAGTTGTCTCCCTTCGCCGCAGCCCCCATGCATCTAAGTGCCAACAAGCTCAGAGGGTTATCTGACGCCGAGGTTAGGGGTGCAGGTTCTGATTTAGTAAGACGCCCGTCCACAACAACCATCACAATCCAGGAGGCTGAGGCTTAGAGAATCAGTGCCAAGACACTACGATGGACCTGACTTTTGAAGACAGCAGAATTATACCGCCCTGGACCCCAGATTCACAACATACCCCACTTCGTGCTGAAAATATAGGTAATAAATACTAAATAGCAAGGTTGGAAGAAGAAATGCCTTTAAGAGTTGAAAGATAGGCCAAGATAAATATAAACATATAACTCGGCTCTGAACACGATTGTTGCGGAGACTACCTGCATGGGATCATTTTAATCACCAACCCAGTCAGTTCCTCGGCTGTTTGGGGGTGGCTATAAGACCCACTGTCATATCACGGCATGGCGCGAGCCCAAATCACTCCCCGTGGCATATAAGCCTTGCAATAGCTTCATCCATCATCTACGACCATACCTACTAGACAGCACTGGATCCCGTTTGCTCTCCGTACGTTAAGCTAGTAAGGGGCCGATTAGTAGTTGGGTCGGTGACGACCAGCGAATACCGGCTGTTGTAGGTTAATTTTTGTCTTTTTGAGATTTGACACTGCATCCCATGCCCATGTCGTCTCTGCGGAACTGGTATGAGAGGAGATCTCGTCTTGGCAAGAGTGAGGAGGAGAAGGCTAATCAGCTACTGAGTCCTGTGCATCATTAGAACACAGTTCCGTCGTTTTGATCATCTGTATAGTAGGCCTCATCTTCCTCTTCCTCCTCATCCTCATCCTCGTCCTCGTCCTCGTCCTCGTCTTCATCCTCATCTTCATCTTCATCCTCGTCCTCGTCCTCATCTTCATCTCCCTCATCAGTTGCAAATTCCAGGTCGCCAAAGTCCTTACGCCAATACCACGGAATCAGGGACTTCATCGACGCCTGAGAGGCAATGTCAGAGTGGACACTGTCCGCACGCTCGTTGCTGCCAGCAATGTCGGCCGCCGACTCTCCTGAAAAGGCCAGGGCTTCGTTCTCTTCCAAATGACCTATTCTGCGTGCAAGCATCCGTAGAGCTGACGTTCGCATGTAGTCGCCCGGCGTTGCCCAGACGCTGTTGGTTTCCGTATTGAACCGACCTTTACCTTTCCACCATCCGGGGGCCTCATGGCGTTGGCGGCGAAGAAGATCCATGCAATACGCAAAGTAGAGATACCTTGCCGCCGGCCGGAAGTCATTTTTGAATTTCAATGGCCGATTGTGAAGCTCTTGACCACTTGGGAGAAGATCGCCACCGCCTGGCCTCCACTCGTTCTCGCCATATAGCCATTGCGTCTTCCAGCAATCGGGGCCTGCTTCTGTATCGGGCACAATGACCAATCCACCATCGTCAAACAGCTTTTCATAATATTCGTGAACTGGGAACGCATTTTTGGTTCCCATTAAATGACCATCCCTAGAATCTGGGGGCCCGAAAAGGTGTGCAGCTGTTACTTCACCCACATTATACCTGACAATTTGGGTGGCTTTGACACTGCGGGGATAAAGATGTTTTCCAGTGATTACGCACCATACTGCACCTTCGTCATCGAAGGCGTCGTACGCTTCAAGCACGTCTGCTCGAAACCGATCCTGGGCGTGTTTTTCTCTTTTGGTAAAGAGAGTACGTCGTGCTCCGTGTGGCATCTTGTAGTATTGTCTGATCAACGAATCAAGATATTCCCAGTCCTGGGTATCTTCACTCTTTCCCCAAGTAGCCCAGTCCTTAATTCTTCCACATATCTCATGATAGGATGTGTGAAGCACGATGAGGTCGGTTGTTACGGTGCTGATTGCCCTTTCTAATTCTGCAACTTCATCCCGATATTCTTGCACAGTTAAAGAAATATGACCTCCTTGCCACTCGTCGTTCAAAAGTTTGAGGACCTCCTCGGCGCTTTCCCGCTGACACTCCTTGATCTCCCGAATGTTCCACACAAACTTGTGAACAGCCCCAGATCTGACGCTTTCCAGCTTGGGCTGCTTGAAGCTAGTGGTGTCCATAGTCATCTTGGGGAGACGCGTGGTCTTAGTGCACTTTGGAAGTGTTGCGAGAGTTGGTTCGAAGCTGGTTTGGTCTTGTTCGAACTTCAGTTGCGTGGATTTAAAATGTAGAAGGTATGTTTGCTGCTGAATTCAGTTTCCTTTGCCTCTGAAGGCGAGGGAGAGCAGCATTTAAATACAAGGAAGAAGCGGTATCAGAGCTATGACGACGAACAAAACCTTTGTGTGGACGAAACCTTGATCGTCGGTGGCTTCATTGGGGGCTCGATTGCTGGGCGACAGGCGTAAACCTTACGTGAAACTACGACAGTTTATCCCTCTCTCTACAGACCTCTTTAATTCTTTTTACGTATAATCTCTCTGCCTTTTTTCTCAGACATATATTATTATACCAAGTGGCTATCAGTAAAACATGGACTATAAAGTCATCCCGGTAGGATTATTGTGGCAGTCACAAAATAATGCTTCCTATTGTGGAATAATAAGCAGATAATATTACGGAGTAATTAGTCAATAGTTTATTATTTTAATTTTTATTATCAAGTACCTATTGTCTGGTAATGTCGTGGCCTGTATTAAAAAGTTGGAATTAATCCGATGCCCGCTTGTGTACCTCCATGATAGAACATACGTGCAGAATGGCAACTCAGTCATCTAAAGAGTCAGCTACTCCCTAATTCTGCCGCCGTTTGGCAACTTATAAAAGGACTCAATCAACAAGCTTCTGTTTTTTTAAGCGCTCTTCAATCTAATTCAATTGGCCTATCCTCTCGCCCCAAATGTGCCATCTGCCAAGAGTTGTAGAACAACACCCACCCCGCTATACGCCACGATCCCGCCAAGCTGCTAGTAGGTAGCTGCCCCATCCCAGGAAAGTACTTCGTAGGTGACCGCCAAAAAATTGGCCACTGAGAACCCTCCAAACAGACCACGCCAACAAACAAATATTCCAGCCCGCTACCGTCCTGCGCAACCTCACTCAGACCGACATCAATCAATTAAGGTCCGTCTCCGCCTGGCTGCGAGCGCAATTGGACGACCACGTACACGTGTGACTGCGCAACCACGCGCAAACCTCGACCGCCCCATCGCCAGTCGCGTCGTGGTCACCCAACACCAGAGCTCACGCCTCGCCCAGCCTCAGCCCAAGCTCCCTCATGGCACCCTCCAGAGCTGGGGGCAGACGCCCTTCAGATGGCACCAACGGGAGGGACCACCGGCGACACCAGCAGAACCATTACCAGCCCAGAGACGAACCGTCACACCCTCCTCCACCTCCCGCGCCCGTGAGAGCCGGGCCTCATCCAGGCTACATCACCAGCTCGAACCAGTACACCTGCGAGCGCAAGATCAGGCACCTACTCAAGGAGAACGGCTGCGATCCCGCCCGGGAGGATAACTACCGCCTACAGGGCGTCCAACTCATTGACAATGTGAGGGAGCATCTGCAGCTGTACGTTGGTTGCCCGCAAAGGAGAAAGGAGAAGACAGGACAGAGACAGCTGACATTGAGTGGCGCGCAGACCGGTTCGGACGTTTGATACGGCATGCGTGTACTTCCACAAGTTTAGACTCAACTTTAGAGATGCTGAGTACAACTACCAAGACGCCGCGCTGGCCTCGCTCTTCGTTGCCTGCAAGGTCGAGGACACCATCAAGAAGTCAAGGGAGATACTTGCAGCAGCGTACAATATCAAGAACCCAGACAAGCCCGCTGCCGCAGACGACAAGGTAAATTGGCTATTCATCTACACAGAAATCCCCAGGCTAGCTCATATCGAAGGGCAAGAAGTAGCTAACCAACCTAATATCAGGTCTTCGAAGCTTCCTCCAGGATCATCATCGGCCTCGAGCGCCTCATCCTTGAAACCATAGGCTTCGACTTCCGCACCCGCCACCCCCAGAAGCTCCTCGTCAAATGCACCCGCTCCATCCTGGGCCGCGACTCCCCCTCCGCCCGCGACTTCTTCTCGACCGCCTACGCCATGAGCATCGACCTCTACAAGACCTTCGCCCCCATCAAGCGCACCACCTTCTCCATGGTCATGGCCGTCATCGAGCTCACGGCCCGCGCCATCGACGTCAGCAGCACCGACCCCGACCATCCGCAGCTCCTCCCCGAGGTCCGCCGCTTCTCCGACCTCAAGCCAGACTACTGCCGCCCTGCCGTCCTCGAGACCATGCTCGACCTCCTCGACCTCTACGTCCAGCACCCCAAGTCCACCAAGCTCGGCCCCCGCTTCGACATGAACCACTTCATGGACATCAAGATCCTCCTCAACAACGACCTCGACCACGCCTCCCTCCCCCGCTTCCTCTACTCCTGCCCCGAGTGCGAGTCCTCCCCCTTCTCCGCCACCTCCCCGGACCAGCACTCCCCCGCCCAGCACCAACAACCACCCCCCAACACGAACAACCTCCTGTCCTCCGATCACGCCGCAGCCCCCAACCCCCTAGGCGGCACCGGCCCCCGCCCCGTCCGCGGCGACGGCTCAACCATGCGCTTTGTCTTCAACCCCGAGGCCGCCCGCTCCGAGCAGCGAACCGTCGACGACTTCTTCCGTGAGGAGTGGGAGGAGCACGAGGTCGAGGTCGACGAACCCATCCCCCCGCCTCCCCACCCCCCACGGAACAATCGAGACGACGGGGGCAACGAGAGGGAAAGAGGCGGTGGTGGCAGGAGGAGATATCAGGGCGGGCACCATAATCGGGATCGGTGGGGGGGCGGCGGGCATCCGTACCGAGGAGGCGGCGGCGGTGACAGAGGGGATAGGCCACATCGAGGGCGTGGACGGCATCATTGATTGTAGAAAGGCTAGAAGAGCTGGCTGTGCAGGTAGTAGATCTAAACACAACGCCCCACAAGATTGGGTAGCCCATTGTTCCCACCAACTCCCAAACGTCCAGTCCAAAACTATAGTGTCCGGCGACTCTCAGGCTCTGCCGTGACGGTAAACAAGTAGATGAAAGAAACTTTTAAAGATGAAGTGATTTATTCGCCTCTAACTAACATATGTTTCTACATCCCCACGATAATCCAAGAGCCGATGGGGGCTCCCTTCTTCCGAAATATACAATCCCCCGTCAGCCCGACTCCTCACGAGACAACTCCTCATCTGGACATGGAAAAATAATATGTGTATGTTTTGGAAGGGGTTCGCCATGCTTAGTGGTACTGTGCCAAGTCCCTGTAGTCCGCATCTCCCACTTCCTCCTCGGTTTCAATAACAAAAAGACATAAGGGTGGCATAACAAAAATGAGAAAAAAAAGTATATTAAACGGCCACAACAAGCTGCCTAGGTCACCAGGATGAGGCCAGAAGAAAAGGTACAGCTGGGTCCCGGCCCTATCCATGTTACAGCGCCCGGCGGTTCGTTGGGATCAAGAAATGGCATATTATCAGAAACGTATCCAAAGCCGATAATTTTACCAATCGAAGAAAGGGAGAAAATCAGGTAATAAATAAAAAGCGGGGGACGCCTCCCCCAAGAGTAAGGATGGAGAGTTGACGCTCGGTTCTTTCGTTGAAAATTCGGCCTCCCCTTCTATCTGTTGGGCTAGCGATCCCAGGGTATCGAAGTGTAGATGAAACTAATATGGACGGATGAGCTTTTGATGACGGGCCAAGACAGGCGTGAACACTATCAGCGCCAGCCGAGTGAGTTCTCTGCAGCAACTGGGGCTGAGATGTTGGCAGTGCGGGCAGAGTTGCCCATTCCACTGCGACCACTGCCGTGGCTCTCTCGACCACCGCCTAATGCCCCACCATAACTCGACATGTCCCGGCTCAAGAGCGCACCCCCCATGAGGGCGGGGCTGCCGTTGCCAGCGTACTGCATCTCTGAAGACCTGTCGCTACCAGTGACGGAGCTGGATCGGTGGTGAGACGAGGATTGTCTCTTGCGCTTGTAGCGGCGGGCGACAATGAACATGGCAGCACCATAAAGCGCACTAAGGCCGACAGCACCGACAGCAATACCAGCGGTCATGGCTTGTTGTCTAGAAGATGAGGAGCTGTTATTTGAACCGTTACCCAAAACGTCATCGTTGTTGTTGCCGTTGTTGTTGCCACCGTTGCTTCCACCGTTATTATTGTCATCAGTAAACTTGCCATAAATGTCGATCTTTGGGTTGATAACTGCGGTCAAGTCGCGAACCAAGCTGTCGGGGTAGTTGTAGACTTGCGAGTTAGGAGACAAGATATCAGCCTGAAGCTTGTCAAGGAGATTCTCGGGATAGTAAAACTTGGCGATAGTAGTCCAGTATCCGTACTTGGCAAGAGTGTCAAGAGGCTCGAGTCTCGTGATTTGCATCTTGTTAATATCAAATCCACCAGCATTGGACAGAGCTCGAGGAAGATAAGAAAAGATCTGGGCAGCAGCAACAGTATTCTTGGCCACGTGCTCATAGTTGAGAGCATACAAGAAACCAACCTCGATCAGTTTGGTTCCATCAGGCTGAGGCTTCTGCTGATCAGGGAGAAGAACAGCAGGAAGGTTGGTGGGGAACGCACTACCGCTGGAGGTGCCGGTGGGAATAACGGAGGGAGCCGAGAATGAGAACGAAGTTGGATCACCAACGATGGTTGTTGGAAGCCAGTCGTCCGACTTGGAGGCAGTCTCGGTAGGCCTGATGCTAGTAACGGGTGGTCTCTCACTAGTAGGAGCGCCGGTTGCAACAGACGTAGGAACATCTGTCTGGCTTTGCACGCCAGAAGTGACAACACCAGACGTGGCCGTTGCAGATTGGTCACCAGTCTCAGTTGGACGCGTCTGAGTGCCGGAATCAGAGGCCTCGCTTCCGGTGGCGGTGGGTTGAGTCTGAGAACCAGATGCAGTGCCAGAAGCGGAACCGGACGTACCAGTGCCAGTTGGGGGCGCGCTGGTATCAGTTCCAGTGGGAGGAAGGCTGGTACCAGTTCCAGTAGGAGGAAGGCTAGTATCAGTTCCGGTAGGAGGCAGGCTAGTACCAGTTCCAGTGGGAGGCAAGCTGGTATCAGTTCCGGTAGGAGGCAGGCTGGTACCAGTTCCAGTAGGAGGCAGGCTGGTGTCAGTTCCGGTAGGAGGCAGGCTGGTGCCAGTTCCAGTAGGAGGCAGGCTAGTATCAGTTCCAGTAGGGGGGAGGCTCGTACCGGTGCCAGATGGAGGCTGGCTGGTATCAGTTCCAGTTGGAGGCAAGCTCGTTCCACTACCAGTTGGGGGCAGGCTCGTGTCAGTACCAGATGGGCCCAGGCTGGTTCCAGTAGGAATAGCGCTTGAATCGGTACCGGTAGGAAGAATGCCTGTAGAGGTAGGAATCAAAGTCGTAGGAATAATGTCTGACGAAGTAGGGATCAGATCCGACAGGCTAGGAATTGATGACAGCGTGGAGAGAATATCAGAAATGATATTTCCAGAAGAAGAAGTTGGCACTGGTTGACTGGTCACCACATCAGAAGTCTGCTGCCCTGCGGAAGTAGTAGCAACACCAGACGATTGCTGCGCTGCGGAAGTGGTTTGAGCAGGCTCGGAGGTAGAAGGGTTGAGGATATCCGAGATAATCGACGAAAGCCCGTTGCCCGAAGAGGTAGCAGGGGGCGCCGATGTCTGCGCGGCCGAGGTGGTAGGAGCAGGAGGCTCCGATGTCTGAACGGCTGAGCTGCTGACAACGGGAGGCACTGATGTCTGCGCCGCAGAAGTGGTTTGAGCAGGCTCGGATGTCTGCGCGGCCGAGGTTGTGGGAGCGGGAGGCTCAGATGTCTGAACGGCGGAGCTAGAGACAACGGGAGGCTGCGATGTTTGCGCTGCAGAAGTGGTTTGAGCAGGCTCGGAGGTAGTAGGGTTCAGGATGTCCGAGATAATTGACGAAAGCCCGTTGCCGGAAGAGGTGGCAGGGGGCTCCGATGTCTGCGCTGCGGAAGTGGTTTGAGCAGGCTCCGATGTCTGCGCGGCCGAAGTGGTAGCAGGAGGCTCTGATGATTGCTGTGCTGCCGAGCTGGTGGCTTGGACGTCAGATGACTGAGCCGCCGAGGTCGTCGTCCCGGCCGCGGTCGTCGTTGGGTCAGGGTTTGTGGTTGCTGCTGCACTTGTAGTTGCTGCTGCACTCGTGGTTGCTGCCGCGCTCGTGGTTGCTGCTGCACTAGTCGTTGCCGCCGCGGACGAGTCGGTTGAGGGTTGTGTTGATGACGCATCCTCACTAGAAGACGAAGAGTTGAGCACTGAACTCAGTGAGCTCAACAAATCATCCAGGCCGTTATGCCGCGAGCTCGTGGCAGCAGCATCGCTGGAAGTTCCGACAATACCGGTAGGCGCGATGGTGATGCCGGTAGTGGCGTCTGTCGTTGGGGCAATGAGATTCGGCAGAGTCACACTATCAGTGGCAGTGGAATCAACAGGATTGGTGCCATTGTTGAAGACTTGTCGCTTGACTTGTCGAGGGTAGTGCATTCGTGGTCGGTTCGGGAATGCGGTGACCGACGAGGCCGCGAGAAGGGCCGTAGCCAATGCCAATTTCGCGTGCATTGTGAAGTTTCGATATCCAAACTAGTCCGACTCGGTTCTTCCAATGCCCAATGTGCTAATTATTTTCCCTTTTTCAAATAAAGATAAAAAACGGTCGGCGACTGATGCTACTTCGGTTGTTAGTCGTCGGCTGGAGAAGATTTCGCGACGGGTTGTTGTGGTAAATGCTCACTCTCCGATATTGTATATAACGAGTGTATGCGACAAAATGTCTGGTAAAAATGAGTGAGATCTAACAACAAAAAATCACAAGTCAATACACTTTCAACAGCTCGGCCGGGATACTTTCCCATGCCGTGTTCATCGAAGTCTTTCCCCAATGGTCTCTTCCCCATCCGCGATGCCGTTGCCACTCACATTTGGTTGTTAAATAGCTTTTTGTTGTAATAATGTACTGATTTGCGATAGCTGTAAAAGAGCGACTAGACAAAAAATTCGTCCAAATGGAAATTGAGCAAGCACGCCGGGCGTATCGTCAAACAAGAGCCGAGATCGGGGTGTCCAAGATATTCGTCAATTGCGGGAGTCGTCGTTATCGTCGAGGTGTTGTTGTCTCTGTTAGTTTCTTCGCCGGACGATCGAAATGAGACATTCAATCGTGAACTATCGTTGATCGCGAGAAACCTCCAAAAACCCGAAACAATTGGCCAGACATGAGACGCTGAAATGCAAAGCCTCTAGGAGTCTGAACGCGCGGGAAAGCGCTGGTCGACTAGTAAAGGGAACGATGGTCGCCTGAAGGAGGGAGAGTGTGCTGGTTCGACCAGAAAAGAGAGAGGAGGGGAGGGAGGGAACGTAAGAAAGGACAGAGCAGTGGTAGGCATATGCACGCAAAAAGAACGAAGGAATGGGAGCGACCGTGTGTTAGAGAGAGAAAGGCAGGCCGAAGCAGCGTGTGGCAGCAGGGAATGGAGCACAAATACAAGGAACAAGGGCAGGGGGACGAAGGAAGCGGAATGCATGGATCTTGGATGGCCTCGACTGGCTGGGATTGGGGCCTCACCACGCAATATGGAGCCAGCAGGCAGGAACAAGGGGGGTGCAAAGTCCCAACAGCCAGCCCACGCACCTGCCAGGAGGGAGGAAAAGGGGGTGGGGCACGGGCGACAGAGGGCGTGCCACCATGAAAGATGGGCAGCTGCAGTGGGCACAGTGCTGTGGGCATGCACAATGGACGGCCAGGCCAGTCACCGGCTGGCTAGCGCACCGTACGGGGCATAGCGGACGCTGAAAATAGTAGATTGAGCCCACTGCACCAGTCCAGCAGAGGGCTGGACACTAAGAATTATTACCCGGCAGGGCATCAGCAGGTCGAGAAGTCCTTCCGCGCACGCAACACCCACAGCCAAGACCAAGACCTTCTTTAGCGAGAGAGAGACATCCCTTGCGTGGGTGAGCCCAGATGGACATGAGTGGTCGTCGCTGTCTGTCCTGTCCGAAACGAGTCTCATATGTACAGATGAAATGAAGGCAGGACGTCTGCACATATCTGTCAATCCATCTGCATGCAGGCACAGAGGTGGATGTAGGTAGAATGCCGTCCGCCGATGATGACGATACGAGCCAGGGCTGCGGGGAGCTACTCACTGGGTCGGTATTACGGTGATGCCTCCCGTATAGGCATGCCTACCTGTGCGCAAATGGAGGACTGTCAGGCCTAGTAAATTAGCAGTCCCAAGGTGCATACATTTTTAAAATAGTGCGTCCCTTTGGGTGCGTGTGTGTGTGTGCCCATCACGGTGATTCGATGTGTCCAGCTCCTCACCAGTTCATGACAGCAATCATTAGGTGCTTAGACGGAAGGGCCTCCCATTGCAGAGACCCCCCGAGCTGCAGTGCAAAGGCGTCTCCCCGTTGGCCCATCGTCCAAGGTTGCACTAGGGCACCTCATGTAACCGCAAGAGGTGCGGATCAATTTTACGCTCCGATATCCTACCTACTCTTCGTGGCAGGTACCTACAGAGCACATCATCGCACGCACATTCGCACCAGGTGGGTAGCACGAGGCCTCTTTTTCTACAGCACGCACATGGCTCAAGCACCCAATCGAGGAGGCCTGGTGTCGGCACCAGAATGTACCTGCACAGGCGCTTGCCCTGTCCTGGCTGCGGCGTCTATGTAACTCTCCGCTCTGTCTTCACATCACATCACGCAGCATCCGTTCCAGTTGGTCGTCTGTGTTGGTTTGAGGTACTTTTTAGCTTCATTTTATCCGCCTGCAACTCAAAGAAATCGCGCCAACACTTGGGTACCAACAGCGAAGAGATTAAACTGCCTGCATGCCGTATTACATCTGGTGACATAGGCTGATAGGCAAGATCATTAGCAAGAGCCGCCAAGGCACTATTACGGCCTTCTAAGGGCACACCTCCCACTCCAAAAAGGAAATTGCTATGGAGCTCCGGTAGGGGATTTGAAGCGACGGTCGCCATTGTTCCTGGTTCTAGCCAGGCACAGCATAAGAAGATACTTGCGAGCCCTGTGAGTACCCAGCGGATGTTGAGGTACTTCGTAATCTGGAGCTATTGCCCACAACGGTCCATCTAACCGCATGTAATAGCGGGACCCCCCTCAATTCTACCTTAGGGCGCTGAAAAAGATGGCGTCTTGCGATTGGCCCAGGGCCCGGCTCAGACCACAATTTCCTCCGTAGCCTGCCCATCCCATGAAGCCGTCACCAACACGCTCTTATGGTGGCGTTTCCTCCTTGGTCATTAATATTACTGCCCTATATTTCCCTTGGCTTCCAAAACGGGATTTGGCAGGGCCTTCTTCTGCACAAGTCCCATTATTGCTTCCTCATCCGACAGGGCTTCGGTTGTTCTAAGCAGTCATCATTGCCTGTTTTTCCCTGGCTCGACCCTGGCTTTTCTCCTCTAGCAGCGTAGCATCCAGAGCCTCGTCCGATGGCGCAGCACTAACATACAGACGGCTTGCTTACCAACTTTCCAACTTTGTTGATCATTGCTGCTAAATTTACGCACTGACCTGGCCCATTGTCCAAGTCCCGTCAATATCGCCCAGCCCTGATCCTCCGCCATCCAGCCTACCGACTGGGCAGTCACCAAAGTCTCTTCGTGCTAAGTTAAGAGTGCGTCAGTAGTGTACAGTCAGTGCAGTAGAGGGATGCACCAATGTCCACTCACCGTCTGCTTACTGTCTCCCAGATCATCCTGGTGGTCCAGGCCTGCGTTGCAATGCAGCGTGACTGACCGATACGCAATGGTCCCCGGTTGATCTTCGCTGCCTTATTGCTTTTCTAGCATAATCCAATCCAATATTATCATTTCGGTCACTCCCACCGGACCGGTGTCTGCAAGGCAACTCTTACAGCTTGCGTATGCAGCAACATATCTCCCTTTAGGACGAATGCTGACATGACACAGCCAACTCAGATAATGATCATAATGCTATGCCATATGGAGCTCCAGCGGTAATTAATATGCTGCTGCCAAAGGACCCTTTAGCTCCCCATGGGTGGTGTTGGCTAAATTGGGTAGTGACAGAGCGAACGAACCCCTAATCTTTGATGTGTCTCACGGGTGCGGAGCCGAAGCCTTGATATCGACGCTCCACGTGGAAAGGGTAAGACGCAAAGCCATCAGTCACATCTCTCGTCACGCCTCAGACTCCAGCCATTGGTCTTGTTTCTTTTTCTGACATGCAATGGAATGTGATGGTCTGTCTCATCTCGCCAGCTCGGTAGTCGTATGCAACCCACAAGCGGGCGAGGCATCCGTTGCAGTCATGAGCCCGCTTTGGCCGCGCCTGGAGCGGTGATAGACCGTCTCCCTGCCCGTCGCCGTAAGCTCGTCGCCCAAAGTACGTACTCAAGCTCTACCAGGCACACCCTTCGTAATTGTCGAGGCCGCCCATGGGAAGACACCAGGATGGTACGTCTGTGCGCAAGCACTTCCCAGTCCTGTGCCACGAAATCATCTCAGCCAAGCTCTCGGTTGCCGAACACCTTATTGAACCCATCTACCTGAGGCTGGCTACGCCACACTTCCATCCATCACCCAGGGATATGTCGTCTCGCCTGGCGCTTTCATTACAGGGCGCTCGGCGTGCTACGAACAGAGCGGATCACCGCACCAGCATCTAGCCGATTTATGGCCACACTTCGCCAAGCACAGGAATGGCGGGGGAGAGGGAGCTTGGTTGTCCCACCTCACATGGCGCTGGAATGCAAATGACGCATCTTGCAGACTTCGCCTTTGCGCCGTTTATTGACGGCTGACGGTGGGTTCAATGCGCCCTCGTCGTCCTTCAACTTGTTTACGACTCACCGGAATGCTGCTGCTCCCCGCCGCCGCTGGACTTGAAGACAATGTCCACCGCAGGTCTAAGGCAGTGAATGGGTGCGTGCGTGCCACACAGTGGAAGGGCGAACGAGCCATTTCACTCTGACACCGCCACGCCCAGCCAAGTTTCAAGATGTTCCACCAGCTTCTGAAACCAATAGCACAGCCCTTGGTTCAATCCACAAATCTTAACCTCCCTCGCTCGGCAGCCGGCGTTCGCTAGCGAATTCTTTGACGTGTTTTACGGAGACGGGCTCTTGATGATCCAGGAGCACGCAGGCTCCCTAGAATCTCGCGTAGCCGATCAAAGACATTGGTGGCGCTGCGACGTGCCACGGGGCGAAAAAGCCGCCTCGGTGGGCCACTCTCGGTCCGTGTGAATTTTAGTCCGCGTGGTTTTTAAGGTTGCCATACTTGAGAGACCTGATTAATTGCTTAATCAGGCTGCAGGTCGTGCCTCCACCCGCCGTAATAATATTGAACACTTGACTTGGAAAGAAAAGCGAGAAATTTCAGCCGTGCTCCTCACTCCTTCCAAGCTTCTATTTGCGACTCCCCTGTCGTCCCGGATACCGCAAATTGCGCTTCGACATGATTCTCATCCTTCTTATATATTACTACCCGGCCATTGTCGAAAGATGAGTCCTGTGTTATTTTTGACTCAGCTCTGGAAAATGCGATGCAAGGGAAATTAAATTTCTTCATCACATCGTCCACGCCGCCCTCAGGCTCTCAGTGCCGCACAAGGGTCGCCCATCATGGCGCTATTAGACTCTTTACGCGGATATGGCATCAACAACAATGTCGGTGAGCCGGACGGTGTTGGTCACTTACACCTCATGGCCATACGAACAAACCGGCGTTCTAGCCGTGTCCTGCAGCGCTGCCGCGGGGTGGATTATTGACACTTGGCTTCGTATAGCGATTTACCCTAGGCTCCTCGTATCTCTGTAGGAATCTGGTGATTAGCCCCCAAGACCCAATCAGTAAAGGTCAGTGCCTGTCGTATTTGCTTGTATTGCGTAGATGGACATGGGTTCGGATTGTGGAGGTTTTCCCACTGGGTTGTCTGATGTAGTGACTTTCGAATCTGTTGGACAACTAACACGATATGTGTTCTTGAACGCCATTGGCACTTGACAGAACACACTAAACGGCCATCCTGCACTGAAGACAATATACACACCGCTAGATTCCAGCAATTGCGTTTGTATGCTCCAGATTAAGGTATTGAGCGGTTTTGAAGGTATGATGCTGATATCACGAACTACTATAGGGTAGGGTATCTGAGGAGGTTAGGTTTGGTTGTGCTGTCTGTCGACTTCAGCTGATGGTTCAGAACTAACATTGCATTGAATGATCACTGCGCCAAAGTCAGAGGATACTTGGTTTCGATTGAAACTAGCATTGTATCGACTATAATATACGTGACCGATACTATCTAGCGGGTAAAGGTGCTTGTCTATCCCCCATCGCACTCGCCCAAATGATGGGATTTAAGTCTTGTTGGATCCTCCCCAATACGAAATATCCCAAGATCCAAAGATTCAAGCTACAGATTAATAAGAAATAGGAGAATCATAGTGTAGTGTTCTGACTTACAATGAATGCGTCCCTCATCGTCTGGCGTTGGCCAGTGTGGACCTACCTGCGGCGTAGTAGAAACCATGAGACATAATTAGGGTTGCAAAGACATTAGAATGGGAGGTGCACAATTATAACTCTCTATCAGCGTTCGGAGAGAGGGAAACCCCGATGTTGATTCTTCTCCATCGCTACATTGCAAAGGTCCAGCTGTTTGTCTCACTAGTTCTCGACGGAGAGTTGAACAAGTTGAGACTGCACCGGGGAAGAAAAGCCCAAGACTATGAATTCCACACCCGAGGGTTGTCATGTTCGCTGGGTATTCTGCCTGGGAAGAGAACAGTATTTGTTCATCATCATCTGGAATGCTGCATGGTGAGGTATTCTGTTGAACCTCACCAATCTCACCGAACTATGTCCAGAAAGGCAAGGATTCTTTTACAAATTCTTTCTACAAACGGCAACACGGAGAACTTGGGCTTCGGTTTACCTAATTATCGTCACTAGCTTTTGTTCACAATAGCGGAAACAATATTATTTATAGGGCAGAATATCATGGCTATTCCTTCTACCAGTAATGTGCTTCACTTATCAACGGAACCAAATAGTTTGAAACCTGAAGCTAGTAGATTGGATTATCGAGGAATAAACCGGATTCATTCAAAATAACGTGCTTGTTAAGAATTACTGAAGTCGCTTTATTGAACGACCAGACATTGATCCGAACCGGATGTTCAAACACAGCTCAATGCCAGACGCGGTGTCAATATTACATGGGCTGCGAACGGAACCTGCACGCGAGTCGAAAATGTCATTGATCCGAGGCCGAGAATAATTATGGTAGGCTATTGCCTTCAGCCGAGACATTACACTGATTTTGCTCGATCTATGAAGAGCGAGGCTCTCCGGATCGAAAGCCAACTGATGAGCACTACTCCTGATGCCACCACCCACACTATATGCAGGCACCCACGGAGCAGCATATGTAGAACCAATCCAATTCTCTGTTGCCCTACTACTTTCTCCCATATCAGCCAGATTCACCCGCCTTTCACTCCAAAAGCTCATAAACGGCCTTGGCCTCGGGAGCCTTGCTCTCGAACTCAGCCTTGGCCTCGTCCCAAACACGCTGTTGGGCGACCTGGCCACTCTTCCTCAGCATGAAAGGAGGATATCTGCGATCAAACCATTAGCATACGGAACCCAGACCCCCTGCACCATCATATCAAATATCACATTGGAACTTACGTTGTAGTATCGAAATCCTGCTGGATCTTCCCGTGCCCATCCGCAGAAACAGAAACTCCATTGGTCAACGCGATAGCGCAAATCTCGGGCGCTCTGGCACCAAAGTCCATGATGAGCTTCGAGATGATGTTGGAGCGGGTTGGGTTGGTGAGGCCTGTCCACGCGGAGCCGGGGTCGGCGCTGTTGACAGTCACCTTGCCTAGCTTTCCCGAGGCGGTGGCGGCCGAGACGCGGGCGGCGAGCTCGCGGGTGAAGTAGAGGAGGAGAGCCTTGGAGCGGCCGTACTGGTGGGACTGCTCTAGGCCTTCCTTGTTGTTGCTCAGCTTCTTGAGGTAGGAGCCGGTCTTGGGCATGCCCAGGGTGAAGGATGAGGGGTAGATGCCGAAGGTGGTCACAAAGGTCAGGACTGGAGGGTTAGGGTTGGACGGGGCTGATTTCATAAGTGGCAAGAGGAGAAGTCCGTTGAGCGCGCTGGAGAGAAAGTTGACCTGGATGGCTGTTGGGTTGAAAAATTACAAGTTAGAAAGCCGTAAGAATGTGTGGTTTTTGCTCGATGGGGAGCCGAGAAGGGGAGAGAGCAGACTTACAGCTTTCCCAGCCCTCAGGTGATTCCCTGCGATCCCAGGTGAGGATTCCAGCGGTCATGAGAGCATGATCCAGACTCTCGAGCGTCTTTGCCTTCTTTCCTAGCTCTTGGCACCCAGCAAAGGTCATCAGGTCGATCTGCCAAACGAGAATCTTGGGTATAGGCTTTCCCTGCTCCTTGAGCTCTGCCTCGATTTCCGCCTTGACGCCCCCGCAATCCCTCACATCTGCTAGAACAAGGGTCCCCACCTCACGATGGGCAAAGTTTTTGGCAACTCTGGAGCCAAAGGCGCCATTGGCACCGGTGATCAAGGCAGTCCTGCCTTTGTAGGACTTGGTGACGACGGTGGGCTTGCCGTGTCGCTGCTTGTAGAGACTCTGCCAGGGGAAATACTCGGCCAGGAAGATAGGGAGGCCCCAGCTCAGGAAGATGACGGCGACGGCGCCAGCAACGGCGAAGTAAAGACCAGTGCTAGCCATCTTGGAGGTGATGTTTGGGATCAATTGAAGGGTGTCTGGAGGAAGAAGAGGCCAGCGAGATATTTCAACGACGCGTTCCCATCGTACGACACCAGAGAGCCGGGTTGGGACGAGCCGAGTTGGAGCCCAGAGGGAATCCATTAATTAGGGCCGGCGAATCCCGCATCACCCACCAGCCACCCCTTAATGCCCACTGCGACGTGAGCCTTCTGGGTGACACACACCGCTATCCCATCCGTAGATTAGATCAATCAGTCAATCAATCAGTGAACTGCCTATGTCTGCCCTAGCGTTTCGAGGGTCCTGGAGGTGCAATTGGTCCTCGAAGTTGCAGATTAATGGAGCTCATCTGTGCCCCTCACTGGTTTAGACAGCCCCTCCTCCACATTGATAGAAAGTGACGATAGAAACGGATATCGTTTGATAGCACCCGTTGGTGTGCATATGGCTAACGTACATTAGCCTGTTAGATTCCAAGCTGTGATTTCAAGCCGTTATTTTGGTCTAATTCTAAGCGATGTCCTCTTAGCAATATGCATGATTGAACTCTAGGAATCGGGTGGTTGATCGACAGCCCGTATTCGGGTAGCTAAGCGCACACGAATACTAAAACTGATTTTCCTAGATGCCAACGCCTGAGCGTCCTTTAGCTAGACAACGCGGAGAAGTCATCTTGGTTCGATATTCACATGGGAATTTTTTTCATAAGACTTATTATTTCAGCAGAGATTGTCATCGGCACGATGTTGATAGGCGGTGACCAGCCGTCACTTCTAAGCAGAAAGAGCCACGCATCTCGCCTCTAGTGTAAGTGCGAACAACAGCTCAACTTCATAGTCTTTACTGGGGTTTAATCTATGCCAAAGCTTTTGTGCTTATGGCCAACAGCTGTGAATACTCTGGGGATCTATTACCCTGCTTCGGTGGGGGGATTCACTCAATAGTTCAGTCCAGGACTGTTAGCACAGACTCCTCTCGCTTTCTGAGAATAACACTAGCTAGCAGGGCAAAATAGGCGACCGCAGGAATACTCAAGTGTTGAAGTAGATACATACGTAGCTCCTTTAATCCTGCCGACTTAATTAATCCCGGTCAAACCAATGTACTCTTAGTCTCACCAACGTGCCTAAAACATCCATCCATTAACCTTTCGGACTTCTTAGATTTCATATACTCAGTAACACAACCGACATTATATCAGGAAATTACTATAATCGATATTTTTGCCATTAGACAGACGAATCTAAATCAATTGCTACTAACTACTAGATGGGGAAGGCAGGGCTCGCTTAAGCCTGCTAGGCTAGTCCAGGAACCCGGCGGAGTATCGTACCTAAATTATTCGGTAGATATGATGTCAAGGGTTCAGGAGACGTGACCCAATCATCTCGGACCCTCGCTGAAGCTGGTTGTAGAGTTGCCCTTGTGAGTGTAACATGCAAGTCCTTTCTATCCTTTCGACAGACAAGTCAGAGCCCACATTTGATCAATGTGGTTGCAAGCCATGATATCATGGAATATGATGGCAGTGCGACGATATAAGGGGAGGGAGAATTATTCTTGGTCACGCTACCACTTTGTCTACCTGACGGTCTCCGATTAAATTAGAGTTGTGGGAACGGTTCGATGTGCCGGCTCGGAAGAGGCCCCAATACACCAGTGGCTGGTGAGCTCCTGTCCCTTCTCGGAGGGTGGTGGCGCCACAATGCCGGGTCTCCCTTCAGGCAAGCGTTTGGCAATTGTGGCTCGGAAACGGCTAGCGGTTTGGCCGCCCCCAATTGTCTGCTGATTCGTTCCAACAGCCTCCAGCGTTGACACTTGGCTGGTCCTTCGCCTCAACCATTCAGCCTCCCTTCTTTCTAGCATTGATTTACTCTGTTCCTTCTTTTCTTATCCGCCGCACAAGATGGCGCGGCGACATCATCTTACGCTGTCCCTGGCGTTGGCCTTTCTCATCCTGTTCAGCGTATCATATCTATTCCGATCAAGCGCCTCATTCTCAGCCTACCCAACGTTCCCAGGCCAGGACACACCCCGAACCGCAGATGGCCAGGATGGTTTCCAAGTTGACTTGGGTGATTTGCCCGCGGGCATTCTGGAGGGTGGATCTATCGCTCCCAAACTCGAGAATGCGACTCTGAAGTATGTCCCTTGCGTGTGAATGCAATGCGATCAACCTCACTGACTACGAAACACAGGGCTGAGCTCGGCCGCGCGACATGGAAGTTCCTCCACACGATGGCCGCCCGATTCCCCGAGAAGCCGACCGAGAGCGATCGCCTTGCCCTCAAATCCTTCATCGGCCTCTTTGGCAGACTCTACCCATGCGGCGACTGCGCCGAGCACTTCCGGAAGGTGCTGGCCAAGAACCCCCCTCAAACCTACGACCGCAACGCTGTTGCCGGGTGGCTCTGCTATGTGCACAACATTGTCAACAAGCGCTTGAAGAAGCCCGAATTCGACTGCAACAAGATTGGCGACTTTTATGACTGTGGCTGTGGCGATGAGGACAAGAACAAGGAGAAGGGCGCGGACAAGGCGTCGCCGCAGCTTGAACTCGAGAAACCGTAGGGGGGATTCGGAAAGACTGGCGAGATGGACCTGTTCGTCTTGCTTTTATCATCGGCATGGTCCCAATGGGGACTTTTCATTCCATTTTTGTTTACAAAGAATCAGCGGGAATCGGGCAATTTTTTTAGAGCAGATATTGTTAAATACAACTGTGCATTTGATCGACTTCGTTCTTGGCGGCGAGCAATTGCGTTAAGGTTCTTGAGGTCTTGGTACGTACCTTCTGTGGCATAATTGTGGTCACGTGACTATATGACATCTTCTTGGCACGGCTGCGCGTTCAGAGCTGCCTGAGCTACGCTTTGGTGGGTAGAGCTCCAGTCCCTCCGCCTAGACGACCTCACAATCAAACATCAACTCAACAAGGCTGCACGTGAAGCATTGACACCTTGCCTCTTCACCCGAAACCGCAAATTTAATACAACTTTGCTCCACGCCTCTAGACACCATGGAGTTTGGCCGAAGCGGAGCTCTAAACGAAGGCAAGTTGTTCAACTTGTCTGCTGGATGGGTCGGCGGATGATTAACTTGGATGACTATAGATGGCATCCATGTGGATATGAACCGCCTGAAGAAGGGCGAGGTCAAGTAAGTTCTCTATAACCCCCAGGATCTTGCAGTTGGAAGTCAAGCTAACGCGGGGTATATAGCCTCGGAACATCGATGTACGCATGCCGTTACCGCCCCCCAATTTGATGGTACCATGTTTAACATTTGACACAGCATGGCAGTGACATTCAAGGATGGCGTTATTCTTGGTGCGTATCTGGAACCGTACATGCCGTGGGCGTTATTATCATTTTCGGCTGACACGAAGGCTCAGGTGCTGATTCTCGAACGACGACTGGCGCCTACATCGCCAACCGAGTTACGGACAAGCTCACGAGAGTACACGACACAATCTGGTGCTGCCGCTCCGGCTCCGCAGCAGACACCCAGGCCGTTGCCGATATCGTCCAGTACCAGCTTGGACTCTTCTCCATGCACAGCGGCAAGCCTCCCATGACGCAAACTGCTGCCTCCATATTCCAGGAGATCTGCTACGCCAACAAGGACCAGCTATCGTAAGTTTCCGCCCGACATCTGTACAAAATGAAGAAGGAAAATGGCTTGGAAGTTGGGTCTTTAAACAGCATGCTGATATCTGAATGACGTATAGAGCGGGTCTTATCATTGCGGGCTGGGACGAGCGATTCGGAGGACAGGTCTATCAGATTCCGCTTGGCGGCTCCCTTCACAAGCAGCCTTATGCTATTAGTGGCTCGGGTTCAACATACATCTACGGCTACTGCGATGCGAACTGGAAGGAGGGCATGGAGGAGGAGGAGGCAGTTGATTTCGTCAAGAACTCGCTGCGGGAGGCTATCAAGTGGGACGGCAGCTCTGGAGGTGTAATCCGCATGGTCGTTTTGACCAAGGAGGGAGCAGACCGACACTTGTACCTCCCAGACACCAACTATGCCGAGAGGCATAATGAGAATGTCTCCCTGTGAGTTTAGAGTTAATGATTGACCGGGGGAATGTGGAAGTATAAACAGAGAACAGAAACAGCTGCAATAGCCAGTTGTCAATGACAAAATGCAAAATGAAAAACCGCATCGGTCATACTCAAGACATCTACACAGGAAATGTCATGTACTAAAAGGTACTGTAGTTGGGCTTATTGTAAGGCAGAAACTCATTGTCTTAACTTTTGTTGTATACCTGGTTGGTATGCCAATCATGCAAAATTCGATGGCTGTTCCATCTCTCATCACCTGCAGCACTATGCCACGCATTAGGTTTCGGTCGTTTCGTGTAACCCCTTTCCATGTATCTTATGCATGCGTGACCTGGATAAGAGTCAGAGATGCGGTCGAGCCGTCATCTTACGTACGCCTGACTAGATTGTACCAGGATGAAGGGCCTTGTGCTACTGCCTCTCTACGGACCAGGAGGGGCCATGCAAGCCAGCGCGAAGGCGTTGGGCAAGAATGTGATCTCACTGTTGGTACTTGGTATAAGTTGGTTGGTTGACATAGGGTAAGGTGACGGGGATGGTATAGGTAGGGGGTTTGTCAAGGAGGAACAAGGTTCATCCTGTTATTTGATCGTTTTCCCTTTAGTAGAAAGTTTGCTAAAATCGGAGAACGGCATACCGGCCACAACGGGAGTGCCTCCCGTATCACCCGGTGGTGGTTGGATTTGCAGCCTTGTTATTTCAAGCGGGCGTAGAGTAAGATAGGTACATGATGGGATGGGAGAGGGACTGTGTTTGATTTGCCAGATTGGAAAGTACTACTTTATCTCCCTTTCGTCATTTCTGGGCTATTCTTGGGCGTTAGCGTGGGAGATCCTTTGAGCGTTTCGGACGCTGGCGTGTGCCACCAGATAAGGATTCTGTTGGCTACGGGGAGGTACGAAGTACGACAAAGAGTGAGGCTGATAAGATGAACAAGATGACAGGCGGATGCGGTGAGAGCTCCAGCGCAGTGTCTCGGTAGCCCGGGCAGGCTGTACACGACTCGAGCAGCGCCCCCGTGGTGGTGATTCCTGTCTGGGTGGAGGGCCGCGGGAGCGATTGGGGAACCAGCTGGAACCCACGTGGGCGGTGCCTTGGCTCACAGCGCGACAGCGATGCCGCAAGAGGTTTATAATATCGATGGATGGTGCTAACTTAAAACTGGCTGCCAGGGCGAGATGTCATTTAATGGCGGGACATCAGATGGATTTACGCCCGGCTCCCATTTGTCTCGGGCGTCTCCTCTCTCACCTTGACCTCTCTTTCCCCTGGTCCTGGTGCTGAAATTGCTTCTTCCCTGATATCATTTATTGAATTTCTCCTGCTGCTCCAGGCTGCGTGTCCGGGATCGCTGCCTCGCATTGGCCACCACCTGTCTGACGGATGTGAAGGACCAACGACGCTGATTCGCACGTCGCCACTCGCCGGCGTCAGGTTGGTGCCGTTGCAGTAAATAGGCACGGGGGGCGTTAACTCCCATCACCGCCAATCTCCTCCTCCACCCGTGTAGTAGGAAGAAGTGCTGGCTCGCGTACATTATAATAGAGCTGTCCCCCCCACCCTCTGCTGCTTGCTATCTTCCAAGCCTATTTTGCGATTTCTGCGTGTGGAAGAAGGCAGAGGAAGGCCCAAAAGTGACCAAGAGAGCCAGTCCCCTTTCTGGAATAGATATTCCTCCCCACGTCAGAAGAGGGAAACCCAAGACGGGATTAAAACGCAAAGAAAGAAAGAATAGCCTGCTCACGGGGCCCTTTTTTCTTGACGTCCGCTTGCTTGCTTACCTGGGCACATGGGAGAGTTTCCAGAAGACTGCCAGATCCAAGCCAAGGAGATATAAGGAAGAAAAAGGTTTAGCAGAGGGAGCAGAACCTTGCTCTCAGGTGCCCCGAGATCGTGAGTCGCTCCCCCTACCATCCATTGTCCTCCTGGCGCTGGGCCAATTTAGCTTGCCTGTCCCGCACCTACTGTCCCGACCCGGCTTTGCGTTGAAGCCTAAGATCGACAGGGGGATTGGTTCTTTTATTCTTGCAAAGCAACAATGCAAGACAAAGGTAGTCAGAGCTGAGTCGAGTTGAGAATAGGAATCGAAGTTCGAGTCGCATTGCACGCGCATCGTTGTGTCGCCCTGTCGCTATCTGCAACAGCCGCGGGTCTCACTATCGGACGCTCGACGACAGCATCAACCAAGCAAGCACGTCCCTGTTTCTTTCGACGACGGTAAGTCCCATAACTTTCTTTCCATCTTGCTGTTATGCCTCTGCCTCTACCCGTTCCCGTTTGCTTGTTCCCTGTCACATCTGCTTCTGGCTTTCCTGCCATTGCCTCGGGCCGCTCCTTGGGGCTGCCTTTCATGCTGCCCCTCCTCCGTGGCACCCCTTTCACCGACCTTTGCGTCACTTCTGCCAGGGCTGCGGCCCCCCGAGATATCAGGAGGGGGTACCTAGCGCAGGTGGGTGGCGCCAGGAGTTGCCGCAGGGTTGGAGGATGATACCCAAGACCAACCTTGTCAGGACGTGCGCTTTGTCGTGCAAATACGGAATGCATTCACCCTTTCTTTTTCCGTTGGGCTGCTGTCACAGCGCACGTGCTTGCTATCGCTGCTCTCAGACGTCAACATCCCACGCTGCACGCGCCCGGCACGAAAAGCAGGGCAGGGCCGCACCACCACAAGAGGAATGACGTGAATTTGGATTGGGTGTCCCAGATCGACGCCACACTCAAAATGAGAAACGACAGCAGTGCAAGCGACGCATATCGCATGGATTACAGCGGGCGCATCAGAAGCAAGGCGGGTTTCTGTCGCCTTGCTGCAAGCCAAACCATCATCGCCACATCGGTTTACTCTATGGAACTGGATCGTCATATACATACCGAGGCTCCAGCTCCGAGCCCTCGTGTGCCCCTCCGACTTTCGCACGCACTGCCGCTGGTGGCTGACGAGGTTGAGGCCGAGAAGTGGCGCATCCGTGACGATTCAAGGCAAATCGTGGAGGCGATCGCCTCCAGGCACGCTACCAGCACCGACTATCACCTGCAATAGTGCACCCTGGCCCGCAATTCCCAGGGTCTCGTCCTGGCCCTGCTTTCTTTTTCTGGCTGCGGTCCTTCTGCTTGTTCGGCTGGCATCGGAACGACGCTGACTCCTGCGAGCCTGTGCATCGCAAGCTTCCTGACCGGTGCCCACAGAGTCGTCTCGAACTAGGCGGCGCATGGGAAAGCTCCCATTGCCGCCCAACGCCTCGACGACATCGCGAGTCACTCACGGGCCGGCGCTGTGGCACTGCGGCGGTACAACCCAACAGCCCCCCACTGGCTGGTTGCTGCCGGTGCTCGATGCACTGATCGCAGCTAGGCCCAACTGGACGCCTGCTCGGCAGCGTTGCGCCTCCGCTGTGGTCCACTGAATCGAGTCTGCGCCAGTGGCACCCGACTCATTTCACTCGCACCTGATTCTGTCTGACAGGTCTCGTCCCGCGTCTCCATCTAATCCGCCACGCCTCTCCTCCGCGCGCCCCGTTTGCATCTCTTTCCCTCACCAATCCCCCACTATTCCGTCCTGTTTCTGTTCTTTTGCAACCACCCGTTTCTTGTATCCGGCAATCCATCCATCTCCGTCTCCTACATCGCCGGCCTCTCCTTTTCTTTCCTTGTTCGTGTCTTATGCGCCGTCTTTTCTTATATCCTGCCTCTTGTTGATATCTGTTGTCGCTTCTGTATCTTGCCCCATCTGCTCCGTGTCTTTTTCTCTCGTTCTTTTTGGGCATCGTCTAGCCAGCTCCCCACCCCTCCTCGGTCCATTCTCCTGACGTTCCTGTCACGAGCTCGAACCCTTGATCTAAACTACCCTTAACTCGAAACTAATATCCCCTCGGTGCCCATATCCAGCGCAGCTGAATCATTTGCGACCAATCGCAATCGCTCTTATCGCCTAGAATCCGATCATCCTCGTCGCCTGCCCTCGACGTCCCTCGAACCGCCACCCCTGGATCTGCTTGCTTGCGTACGATGCTATGGCTGCAGTAATCGGCGACTACGTTCACGACCCTACGACGCCCTTCCATACCATGATCGCAAACCCGCCCCTACAACACCACCACGAACACCAACATCCTCGCGACTCCTCGCCTTATCGCCCAGCGAGCCGTTCGCGGCAGTCTTCTACCCCGCGCCCCCAGCGGCAAGGGTCCACCACTGACAAGGTGCCTGATTCCGAGCCTGACGCACAGAAACGAGCAAGGCAAGGCGTCTCTGAGTCGCGACTCCCATCGCCACCTTCGTCCTCGTCGCCTGCTGTCGTCTCCAACCCCAACCCAACCCACGATGGGAGAGAAGTGCATATGGCGTCCGATATAAGAGATTCTGCTACCAGCCATGGGCACCCTTCCTCCGCATCCTCGGCCCCGCGCCAACCTCCCTTATCGCAGCAGCAGCAGCCTTCGCCGGCCTCCGATGACTTCTTGATAGCGAACCCAGCGGTCACGCCCGCGTTGGCTGCTCCGTCGAGGCAGACCGTCATCCATGTCCGTGACATTGCTCACATCAAGTCGCTGGCGCAGTCCAATATGCTGGGAAATACGGGTTCTGGGTTGCTGGACGACCCCCCTCTCCAACAGATGAAATATGATATTAGTGGTATGCCTATTGCCGACGTCATCGAGATGGTTGCGGCACTCCTCACGAAAATCACCTCCACCAACGACCTGCAGCATGATGCCATGCAACGCAACGTGTCGCATCAGCAGCAAGCCAACCTGCCGAATGAGGGGGGGAGCGGCTCCCATATTGGCTCCATGAACCATTCTGTGCTCGCTTTTCACGGCAAGAATGTCCCCGCCATCACCATTCTTAGCTACCTTGCTCGCATTCACAAATACTGCCCCACTACGTTTGAGGTGTTCCTGAGCTTGCTAGTGTACTTTGATCGCATGACGGAGCGCGTGAACTTCTTAGTGAGTCATGGTGACGAGGGGAATCCCATGAGATCAAGGGGACAGTCAAGGGCTACCTCGACATCCCGCACAGATGTGTCTATGCGGGAAAACCCAGAACCAGATGCTGCTGATGAGACCGACTCTGATCTTGCGGATGACGAGGATGAAGATGACGAGATGGAGGGATCAGCGGCGGGGTCGAACCGCCCTGATAGTGGGCGTCCTCTTCCTGAGGAGCTGCCAAGTGCCCACGGACCATCAACCTATTTCGTGGTTGATAGTTTCAATATCCATAGGTTGATTATTGCTGGAGTGACCTGCTCCAGTAAATTCTTCTCGGACGTTTTTTACACCAATTCGAGATATGCCAAGGTAAGTCGCCGTGTACCCGACCCTGGCCCCCTCTTCTGGACGCCTCTCTAACCTGTTATTATTGTAGGTCGGTGGTCTCCCACTACCTGAACTCAACCATCTCGAGCTACAGTTCCTCGTTCTCAACGATTTCCGGCTAGCTGTGCCAGTGGAAGACCTGGAAGCTTATGCCACCATGCTGGTCGAGTTTTATGCTCGTGAGACTGCTTCTGAAAACCCAGCTGCGTGATACGTTTTAAAGAATAATGAAATAGCACGGAGATCTTTATAACATGGAAGATCTTTTGCCTTGTTGGAATGACGAGATGTAAGAGGAGAGCTTCGCGGTTCGCACATTATATGGGAGGCATGTGGATTTTTCAATGTGGACGTGAAGGGTGAAACCTTTACCTCCCGCCAGGAACGGAGGGCATTTGGAGCCACATATTCCCGTATGGTGGCAACCACCTGGACATACTGTACGCGCCTTGTGTACACACGACCTGTTTATGACTGGAATTTTTTTAAACTATTTTTATCCATCTCGGGGTAGGAAAGACTGGGGAGATCTGGGCAGGTGAGCAGTGGGCTGCCTGATGAACCCAGGATGATATGACTGGCGCCGGAGCGTTTGATGGACAGTGTTCACGCACCAAACAAACGAAAGACAAGAAAGGGGTTTCTCATCTGGGACTTTTAGTTGGTTAGACGTTTGGTTCCCCCTCTTCTTGCCACTCTTGACGGGGACTTATATTTTCGCGGGAAAGGATTTCGGGCTGGCAGGACATGACAGGCGAGGAATGGCAAGGGGAGGTCTTCATTGTTTTCCTTTAGCCTCCACTGGCAAGTAGAGGAAGGTCGGGTAATTACTACATTTCTACAGGGGCGAACCATTGCAAAGGCGTTTGAAGGCGTTTAGGGAAACGACTTAAAGAGAACTTAGTTATCTGTTGATTTTCTTCCATTTCTGGGTTTGTCATGATACTCTATCCTCTTGAGCTTGCTGTGATTGTGGCTGTTCGACTTGCTTTGCCTCACTGTCGAGCAGCTGATCTCAACTATAGGTGAGAAACTAATAATACTTGCTTGCAATGCTTGAAACTAGTATAGGATAGTAATTACATTTTGGACACCTTCCTACATCCGCAGGTCAACTACAACTAACAACTAGTAAAGTTTGGTTAGAGACATGTGGCTTATTACAGCCTTAGGCGATAACGGCAAGCCGGCCAGACCTCTCAATATGTTGCGAGTGATTAGGGCAGTCAACAAGTCAACGTCGATGTCTTGTAGAGGAAGATTGGCATCCAAGGTAGTTCGGTCCAGACCCATCGTTTGGGCACTGCCTCATTACCGTTCCCATAACACTTGAAGAGTGTTGATCACTGCTGGCATTGCTGAATGCCTCTTTCTTGTCTAACTCATTTCTACTTGTTTGATTATTCTGTCTCCTAGTGCGGAGGAGAGCTCATGGAGATGTGGGAGGGTCTCTCTTCTCTTAAATACAGCTACAAGAGCTAGGTTACCAAGGCCTCAAGCTTCTAGAATTGGACTGGACAGGGTTCGTCTTCTCACCTGGTCTTTCTTTCTTGCAGATAACGAACCATTCCTTCATCAATGTTGCATTTAGTTCCCTCCATAATTCTAGTAGAAAACGAGTCAGTAGCTGATAAGATTTGAGCTTTTCCCTTGGTACCGTGGGGCAAGATGAATAGAACTATTCAGGAGCGGGCATGTCTGACTTCGCCAGGTTCTACAAGAACAACGCATGATCAGCGTGAGAATCGAACTCACTTCCCAGAAGGAATACCAGATAACTGATCTGTGGTAGGGCGTGGGCCCATGAAGAACAGAGCGTTGGCTCATGAAGAACAGAGCGTTGACTCATGAAGAACAGAGCGTTGGCTCATGAAGAACAGAGCGTTGACTCATGAAGAACAGAGCGTTGGCTCATGAAGAAATATGAAGAAATAGGGTTGCCCCCATAATTCACAGAATAATGGACTTTCGTCCATTGGGATGATGCTGAGGATACGAAATAACTAGGTTGCTCCCATGATTCGTAGTGGGATAGGTTTTCGTCTATTTGGATGATGTCAAGGATGCGAATTAGATAGTTGTGGAAGCGGCAATTCTGGCCTTCGCGGCATCAAGGGATTCCTTGACTTTAGGCTGTCGCAAGCGCCCATCCTTCTTTAATGCCAATTGGTTTTCTTGGAAGTTTGGTAGATCCTATAGACTTGTTAGCCACTGAGCTTGTACATGTCAAAGGTAAACACTAACCACCAGCCATTCAGCATCAATAGCTGTAGCGTTCTCAAAGTAAATTTTCCTTCCAGTCACACTAAAGCGGGTATATACAATCCACTCGTAGTTCCCGTCGATAAGAGAGCCGGTTGGCGATAGGCGACCAGAAGTATTCTCAGGAACAGTCCGATATTCATCATCACCACCATTGTAGATAGCTGTTTGATGAGCGAAGGCAATTGCGAGAGCCTTAGGCACACTCTTTGCATCTCTCTGTGATGCTATTGAGGCATTGAGCTTTGCTGTGCCCTCTAAGAATGGGCCTAGCTTATCCCTTGCAATGCGAATCCCATCCAATGCGTCAAAGTTGAGGAAGTTGGATTTACACCAGTCACGAAGCTTAGACTTGGGAGCATTGTCTTGTCGGCATTTCTCACGCTCAGCCGTGAACATATTGAAGGCGTTTGCAAGAGCCATGTGGTCTGATGGATATCTTGCAGCAGCTCCTCTGAACAGATCTGCTACTTGCTGGTGCTTAGGGGCATCTGCAAAGATTGACTTTTGGGAGTTGCACACCACTGCAATATCAACAATATCCATAGCACAGACGAGCTCAGCGCCGATGTGGATGGCGCGGTACCAGATTGGATCCATTGGAAATTGCGAGGCAATCTTGCCTAATGGGGTGAGGAAGCCATCGTCTTTTAAGAATCCCCTATTGCCATGGTATTAATAACATGGAAGCCCACGAAAACTTTAATGGAAAACTGAGATATACATACCATCCTTGAAGGTCCTGGGCAGCTCGTAAGATTGAATCTGGATGAGGAGCATCAATCCAGCTAAAGTCCACAATCTTGATATAGCAAAGGCTGAGCAACCTTAGGGCTACTGCTTGAAATGACCGGCGGCGGATATCAGGCTCGGTTGAAGCGCCCATAAGCTCGAATTCTTGCTTGCTATAGAGTCGCAAGCAAACCCCATTCTTCGTGAGGCCGGCTCGGCCTGCACGCTGGTTTGCAGATGCTTGGGAGTTTGGTGCAACCCGAAGCATATCCATGTCAAGACGAGGGTTATAGGATAGCTGCCTTGATAAGCCTGAGTCAACAACATAGACAATGTTGTCTATACTGAGGCTAGTCTCTGCAATATTGGTAGAGACAATGCATTTCCGGTTTGGGCCTTCGGAGCTTAGAGCCATATGCTGTTTCTTGGATGGCATTTTTGAATACAGGGCAAAGACGTCAAGATCCTTAACATACTTGCGAAGCAAATCGCAGACTTGGTTGATTTCACCCTGCCCAGGAAGAAAGACTAGGATGTTTCCTGGTCCATAGCTCTGGTGAATATTCGCCACCGTATTGACAGATAAGGCTCTGAAGTCGTTACAGGCCGTTTTTGGTTCCAAATACTGGATCTCGACCTGGTGATTCCGCTGCAAAAAAAGAGTTACTATGCTTCCCATCTACTTGGACCAGCTAGGGACAAATGTGTGACAAGGGTTAACTTACTCCGGCAATATGGACCAACGGACACCCGTTAAAGTAGTCCTGGAACTTGCTTATATCCACAGGAGCTGACATGATGATCAACTGCCACCCAAAATGTTAGCTATGCCATATCATGGATATAAAAAAACACTGAAAATAAATAAGTACCTTGAGGTCTTTGCGATGGCGCAAGGTTCTCTTCAGCAGTGCCATCAACATGTCAGCCTCCACAGTCCTCTCATGTGCTTCATCTATGATGATGCATGCGAAATCTGACAATTTGTTGTCAGAGCCCATCTTTCTAACAAGGGAGTCTTCAGTCATATAGGCAAGACGCGATCTCTTGTTGTTTTTGTCCATGTTTTTCTCGCCGCCGATCTGGTAGCCAACCTCCTCTCCCAAAACCACTGCCATCTCTTTGGAGACACGCTCGGCCAGTGTAGTTGCGGCTAATCGCCGTGGCTGGGTGCAGGCGATTCGGAGACCACTTTCGTACTCATCATACAAAAGCATTTGTGGGATCTGGGTTGACTTTCCTGAACCAGTCTCACAAGATAGGATGAGCACTTGATTCTGGTGGTAGGCTTCCAGAATATCATCGAACTTGCCGTAGACTGGCAAGGTGCGACGATTTTGAAGAATTTCGTCATGACCAACTGGCCATGCTGATCCCGTCAGGGGATTGGTAGCAGCATCCTCGAGACGCTGGATTTGAGCCATGGTGGCTTGGTTGCGTGCAATAGATTCCATTTTGAGGATTATCTGGAGCTCTTTGCTGATGTTTGTTGTTATTTGAGTTGTAGTGGTAGATGTTTTGGTTGTTATGGTTGCTGTTGTGCTTGTGATGGTGAAATATTGTTGTTGTTGTTGTCGTTGGCAGGAAAGATGAGGGAGATGTGCGAGGTTGATAGTAGGAGTGGTAGAATCATAACAGTGGGACGTTGGTAGAACATCTGACCTGAGCTCAGATGCAGGCAAGCCGAGGGGAATGTGAGCCAGCTATGGTAAATGTGAGCTGGCAGGCTTCCACCACCTCTCTCTAGGTCAGTCCTCCCCATTTCATCACAACACCAAACTTTCGTCACACTACAATCGCATCACAACTACAACAAAAACAACCAAAACTTAAGATCACCACATCAAACATCAGAGCAAGTAAGTGAAATTCAATCATCGACCTCTTTTAAACAAAGTAGAATATTTCAAACCGCGTAGCAAATTAAAACGAACTCATCCAACAGAATGGCACCATCGAACCGAACCACTCGACCGAATCAAGGGCAAGGTGATGACCCTGAGCTCGAGAGCCGTATCGGCGTTTATCGAAGGAGGCAACGACTACTCGTTGCCAGAAGCATCCACTTCCAAGCTTCTCGTGCAGAATTTGAGACAGCCTGCCGAGCCAAGCTCAGCAACCCGGACTCAGTCCAATTCTTCTGGCAGGGGGTCAACTCGAGGTACGCCCATCGAGGCTGGGTCATGTTTGGGTTTGATACCCGAGAGAATTGCCGTCTGGCTCAGAGCGAGCTTGTAAACTTCCGGATCCGAAACCGGAATGTGAACATCAGCGTGGCGGGCAGGCGGGCTGTAAGTGTCACTCATCTTTTTCTATTTCTGTGTGATACTAACGCCTAGACCATAGTCTGCTCCGGCAAATCCATCTACGCAAGAATCATCTCTGCCCAAGCCGCTGCTCCCGCCAACCCTGGTGCAACTCCCCTTCCTCCCGGCACCACCAAGACCACCGTCACCACCACCATCACCACCAGCAGCGGGACCACCACCAGGGTCACCACCACCGAGGTTTCGGCTACCCCCGCCGCCGACGCAACCACCACCTCCGCAGTTGAAGAGATTCCAGCTGCCCCCGCCCCCGACATAATGACGGCCTTGCTGGATTCTCTTGACCGCCCTTCGACCCCTCAGTAGGTCATGACGGACACCGCTCATCTGAGTACCTAGGAAGAGAAAGAAGAAGAAGAAGGAGAAGAAGAAGGGGGGAGGGGGGAAGGGGGGGGACAAAATAATAAAACAACAACCAAAAAAAGGTGAAGAGAGGAAACGAACGCAAGTTCGCCGTCATATTTTGGATGATTGGGGGCAACCCTATTTACTCATACTCCTTCGCGAGCCCACGCTCCCCTCCTTCATGAGCCAACGCCCTACCCCAGATCAGCTATTAGCATTCCTTTTTTAGGAAGTGAGTTCAATTCTCACGCTGGTCATCTTCTCTTCGGGAATGGGCTCAAATCCCTCCTATGCTTTGTCCCAGCAGAATGTTGGGAACAGCCAAATCATCATGAGTGTTAGAGTCCAGGATGTTTCTTTACGCATATGTAGCTTGCAATTTCTCTCTAATGTAGGTAGCTAGAGGTGTGGCTAATTGTTTGGCTAAATTAACACCGTTGAAAAGATGAGACTACGCGATCAAGTGTACGGCCATGCTGAAAGAAAGTGTGTGATTATGTTGCAAGAAGTATGGTATCGAAAGAGTCTGATCCATTGTAGTTACCTAGGTGCCTAAGGCATGCACTTGTGTGAGCATTAAGTGAAAGTGTCCCACAAACGCGAACTCACAACAAATCAACACACACTCTCCGTCAACCCAGTTACAACTTTTCATCACAACCACGAAATTTCTTGCAGCACAAGAAGCCACAGAATCCAATCGAGTCCACAAGTAGACAAGATACGCGCTTAACTCTACATTCGCGTAAGTTTCAATTTTCGGGTTCCTCTCCTTTGGGTCAACAAACTAACTTGAACACAGAATGTCTGACAAGGCTCTCACAGAGTTGACCGAAGCCATGGAGTCGCTCACGCTGAAGAAGTCTGATCTACCAGAAAGGTGGGCAGATGACGAAAAGGACCCCGGCAGCAACATTAAAAGATTCTTCGCCAACTGGCCGCAATATCAGAAGCATTTTGAGGCACAGGGCATGTCATGCTACCGCGCCATCCAAGACGCGTCCGGGAGCAGCAGGCTGGAGCCTCGTACCTGGTCCAGGGTGCATGCTGGCAGCGAAAGTCGTCTGGCCGAAAACAAGGTTGAATTCGTCACCTTGAACCGGGTAGTAACTGCCGACCAAGATGACGAACCACTTCCAGATCAGAGGGTGATGCAACGTATACATGGCGATGTTCGAGAGGCAGTGGCTTTTGTAATCGTCCCAAAGGCAGAAGTAGCAGATCTCGAGGCAAAGGGCTGGGAAGTCTAGTACCCTCCCGCTCCGGCTCTCGACGTACAAAAGGGCTATCGAGATGTTCGACCAAACCTACCACGCCCTGTGGACGTCATGACCACCGATGAACCTGCTACGGATACAGATGCTTATCTGGACCGTGGCTATGAATATGTCAGTCGGCATTGGACCAAAGGCAAATGGAAACGTGGTGATCTGATCGGCAAGAATGGGTCAGACCCTGAGACGAAGGCTCAATCAGCGTCCTACGCAGCCCCAGACTGCTGGGACAAGTTATCCGAACGTCGCGTCGCCACATCTACTGGTCATATGCCACACATTGAACGGCCCCCCAATGTCCCTCTTGGCTGGGGCGGCTACGACAAATTTCACCACTGGCAAGCAAGCGGCCGCCAGGTTACCAAAGACATGGTAGAGGAAGAGGACTGGTCGGTCGATATAGACATGCCGTTCGACTTTGTTAACGAGGAGGGCGAGGTTGTGGATACTGTTCCCCCTATTGTGCGAGAGCAAGACCTACCTCCTCTCGCTGATCCGCCCATCACATTGCATGAACTCCTCAACGAGAGAGAAGAACGAAAACAGAAAGCTCCCTCAAGGGGTGTAGTTCGGTGGGCTGGAACTTGAAACATGCGAACTGAATGAATGTAAGTGCGCCCATATTACTTGGTCATATAGTCTTGAGCTTTCGATCATGCTGACATGGTCAAATACAGATTCAACTTGATGAGAAGAAGGGTGCCGGCGAAAGAGAAATAATTAAAAACAAAAACAAAAAGAAAAAGAAAAGAAGAAACCCGAAAAAAAAAGCAGAGGCAACTCGGATGTAATATACGGAGGCAACTCCTATGTTATATTTTTCTTCATGGGCCAACGCCCTGTTCTTCATGGGCCAACGTCCTGTTCTTCATGGGTCAACGCCCTCCGGTCGATTATCTGGGAAACCCTTTTGGGGGTAGGTGGGTTCGACTCCCGCATCGACCAATTACCAATACTCCCCGGAAGATAATACGGTTTGTGCTTCACTACACCTTCAGATTAGAGGCTCCTGGTGGAGAGCCTAACTTTCCTCCATTAAACGATCGACCCCCTACCGAGCGTCATGTGTTCTACCTTGGAAAGTCCTTAGCACACTGAAATCATTGATTGTGAGTATCTTCTGTCAATTGCCAATTACCTTGTCGAGCTTTGCCACTTCACTAAGAGCCCATCTCCAGGGCAAATCTGTTTCAAAAGTTTACAGAACAACGAAGAAAGGTTTAACTCTTGGCCAGCCGTCATTCGATGTTTCATTGCAACGCTTTGAAACTTGCTATGAGTGAGACAATTTAAAAGGAGCTTTATTGGAGGCGAAGTGAGCTTTGAACCTGAGAGACGGTATATCGAAAAGGGGGAGCCCAGGCCTTTCTTCATTATTTCGTGATGAAAGGAGCTGTCCTTGTCATCTTGAAATGGAGGCTATGAATGGGAATCCTATGGGAACTTGAATTCTCCCAGGAGTAATTTCATTTTTGATATAATGAAATGAGAAGCCTACGGCATGCATGTATGTGTCTCAGACCACGTGGTTCCGATGGAAATCAAAGCCGTTAATTTATCTCAATTCAATCGTCCCTACCCTCATCCAAATGCAACATTGAGCTATTATGCGGGGCAGGACCGTTGCCGCTTCTCCATCAACTGCCCATTGCCTGAATCGGGAAAGCTCGGCAGCGTCCAGGCGATCTGCCGAGATCCGCAAGAAAGAGTTCGTTGGAGAAGTGCTGCATCCGCTGCGTTTATTTCTATATCAGCCATACATATCATCCTTCACTCCATCGCTAATGAGGTGCACGCACACGTACGTAGCCTGTCATTCACATCTCTATCTCGGTCTCTTTCCCCATCTGGATCTCCCTCTCCCCCCACTGTTCGACTCATCTCCCCCGCCATCATGACCTCCATCCCCATTGCGCAGGGCAACCCTGCCCACCTGCTCCCCCCGAGCTGGAAGACCCAGGTCACGGCATGGCTTGCCGAAGACACCCCGTCCTTTGACTACGGCGGCTACGTGGTCGGCGAGGGCGAGCGCACTGCCACCCTCTGGGGCAAGTCGGACGGCATCATCGCCGGCCGCCCGTTCTTCGACGAGGTCTTCACCCAGTGCGGCTGCACCGTCGAGTGGCACGCCCAGGACGGCGACGCCATCGCCACGAGCCGCCACGACGGCGGCAAGATGAGAGTGGCCACCGTCCGCGGCCCCGTCC